CTACTAAAAAAATCCTGCTGTGTCAATGGAAAGTGAAGATGTAACGTCCTTACTACAAACCGTAGACTAAAGTTAAACCTGGACTAAAATTGATGCTGTCATTGTGTATGCTAAAAAAGAAGACTGTAGTAAGGGCACAGATTACTTAATACTTACGTAAGGGGTTTATTAAAGTTTAAATAAAAATTGTAAAAGTTATCTGGCAAAAATTGTTTGATTGCCAACTTAAGCCTAACTAGTTGAATAAATTGTATCGACTGGGTAATGGTGCGATTATACTTAGTCGATAGTCCGAATACGAGTGCCAATGGAATTCGGCTAAACGACTAAGTGTAAATGAACGGAGTCGAGAAAGTCTTTTATTTTCCGACACCGTCTTCCAGCCCGTATTCCAGTGTAAATATTGCTTCGGGTGCCCGAATTCGAGTAATGTCTTTCTCGACCCGAATACGGACTAACGACCAAATATAATTGCGGCATTAGGAACCGTCAAACGGATTCAATATTTCGACTTCCTCATTCGAGAAATGGGTAAAATTATAAGAATTTAATATAGAAACGTATTTCAGTATAGATTTGCTTTTTCAAGTAATTATAACTAGCAGTGCCGTCTTTGACCTATTGGAGGCCCTGGGCATATTAGGATAATGGGGCCCCCCTATGACCCCCGTTCGGTGATCTAACAGGAACATGGGACTAGGACATGTATTTGTGATCTGAGGTGGGCCCCTATCGATCGCGGGGACCTGGGCACTTGCCCAAAGTGCCCACTGAGAAAGACGGGTCTGATAACTAGTTAAGATTCGAGAACTATACGCATGGAAGGACTATTTACAAGAAATACATAAGTACCTAAATAATACTTTCCCTTAATGCAAAGTAGTCCATTTACCATAATTTAGATTACGCTTGTCGCGGGTAAAAAATCTAGGTTTATGTTTTCCTATAGCTGGAATGGGAACAGGCATGCGTCGTACGTACCGTACGTTTTATTGTATTACAGCCATTAATCTTTAGCATTCAGCCTTCAGCGGTGTTTGCATGATTTATATTATTATTGCTGGAGAAAAAAGTAAGGGTTAGTAGTAAAAAAATGGAGATCAGTCTGAAATATAAACTGGTTTAGTCGTTTTTTATTTACAAAACAAAGGTAGCTACGGTGGAGCTCGAGGTAAATTTTTGGTCACCCATCCAATGACCGACCAATGCGAAAGTTGCTTAACTTCAACAATCGCAACTGACCGCGCTAACCACTAGCTCCTTCGAGCTCTGGTAGTTATCTACAAGTGTGATAAGTGCACATTGTGTTTTGTTAAAGTAACAATCGTGTTTAAAGTCACACATAGTGCCAGTTATTAACTTACTCGAGTAGGTACCTACTTTCACAAACGGGATGCGTGCTAAGGATGCGTGACATTATTTAGCATTTTAGATTAGCTACGTCTGGTGGAAAACTAGTAACTATTATGCTATAATATAAATGAAATGTAACAGATTACGTTTACGCAATGACATGCAATGTACCTAATTTATATTTATTTTACAATACTTAAATCTCTCTTCGTCTTGGCATTACGACTGTATTAAAATATCCAAGAAAATTTAATTTTCTAAGGAAGTATGTGACCCTGAAAATATGAAAACAAACATTATACAAGTCAGCTTGCCAAGTCTACTTGAGCCGACTGGTATTGCAAGCGACCGGACGGTATGAGTTTGATTCCATGGAAGATGGGCCGGGTGCTGGTATGGGATGCAACCTGTTCAGACACGCTGGCCCCTTCCCATCTGCATGGAACCAACAACAGAGCTGGTGCGGCTTGTGAAGCGGCTGAAAAAGCTAAAGCATGCAAATACAGGTGTCTTGGCTCCGAATATGATTTTGTCCCATTGGGTGATGAGACCCTTGGTCCGTGGGGTCATAGCGCCGTAAGGCTTTTTTAGGAAATAACAAAAATGTTAGTCGTCATCCCAGGAGACCGAAGAGCTGGCAGCTACCTCGGACAAAGAATTAGTCTAGCTGTTCAAAGGGGGAACGCCGCCATTATTTTCGGAACCTTGCCTAAAGGGACTCCTTTCAATAATATATTTTATTTTTTAAGGTTTTTAGTTTTAGGTTCATTGTTCTAGTGTACTTTTTTTTTGTTTTGTGTGTTATTATTATGTTTACTTACGTTAAAATTTTGTTTGTTACTTTTAAAATATTGTAGTTATGATTTAACTTATTTTACAATGTGAACATTATACAATTATTATTAAAACAATGGTTTCACTTTTATAACAACCGAGTCCTGTAGGCAGAGCTGTCATTTTAAAAATGTCACAGAGCGGCCTTACACGGACTGCTCAAGCAGTTAGGGTGAAACAGCTTGAAGCTGCCATTCGCAACTGGTCGAGCGATCGGTGAATGTGCGTACGTATGAAGGCGCTGTCCCACGATCTGTGTTGTCGCGGGTGAGGTCGCGCCGCGCAGAGTTGCCAAACGTATGAGAACTCTAACGTTCGAGATTTAGCAGTATCTATACATGATATGAGGTAAATAGAAATCTCATACACTTTGATATGAGATTTGAACAATGTTGACTGCTTGTGTCATGTGCACAAACCAAAAATATTATCAGAAAGTAAATAAGTGTCCAGCTTCATTATGCCATCATAAAGTGTACAATGTTTCTATTTACCTCGTATCATATATAGACTGCTAAATCTCGAACGTTAGAATGCTCATACTTTTGGCAACCCTGCGCGGCGCGGCCTGGCCAGCGACAACACAGGTCGTGGGATAGCACCTTAAGATAAGTTCACGATGCAGTCGCAGCTTAAAGCAGTCCATCACTACTGCTGCAAGCTGCCCGAGTATAGCGGCTCTTACACCACACATCACAGACACACATCAATACTGCTATATTAGACACTGACACTGAAAAAATGCGAGTTGAAACAGTCGATAGACCGTATCTTGCGTAGACATTTTTACATAAATACATAGGTATGCTATAATATAAATGAAATGTAACAGATTACGTTTACGCAATGATATGAAATGTACCTAATACGATGAGTGATGATGAGTAATGAATACGAGCATTTGTACTCTAGTCATAGATGTTTAACATGTATTTCTGAATATACAGGGCGTCCCACGGCTACCTCACACGGAGGGAAAGTATTTTAAATATAGAAGATAGGATATTTTATTGAAAGAAGACATCATTTTATTTTTAATAATAACTAAAACTACATTCACAGATTTTTTTAAAATCGCCTGCTACGACTGGGAATCAAACTCGTGAAATTTCGGAAAAAAAAACACGACGTATTTTATGATAACCATCGAAAGGGTTAATCATAAGGATTATTTTTTGCTAAATAACATAGCATTTTAAATAAAAAGGAATGTCTTATTACGTGATAAAAATAATAAAGTCATATACACACTGTAGTACGTATGCATTTCTTTGTGAACTCAGTTAAAATGCGATTGGCTGAACAAATATCCTAATTCAAAAAGGGAACACATAAATTTTCAAGCGTCTGTGTCTTCTTTCAGTAAAATATCCTATCTTCAATATTTAATATACTTTCCCTCCGTGTGAGGTAGCCGTGGGACGCCCTATATATATATATATATATATACTTATATATGTACAGTATTTGTAATGTATCCATTACCCTAGTATCACATAACACAAGCTTTACAATGCTTACTTTTTTGGCTAGGCTACTTTTTGGCACACCAATTGGTGTGAGTGTTGGAAATATTTATTTATTATATTTAAACGCTCGCAAGGGCAACGAGACCTAGCATTGCATATAGCAATAACGGACAATAATAAAATAAGGTAATTCAAATAATAATAGAAAAACCGGCCAAGTGCGTGTCGTGCCACGCGCAATGTATGGTTCCGTAGTTGCCTGTAGTTACCACAATATATTTCAGCAGCAGTCTTTATTTCCATGTGTTATTACTAGTCCAGTCGGAATAGCCATAATTTGGACCGACTTCTATTCTAAGACACCAGCGCTTAGCCAACTTTTTCCTAGGTAGTATAGACCCCCACGAATATGCCCTCCATTTGTCTCCGCTAGAACCCGTGTTTTGTAGCCAGGAAAATTGTTTAAACAAAGAAAAACCGGTTTTTTTGATTTTTTTGCTTGTAAACGGGGATTTTGAAAATTTTTTTGAATCAAAGTTGTACATTAGCTTGCCCTCTACAAAATCAGTTCTATGAAAAAATAACGTGAGATTGTTAGTTTAGCAGTAAATTGCAATTATGTCGGTTTTACGTTTGCAACAATTCAACATGTTATAATAAACATTTTGATTTCTAAAGTAGTTTATCATGTGGGTAACGCCACTCCCAAGAGAGTCATGTAAAATTTATCGACCTGTGTCGCAAACTTTAGCAACAATTCTCAATCTCCGAAAAAAAAGTACTTGCCTGTCCCGTCTTTCCCAGAAGGCGCACAGCGGGAAAAAAAAATCAGGTGATTCGATTCACCAAGAATTTTGAGGAATCGATCGAGTAGAAAAAAATCGTTAATAAAAATGTTCGTTTTTGGACGATTTAATTTTTTTTAAAAAATTGACGTAGAATATTTTTTTTTTTAAACTAATGTATTTTTCTCTAAACTAACAATCTCACGTTATTTTTTCATAGAACTGATTTTGTAGAGGGCAAGCTAATGAAGAACAACTTTGATTCAAAAAAAATTTCAAAATCCCCGTTTACAAGCAAAAAAACTCAAAAAAACCGGTTTTTCTTTGTTTAAACAATTTTCCTGGCTACAAAACACGGGTTCTAGCGGGGACAAATGGAGGGCATATTCGTGGGGGTCTATACTATCTAGGAAAAAATTGGCTAAGCGCTGGTGTCTTAGAATAGGTCTCATGTTTATTCCGACTGGACTATACGCTACATATAGGGGAGGAGGAGGAGGGGAATTGCGGACGCTGAAGGGAAATAACGCACAACATTCGAACTATTAGTAATAATTAGTCTGTCTTTATTAATTATTAATCTTTAGTTATCCATCTACAAAAACAATTATACTTATTAAACGAGATCAATCAACAAATAGATTTATTTTAGCAAAAACAAAACCTTGTCTGTCCGTAATTACCCGTAGCGTTCGGGGTAAATTCGGACTGATCCTGGGTTAATTACGGACAGCATGGGGTATTTACGGACTAGGTCCACATCATTGATAAAAATCACAAGTAAAGTCTTTAGAATAACTTCCTGCAGTGCAGTTCTCATGAGCCCACTTGTTACACTTTAAACACATAATCCAGTATTCGGCGAGTGGATCACTGTACTTTTCCTGATAATAAATGCAAAAGTAATCAACATTTCCTTAATTTTCAAAATTATTCAGATTTTTTAAACCCTTTGATCCTTTTCCTGTAGAAAGTTCTGACTTTTTCAGCTTATTAGATGTAGTTTTATTTTCTATTTCTTGAGCTTTTCTTTTCTTGTCTAATTTCTTTTGTTCCTTTTCTTCTAGATTCTTTATTTCCGGGGTGCTGGTAAAAATGATGGAATGCTTTTTGTTTACTGACCGTTTGCTACGATGAATTTGTAGAGTTGGGACCTTTATTAAATCACTAAGCGGTACTGATGAAGATTGACTTGTTTGACTTGTCGTACTTTGGTTTTCGGACGTCCGTATATACCCCGCAAGCCGTGTCCACAATTAACCCAACTGGGTATTTTTAAATGATAGAGAGAAATTTGTAGGTTATGAAAACGTTCCATAAAAACAAACATTGGCGATTCAAACTCCATTGACAAAGCTATCCATAGAAAATATCACTTTTTACCATCACTTAGTATACAGACCTGTCCCTCGAATTAAAAAACACTAAAAATTAGATCAATATACACTTTTTTTTTTATTTTACCTACCTTTCAAACTGTGCGCAGCCGGCTGTCGTAAGTTTTTGCGTGGCATTAAAATAGCGGAAAGAAACAGACGACAGCACCGGGCTGCCGCGGGTGGAGGGAATGAGTAGATACTTGCTAGTCCGTATTTACCCCGCGTCCGCAATTCCCCCACTCTCCCCTACAGCTTCTCCATTCATATGCCACTTATCAAACATTTTCTTAGTGTGTATAGAAAAATTTAATTACCTACATTAATATGGAAATAGGAATATAGGCCGGTTTTAAACCTACCCATCGTCAACTTTTATCTTTTCTTCGCTAACAGACTAGCATGGAAAACTAATAAACATGTGCTCTATCCTAAATGTAATCTTATATTTCGGAATAAAAGATGAGTTTACAATTAAAAAAGCTTAAAACTACCTAATGTCTAAAAACGTAAAAACCGGAAATAACTAAGAACTTAAATAATATACAAATATCTATCCTAAATAATATCTATATAATGTGGTGTTTAATATATAACGATAATATTCCAGAGAGTGGGGCTGTGTTCACATTCGGCAAGTCACATTTTGCCGACAATGAGCCGAGCCACTTCTTCATAAAGAATGATCCAATTGTGGCCATCTCGTGCGGGGACGAGCACAGCGCCGTCATATGCCGTAAGTGTACTCAGACCTTCATACGATATGGTAACATTTTTATATTCGCTTGCGGTGTCTCTTTGTATTGTGGCTGTAACACAAGAAAACTTCTAAGTCAACTCAATCAAAAAATACAGCCATTTATGCCGCATATTTATACGCTCGCAAGGGAATAGAGACCTAGCATTGTCATATCGCATATAGCTAGTTTTTTAATGTAAGCCATGTCAGGAGTCCTGACAGAGCTCAGGACTAAGCCTAAAAAATAATTTAAAAATTAAAAAAAAACATAAAAATGTTGTTTTCCGTGATAATCAATCTGTTTACACCTCTGTTTACACACAAGTATGTACGCTTCCCTCGATGCACGAGTCCGACTGACACTTGACTAGTAGTAGTTTTAAATTAAAACTTATTTCAATTTATTGTTTCATTTTGTAAGTGGGTGTCCACAAATTCTCACGCCTCTAAAGATATTTTTTGAAATAAAAACTATCCTTTGCCCTTTCACGGAACTGAAATTATCTCTACACCAAATTTTATCTAAACCGATTCAGTTGTTTAAACGTGAAAAGGTAACAAACAGACAGACACACTTTCGCATTTATAATACCAGCAACCGTCCGCGATTTCACCCGCGATTGTTTAGTTCTTTGAGAATCTACAGGTACCGTTTTTTTCCGGGATAAAAGGTATCCTTGGTCTCAGTCCAAGTCATAAACTAAATAGTTTGCAAACTGCAGTAATTTTTGCATGATTGAGTAACAAACATTCACATTTATAGTATTACTAGCTGACCCAGCGAACTTCGTACCGCCCTAAAAAAATAGGGGTTGTCCAGCGGACAAAATTGTGAATCACACAAAAAATTTCATCAAAATCGGTCCAGTCGTTTAAGAGAAGTTCAGTGACATACACACTCACAGAAGAATTATATATATAAAGATTGTGTATATTTTTGAAGCTGCTAGCTAGATGTTTAAGAATAAGTATGTATTGGTTATTGTTCGTGTTGAAAAAATTTCGAGAAGCTCCCCACCAAATAAACCCATGATCTGTTGAAGGTCGCTGGAAGCCGCTGGATGCGGCTCAGTGTCGATACACGTGGAAATCCTTTAGGGAGGCATATGATCAGTATTGGATATATATTTGGGTTCTATGATTGAATAATCAAAATCATTTATTCAGTTTAGGCTGTTAAAAGCACTCATAAATGTGATGGGTTTGTAATACTACGGCGGGAGACCTTGTACTGAGAAGAAACACAGCAAGGACTGTTTTTTTCTCTCTGATTTATTATTTATAGAGTCGTCAAGTACAAAAATGACTTCAGAGATGATTCATAAAGTCACCTTATTACATACATTTAATCATTATAAATGTACAATTAATTGTTTACCTGCATTTTGATTTCTGTGTGATACAGTACATATAAAAACAAATAGTGTTATTTATATTAAGTTTAACTAAACATTAACATCTTCAATATCAAGGAAGTTATGACAGACTCATCTCCGCTGGCAGCACCCGTTCACGAGCATGACGCATGAACCAGCCATCGCTTCGCTCAACCATATTTCAGGGAACGTAACGACCCGCCTCACACGACACCACCGAAAAAACTTTTAAGAGAGCATGACTACCCATACTACGTACAACATATTTACTTCAATGATATGAAATGATTATGTAGTTCCTACTGCAAATGTTCGCAGAGAATGGTCGTGTCTTCGTGTTCGGCGGTAACACGTGGGGCCAACTCGGGCTCGGCCACAAGGAGGAGGTGACTCGGCCCAGCTGCGTCAAGTGGCTAAAGCCTTACCGCGTCATGTTCGTCGCGTGTGGCCGGGCGCACACTGTTTTCGTTACAGGTACAAATTATGCTACAAATTGCATTTTTACATTGGAAACACATAAGTTCCTACTCCAGAAACGTTGAGGAGTTGGATAGCGCAGTAATTAGCCGCTTTTTCCATAGCCTATGGTATATACAGATAATAATGATGTTGGGATGACGAAAATTATATTTATAATGTAGAAATTTGCCGCCCCAGTAAATATATCACCTTGCTAGCCCGTAGAGCCGTGGAATCTTACTCTCCAACAGAAACACAATGCTACAAAATGCCTTGATATTTCACTGTAGTTTTCTATTAAGTGCACGTTTATATTTCTCCGTGGCCTATTGATAAAATTTTATATTGTTACGTGTCTGGATGGGGTTCGAAATTATATGCCAGTTCACGCTTGACAGTTATTTATTCACCACACAGTTCACATAATTAACACACAATGTTAATTACAAAACACTCACTAAACACTGTATGAACTATACAAGTATCTAAACTATCGCACTTGAACACTTTTGTTGCACTTTGATCGCCTTTGGATTCGCTCCGAAATCGCTGTTGAAACTCAACTGTCTCTGCGCGGCGCCAATCGCGCTTATATACGCCGATCGACGCATTCTAGAAAGTACCTGTTAAATTGAGAATTAGCTAGCACCCGCGAGTACGAAGTACCTACTTATACCTACGCAGGTAACGCGCATAACTTGTAAACAAGTGCAGATGTCGTTGCGCTTTCTCCCTTACGCCGCACTGCATAAAGCTCATTTTAGAATGAGCCGCATTACTCGACCTCTATCGCGACCCGCGGTGCTCTGGCAAATTCGATCTCTAGCACTTTCGCGGTTCCGTTTCGAGAGCGTTTGTGACAATATGTCCTATTTCTCAAAGAAGAGATGGTTTATAAATCAAATACTGGTATTTTTTATGGAATATATTTATTTTAAGGTAAGGTATTTATAAATGTAGTCATACCCCCGTCACTCTTGACGTCTTCCTCAATTATCTTATTCTTTCTCGATGTATCCTTATTTGTTTACGTTCCGTGCACCACCTTGGATTCTACTCAATAATTCATCCATTTATGATCGACAGATACGAACGAGATATATACAGTAGGGTGCAACGATGAAGGCCAGCTGGGCACGGGTGATATGGAGCACCATGAGGTGCCAGCATGCGTACAGCTGGACGAGTCGCCACCCATCCGACAGGTGTCAGCTGGCTCCGACCACACTGCCATACTCACCGGTAAGTAGTCTGCTCTCGCTGAAATAAAAACTTCAAAATCGTTTATTCAGTCTAGGCTTATGTTACAAGCACTTGTGAATGTCGAAAAGCTACGCCATCGGTTCGCAAATCTCCGACAGACTTCGGCCACAACGCCATACTCACCGGTAAGTAATCTATGTACGTACGATGGAGTAAAATAGTAGGACCGGCTGGGCTCGGAGAAAATGGAGAACCACGCGATGCTGGTGTGCGGACAGCTGGATAACGTTACTATCTAAATATTAAACTTGACGACCTCCGTGGCTGAGAGCTCAACAATTGTCAATCACCCTTTTATTAATAAACGAAGAATAAGCTTGGATTAGTTACTCCACGTTTTTTCTGTTCTTTGAATTACAAATGTCATTTGAGCGATATGAACAAATCAGGCATAATTTCTGTCACGCACATAACGTTGTTAACAGTTACAACATTCTTACGCAGTTTCAACCAGTTTTTTTTTTTGCTACTAGCGACTCGTATTGTCAAAATTAATAACAGCATGTTTAGGTAGATGGCGCGAGGAGTTCGATGGCAAAAGTGCTTCGGAAGCCACGTTAAACCGTTGGTCCCGGATACACCTATAATTGTTAGCACCCATCACGGAGCACCCCCACTAGAGTCCGCATACAAGGGCAAGCGCTTACGCCAAGCTTAAGTAGTATTTTACCTATGCGTGAGGCACGCCTACAGACGTCGCGATACATCGTTTCATTCGGTAACCGAGCGTTGGTCCAACTGCTTCTCTCGTTTTCGTGTTAAAAAACTGTAAAAAATGCCGTACTGTGCAATTAAATTGTGTGGAAAGTCGAGTACAACTTCCAGTCTTCAAAAAAATGGTATTACTTTTCACTGGTTAGTTTAAATGCATTACAAAAAGACAAAAATACTGTTATATTAAATTGCTGTTAATTGTATTTATTTTTTGGTGAACGCGTTGATGTCTTTTTACCCTATCCCTTTCTCGCACGGGCTACACCATATATGCTATCTCGCTCTCACACCGGCACGTGTATTGCTAGTGACTCAGACGCAGCTCATGTCTCATCGCGTAAGTTAATCGATAAGTTTGTCAGCTATGGAAATGGAAAAAATAAATAAAAACTAATTATTTCATCGTATATAATAATAGATGTCATAAGTATACAACCAACAGTTTTTATTTGACTTCAAGCATATCCTAATAAAATTGAAAAAACGCGAAAATTTGTATGCATATTTGTTACTCTTTCACGCTAAAACGGTTAAACGGATTTGTATGAAATTAAGTGCGCATAGTTTATGACCTAGATAAAGACATAGAATTAACGATATTAAAAACCCTAGATACACCACGAGCGCTCAAAATGTGTCCCAATCAAGAAATGCTTGAACTCCACTCAAGCACTTCTTAGTACACAGTCACACGCGGACCGTTGAAAAGTCAAGATGCCAAAGAGTTCCGTGAAAAATGCAGAAAAATACTAATAATACGTAAAGTGTCGTTTTTTCGACGGGTATCTAATTAATGTTTTTTAATTAACGCCTTTAAAGCAAAGGAGACCCGGTACTTTTCATAGAAAAAATGCTAAACTTGTATACAGTTGAATTTGGTCTCAAAATAAAGCCAACATTATTTGCTACATAAAACTACTTTTGCCTTATTTTTAGTGAATCGTGGAAAGAAGTTATTTAATGATTAATATTTTTTGATATAGAAACCCTTTTGATGACAAACCTACGTTTTTGACATTGACAGCTAGCTGCTGATGACAAATATTGCCAGACTACGTTACCCAATTATGAAACACAGATAAAAAAATTAAAAAAGTATACAACTTTGGCACAAAATGCCGGGTGTCCTTTTATTGTTGTAATACTTACTATAAACTGATTTAATTTAAAATATTTGTGATATTCAAATGCATGGTCGGTTATACGTCGCCCTTAGCCATCTCTTTTCTTCGCGGTCTGTACCTGCTATATTGCTAACAGCGCATTCAGAATTGCGCGTGAAAATTCAAAAAAATAAGGTCTATATTCTTTCACATATAACAATAAATCGTAAAATTTTACAAACTTGACGCATGCATTTTAATTAAGACCTTATGCCGTATGCATTAAAGGTGACTTTCAATGTTTAAATAAGGCATTATATTGTTTTTGACCACGCGATCATCTTACGGACCTCCATGGATCGTCCAATGTACCTTTTGGACACGTTTCGGCCACGATTTTGTTCGTGTTGTTGTATCTAGGGTAGTTAATATCGTTGCATTAATACTTCTTGTCCTGGACGTGATTTTATTTGTGTTGCTTATATATAATTTAGTATGTAGTTACTAGTCGCGTCATGTAATTAGAACGCTGGAAGAAAGTGGAGAGGGTATGATTACGCATTTACGCACCAAAGTACTAGGCCTCTATTCTAAATTGTTTATCGATAGAAAATATCGATATTTTCTAAAATCGATCTTACCCTCATCACTTCGCTGCACTGAGTATATGATCTGACCTTGGCGCGTCCAATCACAGCGGGGCTGACCTCCCTGCACCCCACCGACTTTGGCGATTTTGATTCCAAACAAAATTTGTGTGATGCGGACTCTAGTGGGGGTGCTCCGTGGCACCCATAAATCTGCAGTTTGCCCGTGTGGTGGTAGGCCATATCTCCGTATTCCATTCAGAAGTGGGTACATAAATAGGCTGATGATGAAGTTTAAGTCATTATTTTCGAAGATGAAGATTAAGTCGTCCTTCTGGTTACTTTCTTTTTTGTGTATAGGTATAGTAAACTAAGTAATAAATATATAAGTGAGGTTCCACGGAAAGACAAAAAGTTTATTTTATTTTAAATTACCATTTAACTGCTTAATCTAAAGAAAATGTTACTAGAAGATTTTCTGGTAAAAGTTTCCGCATCTTCGCTATGCCGATCGAATTCTGTCTGAAACCTGAGTGGACTTTATTGTAGTAAAAGGATAATGGGCAAAACGCACCCAGCTCCGCCAACAATGTAATTAGTATGAATCGAAGAAAGATCTATGAAAAACTAGCCTTTTTTATTATGGCACCAAAAAAAATAACCTGGGGGTCAAAAGATATACACCTGGGTATGTTCTATATTAGGGGTTAAGGTTTCCGCACATAGTCCTTATAGACGACCTTTGTGTGTAAGTCATGGGGACCGGTTACACACGGGCATATTTAAATAGCTCCTTATAGAGAAGCTCGATGGCGCAGGTGGTTAGCGCGTTCGGTTGCGATCGTTGAAGTTAAGCAACTTCCGCAGTGGTCGGTCATTGGATGGGTGACCAGAAACATCTATCTCGAGTTCCTCCGTGCTTCGGAAGGCACGTTAAGCCGTTGGTCCCGGCTGCATCAGCAGTCGTTAGCACCCGCCAATCCGAACTGGCCCCGCGTGGTGGGTCATGGCCCAATCTCCCTATTTCATCCATAGGGAAGGCCTGTGCCCCAGCAGTGGGGACATTAATAGGCTGATGATAAATAAATAGCTAAAGAAATTCATTCAATATCAATAGTACTTTCGTTCTATAATATTAGCAATAATAAGTGAGTGAATCATATCTTACTGTACAACCAGATACAAAATACTAAACAACAAAGCCTACCGACTATCCTGCTTGCTTGCTGCTTGCACTTACTGAGACTCCTCAAAACGTCTAACAGGGTATGGTTGAAGGATGTGATATTGCAGTTGCCGTTGCAACTAGTCTACTCGTATGCAGTCCTATGTCTTACATTTTGTGCGCTCCCTGTTATTTCATTGATATTTAACTAACACGCTTTAGAAATAGGAACACGATTATCATCGCGTACGTCATTATAATCGTACGAGCTAATACAAAATCTATGGATCAATTTAAATGCTCGTACTCAGCACACAAACATCTGCCCCCACCAGGATTCAAACCCGGGACCTCTCGAGCCAGCGACACCATGAAACCCGGCGTACAAACCACTCGACTCGGATATATTAATTGACGACCTCCGTGGTCGTCAATTAATATATCCATTCTATATACTCGTCCTTGTATCTTTAAATATTATGTTCGTTATAGTTACTTTTACTTATGGAATTGTACCTATTTAACTTAAAATAACTAAAGACTCCCGGGATGGAATTTGATGCGCTTTGGCACAAATGATCATGACTATGATACCTTTCAAACAAATGTAGTTTAAGCCGTGGCGGACGTGGGTGCAGTGTCCATGCAATTTTGCCCATTGTCCTTTTCTTTATAAAATGTTTCGTCGACAAATGATGACGGCCTTATTTTATCCGTTAGAGGACGGGCGTGTGTTCGTGTGCGGCTCGAACACAGAGGGGCAGCTGGGGCTGGGTGAACACGCGCGCTCATGTCTGCAGCTCACCGAGCTCAAGTTCATGGAGGCCATCGCCTTCGTCGAGTGCGGATACCACCACACGGTCTTCATCACCAGTCAGTATACTTTTTGGAACGAAGATTTTTCGGACGGCATGGGGAATGGGGGCTAGGCGAAAATTTACCATCTCAACCTAAAGAGGCAACTAGCTAAGCACCTGGGCGGGTAGCTAGATGGGCAGTTAGGTGGGCGACCATTGACGGCGGTGCTTGTGGACACATTCTGCACTGGGCCCAGTGCGGATTGGTGGGTGGTATAAAAAGAATTAACTTCGTTCAAACCGAGTATTCCCCGACACTTACGCATTTTTTTAAAAAGGATGGCAAATAAGCATAATAAGCGAACAGCAAAGCCTATAGAATAGATATATCACACAATAAAAATATCACAGGCGCCGTTGCCTATTCTGTCCAATCCCCTGCCATGCGGAGCCATGGAACCTTTACTCACCGACATAATTACAACACCACAAAAAGATAGTGTTATTATACTGTGGTCTTCTACAGACAAGTGCTGCCATTCAAGCGAAAAACCCAATACGCCCTACCTCTCTTAGCAATCAAAAACTGCTATACAAACCTAATGACGGCTGTGAAGTTAGCGCAAGTCGTGGCGCAGTTTAAATTGAACAAACACTCTAGAAAGACAGGAAGCGAAATCGTAAGACCAGCTGGTAGAAAAGTGAGAAATAAACAAGCGATCAAGCGTCTAGTAATCGGCGTCCGAATTTATCTGACAGCTTAGCTGAAAATTTCGCCTCAGCATCAGCTACTTTTGCATTCAATGAAACCTGCCGACATTGCACTCGCTGTTATAACTTTACAGCCGTCATAGTTTCAATCGCACTGTATCCAAGCTTAATAGGAGCCCAAGCGGTTATTTATGGATTTACTCGAGCGAGGGGGCAACCTTGCAACTTGTAAAGTACTCCAACCATACCTGAGCCCTCTATATAGGGCCGAACGTCTAGAGTAGCAAAAAAATTTTCCATAAACGACCATGGCTTTTGGTCGTGTCCAAATCGTCAGCCTTTCGAGAATAAGCTACAGAAGGGTTCACGTAACGGTTCTGAGGACGGAAAAAATATTGAGCTGCAAGTTCGAGTGAATCCACACAACCGCGCTTGGGCTCCCCCTACCATAACAAAATATCACCGAAAGCCTAATAGGGTTCAGAAGGCCTACTCTAATGAATAAATAATATAACGAAGTTCCTCTTTAGAATTTTAATATTTTTATGTAAATGAAGCAACGATATTAAATACCCAATGAAGGCTAAAAAGGACATCGACGAAATCGGCCCTAGCATGCCCAAAAGAATGTCCTTCACTATTATTTTTCTATTATTTTTTTAACTTATTAGCAATTAATCATAGTAAACGGACAATCTGTTTAAAAATTAAAAGTTCTGTTACTAGATGCTACAGTCTGTTCATCCAACTTGGCACTCCTTTTTATTGAAAATACAGCATTAAAAATCAACTGATAACTGGATTCAATAGGTTTCAGTCTATAATAACGATTTATTTTAATAGTTTATTGGCTTCGTTAATATTTTATTATTAAATGGGTGATTCTGTTAAAAAGTTGTGCCAAGATTGTTTACCTTAGTAATGCAATATTCGCTATGTGCGAAGTACATGGTGGGGGTATAGTGAAGCGATCGCAGCGCTTATCGTGGCAGAAATACGCAACAATCCGGGAAAGTAAAGTCAATTTGCACGGAGTTCGTAATAAACAAAAATTTTTTAAAATGCCTATTAATAGATGTTGTTGTGTTGTGAATTGCAAAAATAAGGGCACAAATAGTCTGTGTATATATTTCCTACATTGGACTGGAAATTAAATCAAAGAAATAAATGGATAGATGCCATAAAAAGAAATAAGTAAGCGAAATAACCTTAAATTATGATCAATTTTATTTGCGCTATATATTTTATGTGATATTCATTATTGTCTTTTTTATTTTAGTGTTGATGGGTCGCCATGGTATCCCAAACCTGACGACACAATTTGTAGTGAACATTTTATGGGAAACAAAAAATCAGACGAGGAAGAAAATCCGAGTTATGCTCCTACGATATTCCCTGAAATATATCGAAAGAGGAAGGTTAATGATTCACAGGTCCTAGCTAGATATACACGCTTGACAAAACGAAGAACCACAAAAGTCTCAGATACCACATCAAGTCAAATAATAATTGAAGAAGGGAGTGAATTAAATCAAACTCAACCTTTTATGATCGATCAAGGATGTCAAGTCAATATGTTTTCTGAATCGAAATTAAGAGATACAACTTTTATTTGTATTAGATTAATTTACAGTGATCACTGTGATCCAACATCAAGAATTTTAATGACAAATAATTCAAGAAAGAAAGATAAAAGCTGTGGCACTGACAAAAAATCGTATGAGGATCAATCTACCGAAACAAAAAGTCAAGAATTTGTTGGTATTTCATCAATAACAAATGATCAAGAACTCCTAGATCCTTCTGGTGTGTCATTTAGCAATTTTGAGTTTTTATTAACAAGATTAACTATGAGAAAATGTACAGTTTCCACTAAAGACCGACTTCTGATTTTTTTGATAAAAATGGAAACTGGCTTGACATTTTCAGCATTGAGTGTGTTATTTGGTGTACAAAAAAACCACAATCTCACGTATATTTCATCCGATCTTACAAAATCTAGCTTGTTCAACTGCTAATTTAATCTTTTGGCCGAATAGAGCCACCGTACAAGCACCAATGCCCAAGTGTTTCAGTCCAGATTACATCAATACAAGAGTTATTATTGACTGTACTGAATTCCGAATTGAAATCCGACATTATTTAAATTATTATACAATATGTAATAATTTTTATTTATCTTTACCTTACTATATTTACTAGAAATCAATAAAATACAAACTGATGTCATTATTTGGCATAATCCCGGAAAGTTGCGCATTGTAGGTGGCGCTACTGTCGTGCACATAGCGAATAGGCGACCATAGGTATTTATCAAGATAAAAATAGAACTAGGTACCTTAGTTAATAATACTTATTACTAGTATTTCTATTATATTTATGAAAAGATTATTTCTGAAATTATCTAAAGATAGTTTATACTCCCATCCCATGTAATATCTGTTTATTTTTATGAAAATCATAATGATAACCAGGTACATACCTAATTACCGATAGTAAACTGTAGGAACAGGTAAATGGAAAGACTGAACATTTCATTTGAAAAGAAATCTATCATTACTTACTACAGGTATCATAGGTGCCAACTGACAACACTCATAAATCAATATGAATATAAGCATTTATTATTTTTATTATTAATTGCATTTTATGTTCATTTAATGCATATTATTTAAGTGCTTACATAGAGGTAAACACTGAATCTATTCAGAATATATAAAGTGTACATCTTTTACGATTAAGTATAATAATTATAACCTCAAAATCTAATACATTCTGTAGTAGGCCACGGTTGCTCAAGTTGTCCGTATCTCAACAAATGCCTATTTAGAGTTTATGAATGATTCCGAACACAACTAGCATTTTCTCATTGCTGGGCGTTCTAGGGCATTCAATGTATGGGGAACGAGCAATGTCCTTTAAACAACCTTCTGGCGGTTAAATTTTATGGAATTGTAGGCCTGTGGACCAGCAGCAGGTTGGTTAAACTTGATGCTTGATGCGAATGTGTAAGAACCCGTGCCTTGTGCCCTCAATTCTTTCTGTTTATAGCTTAGAGCATATATGCTCTAAGGTTTATAGGGCTGAGTACTAATAGCTAATATTTTATTGATTGCATTAGAAATATATTTCATTAATAAAAAAAAAACTTTACATATTTACACTAAAACGGTAATGACCATCTGTATCTGCACTTAGTACCATGAGTTAAACACACACAATGAATATAGTAGTTTTTGACCGAATCAAACTTAATTATTTAAATTCTGTCAATAAGCGAGCGAGCACTACTGAGTATTATTTATGTGACAAATGCTAAAAACACATTTTGTTCTCAGCAAATGGTGCGGTTTTCGTCACTGGGGACAACGAGCATTCGAAACTGGGCATCACAACCACCGATACCAATTTGTATGTCCCTGAAGTCCTGCCCTTAGATATACCGATCAAGAGTGCGTGCTGTGGAGCTTCGCACACATTCCTGTTGTCTATGGACGAGAGTAAAATATTGGCATTCGGCTCCAACGAGAAGGGGCAGTTGGGAATGCCTAAGGAGGTGGAACACGTCACGGTACCCACTGAGATCGATATGGAGAAACTATTCGATGGATATCAACTGAAGTTAGTCGCGTGCGGCGCTATGCACACGGCTTTTGTGACAGGTAATCATTTTTTCATCATCATATTTGGTCATATTGAATTCTTCGTCATACCCTTTACTTTCTTTACGAATATATGTCGTTCTTTCAAGACCGAACAAAAAAGTCGAAAAAATATTAAGTAGTTTAGGATTCCTTTAGTTTATGCGTGAAAAATTCACGGAATAGGTAGACAGTGTAGGGCCTCATCGGCGTGGCACGGCGGTCACAAAAGAATTAAGCACCACAAAGATACCATTCTAAGTCCTAGGTCAATAACTTCGCACAAATTAAAACGACATAGACAAAAGAAGATCATCAGCTTTTCCTTGTCTTTTAAACCGGCGACACCGGTCCTAATACAGAGAATGAGTGACGGTCTTTCCATTCAAATGAATTACTTTTGTCTATGCCGTGGAAAAATACGCTTCGGCCACGTGGTCAAACTCAGTAGTCAAACTAATTTGTCCAACAGTAGTAGTAGATAGACAACGTAGAAAGATTAGTCATAGTCATACTATTTATTGCTTCATGTTGGTTACATTTAGTTAATAAAATTAGAACAGCGAATCATAATCATCCAAATCAATTCCCCCACTGCTGGGTACAGGCCTTCCCTATGGATGGAATAGGTAGATTGGGCCATGAACCACCACGCGGACCCAAATATATTAATATATAAAAGGCCTTATTTTTATCAAATACATCTTTCAAAATATATTAATTTTCCAATATTTAAAATTATTTACGAGAAGATATGTTAATTTGCTAATTTTTGTTTGTATGGATATGTTTTTTTATATTATTATTTATCTCTGGTTAATATGCGACTTCAAATCTAAGACTACGACTTCAAATCTCGAATCTAGAGCAATTTAAGCTAAATATTAAATAATATAAATTAGAACGTTGTTCAAACATCCTATGGACCCACTTGATTAAAGGCTCAGAAATACATATTTTTTATATAATTTATACTCTAATAACAATATTCTTATAATTTAAGTACATAGGCTTTGTTAAGGCACTATGGTTTTAAAAGGCTTAGGGCGAAGGTTCCAGACTTAGCTCTTTTTAAGTGATTTCTGATAATAGATTATAATATGTTTTCTTAATTACTTAAAATTTATGAACCAAGGAATAATGCCTTGCTTTTATTTTTCACCTTCTTCGAATAATTTATCATGATATGAGTGTTTGAAATTAGGTAGGCCTTATTTGTATCACTTACCTTGTTTATTATTTATTCTTTCTTCACACAAACAGAGGTCACGTGGAATTCCTTTTACAAGCAATAGCGGGCTTGGCTAAGATATAATTCTCGTTATTTTTCAATACTCCCGTGGGTCACAAAAATGCGCTCAAGGTTAACATAGCGAAAGATCTAAAGCTTTAAAATAAGGTAGAATTCATCTCTGCCCGCTGTGGGGTATTCTTCCATAGATAAGTTCCCAATGTCCTTTGCGCCGTTTTAGAGTATTTTGTAAACGTTATAAAACAATTTTTTGTATGGGGATGTAGTACGTTTATTGTTTTCATAACTGTTTTAGCTATTTTAATTTACACAATTTTTTAAGTTTCTCAGGTCACTCAAAATTCATCGTGAACACAGTTTTTTTTCTGTTCTGTGGTCCCGATAGCGGAAAACGAATCCAGCCTAACAACTGGACCGATTGTATTTTTTCTAAAAATATTTAGCTTATACATATCGACGTACTTTATTTAATTTATTATTTTATGGACTTTTCAAATGCACGGGTTTTAGTTTGGGACCAAATAATTTTATTAAGTTGTTAGTGTAGCAGTGCAATACAAAATCCTAAATCGATACCCATTTTTGTTCTTTGTCCGTTGATTATTAACATAGGTGCCACATCCTACTCCACATTTAATAATTGTTAAAGGATTTGACAATCAAATAAAAAAAGTTAAAAATTACAATAAAGTTTTAAACATGATTTACAGTATAGTTAAAGAACAAACCATTAATTGACATATTTGTTTCTTAGGTTTTCAAGCACACCACTAATTAAATAAAACAAGTTTCAACGGTATATATATTTATCCTGCTGGATAGGATGCGAAACGTCAATAAGAAATAAGTCAGTGCATCTATCTATTAGGAAAATAAATGACCACAATTAATTTCTCTATAAATATTTCTTTAAGTAATAATTACTTTCACTGATTGGAATTAAGATTGATAAAAAATACACATTTCGAAATCGATTTAGCACGACAATCTGAACTCTTATCCATTATAAAATAAAAACACTCACATTTTCTCGCTTATTAAGTTATCTATAAATAGGTTAAGGAAATTACCTTCTAATAACAATAACTTCTTATGTAATAGGTAACAAACAACAGCCACTTTCACTCGTCAATCACAATAATGACTCATCGACTGATTGGCTCGATAACTACCTTTAGCCTGTGTCCACCAACAAACACTATTTTCGTTGACCTCGCACGCAATCGATTCTATAATGGGCATGTGTTGGCTGGCCGTACAATTTGCCTAATCGCCTTCAGTATGCGTACTGTAAGCGCGTAACGAAGGTGCACCAGTGCCGAGCCGCTATTTGGTGTCGGAGGTCGCACATCGAGTGACTGGCATATTTGTTGCAGACAACGGGCTGCTCTACACCTGCGGGGAGGCGCGACACGATAAACTCTGTTTGGACGATATTGACAACCCCGACCACGCAAATGAGGCCCCCGCCAATCAATACGCGCCGAAACGGGTCACCGCTATGAATGGTTTCATCGTAGACAATGTAGCATGCGGCGGTTGCCACACTCTTTTGTCGGCCACTAAAGGCTCCAACGCGGACTTCACCAACAACGACTTCAGTATAGTGAGCGAGGACACGAGGCTGCCGGCGATGACGGAACTGCCGCCTTTGCGAGTTCCCGCGATGAGTAAACTCGAGGAGTCGTTCAAGCCCGAAGACGTCACCAACTCGAATATCGACGAGCGAGCGAACGCGGACGCTATCAATGGGAACGCACACGAGGAGACCGGGTCGATAGATTCGCTCGAGGCGAACGTCAGTGGTTCACACATAGTAAATATAAACGACCTTGAAAACGAAAATGTGAGCACGCACGACGTCCCCGATATAAGTCCAGATATAATCGACCAATCTTCCGCAACCTTGAAAACTGTAGTTAATGACACGATGAATACTTTAAACACTGCAATGGACACGGCAGAAGAGAAAATTCAAAACGCTGTCGATAATGTCACAGATAAAGTGACGGAGAAGGTTGAAGTTGTAGAGGATATTATAAAGAAAAGCACAAAGTTAGAACCCATTACACAACGTGGTGAAACTGTAGCTTTGGGGGTACCCAATAACGCTGCAGAAGTAGCTAATTCACCTCCACCTAAAAGTCCTTTACTTCAAGATTTACTACACGTACCTGATATAACACAAATGAGTCCAGTTCTAAGCAAACACAGTGACGATGGTCAAAAAAGTGAAGCTGGTCAGTCAGAAAACGAAACTATACCTTGCGGTTCGGACAAATCTAGTCCTCAAACGGGCAAAACGAAAACACAAGCCGTTCTGCCCATAGTACGGAGTGAAGACGCAATTGACGGCCACGATGACACTGAACACAATGAGGATAGTGATGTTGTAGTGAACAAAACACCGCAAAAAGGACGGTTTTCTAAATTATTCCAATCAATTAAGGACAAAGAGAATTCGTGTATGGGCAAAGGAAAAGTGATAGAGGAAAATATAACAGGTGAGCAGTATTTTCTTTTTCGTAGCCTTATCGCTCTGACTTTGAACCAAAGTAACAATTACTAACATGTTTTTTTATATATTTTTTTAGAAAACATACATAAGGGCATTGATAATGTAGAAGAAACTGTGCACAAAACAGAAGAAATTATTGAAACAGAAGTGAGAAATCAAACCAACTCTCGAACATGCACGATATTATAAGAAAATCTATAATCGTCTTCTTCAATGTTTAGTCTGTTAAATAAAGTTTATATTATTGATGATAGCCTTAAAGATTCTTTTTAAATAATAAAAATTTGTACAGTTGGTGTTTTTGTTTTTATTCACTAAGTTTATATAAAAAATTACATAATTAAGGTTTTTATCTTTGAGCACCTAAAAGTCAATAATAGTTAATAAAATAATATACCTTATTTAAGATCACAATAATGGATAGGTTCTTAATTTATTACACCTGGTACATTGCCTTGTTTGAGTTATGTGCGCAGAAATTCAATGGCCAAGATATTCCGAGAAATTCTTTCAGCTTCATGCCAAAGCGAATATTTTCATCTTTTTTATTTTTATCAGCTAACCAAACACCTAAAAGATAAATATTTCTTTTGTTAAATGACCAAAATATAACAACTACTTATGATATTTTTGCTAACAAATCCGAGCGCAATATTTTTCTGTACCAAAGAGAAACAGCGCACTACCCGCTGACTTTAAAATTATAATATACCTACCTACAGGAACAAGAGGGTAGGTATCACTGGAGTATGCGAACTTAGATTAAAACAAAAAGGGAAGATACGGTACGCCCATACTAGCATCGAATCAATGCATCAGCGATTACATAAATAACATTCACTTGAAACCGTGATTGTTGAGAATAATGTTTTTACAGTTTTACGAATGAAGTGTTGCCGACGCATTTGTTACTTAATTTTGAACTATTTGTGTTTTTTATAAAAGCATCGAAAGCATTGTTTTATATTTATAACACAGAATATACGCAATATTGTTATATTGATATAAATTGGACATTCTGCAGCGTGTTTGAATGTCCAATTGTAACTAAAGCTTAACAAGCTTTAAGGACCGCACTCACAAATATCAATTAAATTTAATGTGTGTCTAACGGACATGTTATCGTATTATCACTGTTATCGCAAAGAAAGGGACAACCTTTTAATATAAAGTTAAAAATTCATTGATGTGTGGGTGTGTGTGTGAGTGATTATACTTCGGGTCTCAACCGAAGACGATTACTTCTATTACATGCAGCATTACGCAGAATGGTGCTATCTCCATCACACATTTAGATACTAAATACTAAAAAATAAAAAGGTAAAACATATTTTTATTATTTTTTTACTTTTTAATACAATATTAGTTTCACTGTCACTCGGCACTGGCAACACCGGGACGTCTTTGACTCATTACGTGTTTTTGTGTTATCGAAGTCACACGGAGTTTCATATTTGTGGTTAAAATGGGAAAAAGAAAGCGGTCAAGATCAAAAGATAGTAATTATGACAACATCTTACGAAAAATTAGGAAATTAAAGTCTAAATTAACTAAACGCCGGCGTTTTTGTCATCGTCAGTATTGTGGAAAGTGATGAGTCGTACGACCGTTACTATGATACCCACCCAAACTATCGTGATGCCAATTTACCAGGTAATTAAATATTCTGTAACGTAATAGTCTTTAAAACAAGTACAAAAGTTTACAATAATAATATGAAATTAGTTTTTAACTACCCACTTTTTCGTTCAATATTACAATTATCACTTGGAAAAAATTCCAAGTAATGACTATTTAGAATGTTTTCTAGAGTAGTTGATTATGAAAAAGTAACTACATTAACTATACATAAAAGTTAAGCCATCTTTGTGCCACGTAAAGTCGCGTCAAGATTAGAATTCACTATAAAACTGCTCCACGTAAATTGTGTTGTAGCTTTAGGTACCTACTTGGCTATAAGTGTCGCGAAGAATTGTGCTCCACGTATGTTGTGTTGTAGCTATATGTACCTAATCCACTATAAGTGTTGATAAAAATTTTGCTCCACGTAAATCGTGTTGTAGCTACAGGTATCTACTCCACTGTAAAGTGTCGAGATAATCTTTGCTCCACGTAAATCGTGTTGTAGCCTTAGATACCTTCTCCACGATTAGTGTCGAGAAAATTTTGCTCCACGTATATCGTGTTGTAGCTACATGTGCCTACTCCAGTATAAGAGTCGAAAAAAGGCTTTGCTCCACGAAAATCGTGTTGCAGCTTTGAGTACCTACTCCACTATAAGTGTCGAGAAACACGGTTCCACGCAAATCTTGTTGTAGTTTTAGGAACCTACTTCGCTATAAGTTTTAAGAAAGATTTTGCTCCACGTAAATTGTGTTGTAGCCATAGGGTACTTACTCCTCTACTATATGTGTTGAGGCAACTGTACTCCATGTATATCATGTCGAAATTATACTTAGCTAAATTTATATGTTTATTTTAACGTTTATTATCAATAGAGGAAGTGGGTCCCGATGACGTCATCTATGCCTATGATGATCCTCAATCAGGTGTAAGTGCTGGCGGAGACGACGAGCCGTTCGTCGGGTCATCTACATCATCTGTAATGCCGGCGCCAGACCCCGTATCCGCACATCCACTGACCACGCCGGATGTCAACGCCAAAAATATTGAAGGACCACATAGCGACGCTATCGAATAAGACTCGGAAATTTTACAGCTACTCGGCGCGGACATCGCCAATCAGAAAAACTATGGAGATGCATTACACAATGACATTGCTTCAAGGTGGTCCTATATTTTGGCTAACGGTTTGTATAAGGATACATATGTGGAGTTAATTAAATGTTACTCACCATCAGAAAATTGCCCACTTATGAGAGCGCTAAAACTTAATTTAGAAATCAAGACAGCCCTTAAGAAGATTAACATTAAAAAAAAAATCAGTCAAAATAAGCAGAATCAGCTCGGTTGTAGTCTCGCTGCAATAGGACGAGTTTTGAATTGGTCCCTATCACCTGAAAGCTCGGTGCCACAAGATATGATAAAATCCTTAAGTGATGCCGGTAGACTTATATGTGATAGTCACTATAAATAGTCTAGATCGCGACGATATGCGGTACTAAGCACTTTAAATAAAGATATCAAGGATTCCGATTATAAACACAAACATAGATGAACAGCTGTTCGGTTCCGATTTGTCTGAGCATATTAAGTCATTAAAAGCTATAACGAGGACTGGTACAGAGCTGAAATTAAAAACTCAACGACCTGTGTATAGAAAATCGACTGTTTCACAACTCTGATGCGCTTTAAACTCGAGGGGGCACCGCCACGCATAGCACCAGCGGTCGAGCCGCGGTTGGCCCCTGCACTACGCCGACCGCCGAGGAACCGACGGCGACGTCGGGAAACATCACGGGGACGCAGCTAGACCAACAGCACGCGGCAACAGGCAAGGAGGCGATATTAGGATCACAGGTACCCATTACTGGCCGTTTATTATACTTTTATGATAAATGGTGCGAGCTCACTAACGATCATACGATTTTAGACTGGGTTCAAGGATATGAAATTCATTTCATTGAAGAATCTATACAAATAGCGGATCCCGATAACTTTGCATGCAACTCGCAGACACAAAATCGAATCCTAGACGAATGTATATATTAGACTTGATACGTTCTGAATTAATACCAAAGTACACCTTGCCAAGGACAATTTATTTCACCAATATTTACGGTGCCCAAGTCGAACGGCACCCATAGGTTAATTTTTGAAAGAGCTCAATAAATTTGTTAAGATTATTAATTTTAAGATGGAGGACTATCGTACTGCACGTAAATTGTTAAGTCCTAACTATTTCATGGTGACAATAGATATCAAGGATTCCTATTTGTTTAACCCTTGTTAATTAACCCTTGACCGCAAAAAGTTACGGTTGAGATGGAAATCGCAGTTATATGAATTTAATGTTCTTCCGTACGGCCTTTGCACTGCACCATTTGTATTCACGAAATTGCTCAAACCCGTTCTATAATACTTACGTATTCAAGGATTAATATCAGTAAACTATCTTGACATTTTTTATGTATAAGTAGTTCGTTTAACGAATGTTTATTTAATGTTCGAACTACAGCAACCCTCTTAGAATAATTAGGTTTTCTAATAAACACTAATAAAAGCGTTATGTCGCCAAGCAGGGTTTGTAAGTTTTTAGGCTTCATTTAATACCTCAAGCATGGTTGTTACTTTACCAGATGAAAAGAAACATCGAATAAAAAATAAAGTTACTGAGTTGATGTCTAAAAAACAATGCACTATAAGGTATTTTGCTGAAATATTAGGATTATTGACCTCCGCATGTCCGGCATTCAGTTACGGTTGGATGTATACAAAATTGCTGGAGCGTGAGAAATTCTTAGCTTAGCTTAATTATTCAAAAAATTATAATAAACACATGAAAACAGGACAATAATATTATAAAAGATCTTTCGTGGTGGACCAATAACATTTTAATGTCATCTGCCCCTATTAAAAAAAAAAAAAAAAAAAAAGATTATTGTTTGGAGATTTTCAGTGATGCTTCGAATACTGGCTGGGGTGCAACGTGCAGTGTCTTAAAAACTTTTACTAGAGTTACTTTGTTAAGGATTGATAACACCACTGCCATATGTTACATTAAGCGCATGGGTGGTGTTCAGCACCCACATTTAAATGACATTTAATTTTCTCGAAATATCTGGCAGTGGTATGAAACAAGAAATATATATTTGCATCATATATCAAATCTGGTGATAACGTAATAGCAGATCGGGAATCTCGACGAATTAATATTGACACGGAGTGGGAAATTTCAGATTCTGTATTTTCATATTAGTCAATTGTTTGGAAAACCGGAAGTTGACCTTTTCGCGAGCTCTCAAAGCTACAAATGTAGCAGATATGCGTCGTGGAAACTTGATCCGTATTCCGAAGTTAATGATATTCATTTTCCTTTTCTTGGTGTAATATCTTCTTTTATGCCTTTCCCCCTTTCTGTCTGTCTAATCACGAAAGTCCTAGAAAAAATTGTATTAGACAATGCTATAGGTATTTTAGTAGTACCTTATTGGCCATCTCAACCATGGTACCCATTATGGTCCAGACTCGTTATATCAGAAAAGGTATTCTTTGGTCCTAACGAATAACTTTTAAAATCTTCTTTCAGAGTTCGCCACCCATTTCACGCGACGCTTATCCTGGTGGCAGCCAAATTATCAGGGAAGTGTTGATCAAACGTGGGGTACCACAAACGTCATTGCGTATATTGATGGACTCCTTTGCAAATGCAACACTATAGCAGTACAGTAGTTCTATAACATCTTGGTGGGTTTTTTGTAAAGACAATAACTTTGATGTTTATGCGACGGATTGTGCCAAAATTGTATCATTATTAACTAAAAAAATTGAGGAGGGTTCTAGCTACAGTACTTTAAATACGCATAGGGCTGCTCTTTCAGTTATTTTAGGCCATAATATTACTATAAATGATAACATTAATCGCATCCTTAAAGGTGTTTTTAGACTCACTCCCCCGAAACCAAAATACAATACAACGTGGGACACGAACGTGGTTTTGCCATACCTTTCTGATTTAAACCCTTATGATAATATGTCTTTAGTTGATTTGTCTTATAAAACTTGCACATTATTGGCTATCACTTCTGTCCAAAGAATGCAGACTATTAGTTTAATAAAGTAAAAAAATACAGGGTGTCCCGTAAGTAATGGTCCAACCGTAAACCCTAGGTAGTTCACTCGATTGCCTACAACTAATTTGAACCGTTTTTTGAAATTCATTATTATTAATTATTGATGCGAGATAATGAGGTTATAATTTAAATTAGTGATTTAATTAAGACATCAAGGCCCGGAGCATACCAACCACTTATTAGATTGCCCTACATTCGCGAAAATCCCTGTGTTTGTCCAGCAGTGCCTATTAGGACCTACATAGATAAAATTAGATCTTTGCGAAATGACTATCCTGAAGGCAATTTCTTTATAAGTGTAGGCAGACCTCATAAAAATGTAAGTCCTCAAACGCTAGCACACTGGGTGAAAAGGGTCTTGCAAGCCAGGGGTATAGATATTTCCATATTTTGTGCTCATAGTACTCGTTCAGCGTCTTCATCTGCCGTGCATAGATCTGGGATCAGTCTGGAAGTGGTTCGCAAGGCTGCAGGCTGGAGCGATTGCTCAAACATTTGTATTATTATAGAGATGTGGTAGACTCGAATGACACCACTTTTGTCAATTCTATATTTGGTCCCTAATGTCGACGATTAATTGCGTTTATATAATTAACATGATGCCTTATTGTTAAGAGAACGATAAATATACTTTGATCTGTAAGACTTGCAGATATTTAATTAAATCTTGTTTTGTAGTCCATAAAATGCCTTTTTATTTGCTTTTATCTGCATATGGCATTGCTCTAAACATCTGCATGTAATAGAAGTAATCGTCTTCGGTTGAGACCCGAAGTATAATTAAGAATCAAACGAACTTACCTGGTGAAGTTTGATTCCAATTATGCGAGGGTCTCAACCGAAGACGATTACTGCCCTATCCCCCCCAACCCATTAATAAAAAGGCATTATTATAGTTATAACACAAAAATCTACTCTGAAATAATGAGTCAAAGACGTCCCGGTGTTGCCAGTGCCGAGTGACAGTGAAACTAATATTGTATTAAAAAGTAAAAAAATAATAAAAATATGTTTTTACCTTTTTATTTTTTAGTATTTAGTATCTAAATGTGTGATGGAGATAGCACCATTCTGCGTAATGCTGCATGTAATAGAAGTAATCGTCTTCGGTTGAGACCCTCGCATAATTGGAATCAAACTTCACCAGGTAAGTTCGTTTGATTCTTAATTATCACTCGAAAGCTTGATAAGTGATGTTACTTGATAAGTCTGAAAAAAAAGAAACTCACCAACTTTTGTTCTATCGGTCTTAGGCCTAATGTTAACTACGACTCCTCTTATGATGCGATTCAAATCATTAAAATTTTCGCCTATCATCAACAGGATCTGCAAATATGTAATTGCATTTACTCATCATACACCAGTGGTGTAGAAATATGTAGTGGTATTAAATCATCAAACACCAGTGGCGCATAAAAATGTAGTTGTATAAAATCATCAAATACCAGTGGCGCATAAAAATGTAGTTGTATAAAATCATTAAACACCAGTGGCGCATTAAATGTAGTTGTATCAAATCATACAAACACCAGTGGCGCATAAAAATGTTGTAGTATAAAATCATACAAACACCAGCGGCGCATAAAAATGTAGTTGTATAAAATCATCAAACATCAGTAGCGCATAATCAGTTTCGTCGCCTGAGGCTGAGTTCACCACCTTCACTGAATCCCATAAATTTGCTACTGATGATTATCTTGTAACCCCTTGTTACGCCAAAATAAATGTGATAGATTGTACCTATATCTGTATGTTTGTTATTCAATTACGCAAAGACGGCTGAACGAATGTGATGAGGCATACATATAGTTTTTTGCCTGGATGGATACATATAATACTTTTCATCCCGGAAAATTTAGGTTCACATTAGAATTAAGTCCCGGGCGGAAGCTGTAGCCTTTATAAAACATCCTGTTAAGTATGTACACACCGGTAAAAACTGGGAGTGACATAATTAATGAGTAACTTGACAAACCAGTACCCTTAGCACGAACCAATATCGAATTGGAATAGTTTGCGAGTCCGAAATGTCATTGTCAAATGTGTACTGATTTTTAGTTATCGTTACGTACTTTGTGACGCTGCTGTTCAAGTTTCCATACAAAAGGACATTGTTCTGCGTCCATACATTGTTAGCCTAAGAACCAACAATCATGAAATATTATTTTGTAGGTTCGAAATTGCAAGTAAATGACTGTAAAAAACAAAGATTATTGATGGACACTTCTGAGAACTTACATTATCAGGAAAACTAAATATTTTTTGAGGTATGTTTAATATTAAATGAAACATAGGTTAACCTATGAACTTAGTTGAACTCAGTAAGAATTGAATTAATATTACAACTAATTCATTTTTATTCGGTGCGATTTAAAGAATAACTATTAGAAAAAACTTTGTTAGGTAGGAATCTATATCTATACTTATAATAAATCTGTAGAGAGGTCAATTCTGTACATTAAATATATTTTCAAAATAACTATCAGGGGGTGATTAGTGATCGATACTGATGCCAAAAATGCAATCAGTAAAATTTTTGTCTGTCTGTCTGTATGTTCCCTATAGAAACAAAAACTACTCGACGGATTTTAACGAAACTTGGTACAATTATTCTTCATACTCCTGGGCAGGTTATAGTATACTTTTCATCACGCTACAATTAATAGGAGCAGAGTAGTGAAGGGAAATGTTGGGAAAACGGGAGAAGTTACTCCATTTTTTAAGCTTCCGTCGCGTGCGCAGCCTTATTGGTTAAAGTTACATAGAAATCATGTATGACAGAAAATATTCTACATAAAATTGTCTAAAAAATATCCTGCAACAGCATATGTCTATCTTTTATGGTTTACTCACAATAATACGTGTAACTCTTGATAGCTTAGCAGTTCAGAGCATTCTGATTATATTTGTTTACTCTTACGTTTATAATACTCTCACTCATCCCTAATTTAAAAAGTTAACATTATTACCTATTCAATAAAAAAAGAATCATAAAAAAAGAATTAAATAAATAAATTCAATGTGTACAATACACGCCTGAGAACAAAATCTATAGTCTACACTACAGCTCTACACCGAAGCGAAGCGAGGGCGGGCCACTAGTCATGAATAAAATAAAAACTGTAGTTTTGCTTCTTATTTTTTAAATATTTTTCACATAATTCTATCATATTGTTTAATGTATTTTATTTGTATATCACATGTATATTGTGTAAATATGCAGCGTGAATGTGTATCAGCTGCTCTTGAATAATTTTGGCAGTATGATCCTCTCAGGATGTTGTAGCACAGGTTCTCTAGCACTTGGTAATAAGGTCTCTGCATCCACGAAATGCAAACTGCCTGCATCACAACCACAGAGTATCAAGTTTTATGCCGGCCCTTCACTTGACAACAATCTGTCCTTGTCATGCTTAATCTGTACTAATATTATAAAGAGGAAAGGTTTGTATGTAAGTATGTTTGTAACGAATTGGCTCAAAAAGTACTGGTCCGATTTTAAAAATTCTTTCACCATTTGAATGCTACATTATCACTGATTAATAAAGGCTATAGTGTATTTTCAAAAAAGTTAGGGCTCCGTATGAAAACTTCGATAATGTGACCCAACGTATGTAAAAAAATCCAAAAAATAGTCTCATATCGCGTACGCTGCGGAAGTCATTGACTATAGAGCAAGGTGATATACGAAAGTTTTATAAGGATACCTCTACAAAAAAGTCCACGATACCATATGTGTAACTATTACAGTAATGTCACAACTAGAGGTCCCCCCCTGCGGTTTCACCCGCGTTAATTTGAAGAAAAATTTTTATAGTGAGTCAAACTTGAAATATGGACAAAGGCTGTCGCAGACTTTTTTACAGATCTTTTGATGGAGAAGAATTCCGTTATACATGATTTTAGTGTGTAATTTTAACCGTTTACCCAGCGCACGCAATGGAATCTCACAAATAGAAGAAAACGGGTCCTAAACTACGCAACGAATTTTTTACTTGGAATAGGGTATTTGACAAGTTTTAGAAAACGATCAAACGTCATTGAATAATGTTTATGGAGTCCGTAAAAAGTGGATATTCATCATTCTGTTGTGTATTTCAGTAAAAATAACCAAATCAAAAACTCCATTTACAAGTTGCCGCGAAAACGTATCTCTGTACAATATGGCGCCTTACACGCGACTGTTATTAAAACGTCAAACGATACAATGTAATGTCATTTTAACCAGAAGTTTACTTGCATGTGACGTTATTTTAGGCTCCGCCAATCCCAAGCGTTTTGGGTCACGTGACAATAGATAAGAAAACTATTATCTTTTTCGTGGGTTTTTACATTATGAATATTTTTTTTGTAAAAATTGTAAAAACCCCTGCCAATATTTGTAATTGTATTGTAAACACAGATGCTAACAATTGACACTTTATTTTTAATACTGTCAAATACCCTATTGAAGGTTTATCATTATTATGAAGAAAGTAATTGTTAATAATACAAGCCTATGTACAAAAACTACCGTCTACACTACGCTCGCTCTATACTGAAGCAAAGCGAGGGCGGCCCACTAGTATGGAATAAAAAACAGACTGACGTCAAGTTTAAAAAGGAAACACGAATAGCCAAGTGATGTGCCGGCATTAGGAAGAAAGAGTGTTTTGTTTGCAGCGCTGCCATACACATAAAATGGTAGTCTCAGATTATTTTTTAATTTTTTAATATAGCTTACTTAACTGGAAGTGTCCGTCACAATCTAAATACTGATAATTATGGCAAAAAATATACTAAGAATTATCATAAATGCCAAATTGGTGTTGGTTCTTAGCCCCAAATTTAACATTGTCCTTTGACATAGACATTTCGCACTCGCAAACTATTCGAATTCGATAATGCTTCGTGCTAGGGGTACAGAGCTGTGACAAAAATCTATATCATATAAACAATATCGACAGTACGTACCGTATCGAGCCAAATCTTGTTCACCTCTTCATAATTTTTCCTATCAACGGGGATGAGTAATCTGCCTCCCTTCTTATTGGCGGCGTCCTCCCACATGGGACGCACACCCCCCTTGAATATCGAATATTCCTGGCCGTGCTGAAGCTCAGAAGGCAACTTCATGTGATGGAACAAACTGAAAAGGGAAAAATATTACAATCTATACCCCAAGGATGACAATGAGAAACTATCACCTTAATGTGTCTGACAGTCCGAACGTCTTTCAACGAGGTAAGTATACTTGATCCTCATGAGAAAACTAGTGGCCCGCCCTCGCTTCGCTTCGGTCTATTTTATCTCCTTGGGGGAAGAATTGATTTAAACCCTTTCTTAGCGGATGCCTACGTCATAACATGTACCTGCATGCCAAATTTCAGCCCGATTCGTCCAGTGGATTGGGCTGTGCGTTGATAGATCACTATGTCAGTCAGTCACCTTTGACTTTTATTTAAATAGATGTATCTTTGTATTTGCATAATGAAAAATACCTAAATATATAAGAAATTTAAAATCACTATTTTGTATTTAGTAACTAGTACGGTTTACTTTCGTGTCTCAGTATGTGTACATTTATAGAAAGTATGTGACAAAATAAACAAAATAACTTTTACCCTAATAAATCTACATAAGTTCCTACTATGTTTTATAAGAATCAGTTTTCCCAAGAGAACTTTTGAGGGCACAGTAAATATCACATTCGGTCTGCGATTGTGAAAGCTATGGAGCTTACGCAGACTGGTTATTGGAATGGTAACCAAAAACAATATTATCTACTATTTAAGGCACGTTAAGCTGTTGGTCCCAACTGCATCTGCAGTTGTTAGCACCCACGAAACACACTAAACGCTCGTGGAGGTAATGGACCAATCTCCTTATCACGTTAATAGTCAATTTATTGTCATCAGTTTACCACCAAAAATCTTCAACAGTATCGAAAGATGTAATGTTCACTAAGTTTTCGTTCCATTTCTGGCTAGTATTCGTGTAGAACCAGACTGTCCAGGTGTTTTCCAGCGGGTGTTTGATCTGTTCAATGCTATTTGTCTCCGACGCTTTTCTCCTGGGCAGGTTATAGTATACTTTTCATCACGCTACAATTAATAGGAGCAGAGTAGTGAAGGGAAATGTTGGGAAAACGGGAGAAGTTACTCCATTTTTTAAGCTTCCGTCGCGTGCGCAGCCTTATTGGTTAAAGTTACATAGAAATCATGTATGACAGAAAATATTCTACATAAAATTGTCTAAAAAATATCCTGCAACAGCATATGTCTATCTTTTATGGTTTACTCACAATAATACGTGTAACTCTTGATAGCTTAGCAGTTCAGAGCATTCTGATTATATTTGTTTACTCTTACGTTTATAATACTCTCACTCATCCCTAATTTAAAAAGTTAACATTATTACCTATTCAATAAAAAAAGAATCATAAAAAAAGAATTAAATAAATAAATTCAATGTGTACAATACACGCCTGAGAACAAAATCTATAGTCTACACTACAGCTCTACACCGAAGCGAAGCGAGGGCGGGCCACTAGTCATGAATAAAATAAAAACTGTAGTTTTGCTTCTTATTTTTTAAATATTTTTCACATAATTCTATCATATTGTTTAATGTATTTTATTTGTATATCACATGTATATTGTGTAAATATGCAGCGTGAATGTGTATCAGCTGCTCTTGAATAATTTTGGCAGTATGATCCTCTCAGGATGTTGTAGCACAGGTTCTCTAGCACTTGGTAATAAGGTCTCTGCATCCACGAAATGCAAACTGCCTGCATCACAACCACAGAGTATCAAGTTTTATGCCGGCCCTTCACTTGACAACAATCTGTCCTTGTCATGCTTAATCTGTACTAATATTATAAAGAGGAAAGGTTTGTATGTAAGTATGTTTGTAACGAATTGGCTCAAAAAGTACTGGTCCGATTTTAAAAATTCTTTCACCATTTGAATGCTACATTATCACTGATTAATAAAGGCTATAGTGTATTTTCAAAAAAGTTAGGGCTCCGTATGAAAACTTCGATAATGTGACCCAACGTATGTAAAAAAATCCAAAAAATAGTCTCATATCGCGTACGCTGCGGAAGTCATTGACTATAGAGCAAGGTGATATACGAAAGTTTTATAAGGATACCTCTACAAAAAAGTCCACGATACCATATGTGTAACTATTACAGTAATGTCACAACTAGAGGTCCCCCCCTGCGGTTTCACCCGCGTTAATTTGAAGAAAAATTTTTATAGTGAGTCAAACTTGAAATATGGACAAAGGCTGTCGCAGACTTTTTTACAGATCTTTTGATGGAGAAGAATTCCGTTATACATGATTTTAGTGTGTAATTTTAACCGTTTACCCAGCGCACGCAATGGAATCTCACAAATAGAAGAAAACGGGTCCTAAACTACGCAACGAATTTTTTACTTGGAATAGGGTATTTGACAAGTTTTAGAAAACGATCAAACGTCATTGAATAATGTTTATGGAGTCCGTAAAAAGTGGATATTCATCATTCTGTTGTGTATTTCAGTAAAAATAACCAAATCAAAAACTCCATTTACAAGTTGCCGCGAAAACGTATCTCTGTACAATATGGCGCCTTACACGCGACTGTTATTAAAACGTCAAACGATACAATGTAATGTCATTTTAACCAGAAGTTTACTTGCATGTGACGTTATTTTAGGCTCCGCCAATCCCAAGCGTTTTGGGTCACGTGACAATAGATAAGAAAACTATTATCTTTTTCGTGGGTTTTTACATTATGAATATTTTTTTTGTAAAAATTGTAAAAACCCCTGCCAATATTTGTAATTGTATTGTAAACACAGATGCTAACAATTGACACTTTATTTTTAATACTGTCAAATACCCTATTGAAGGTTTATCATTATTATGAAGAAAGTAATTGTTAATAATACAAGCCTATGTACAAAAACTACCGTCTACACTACGCTCGCTCTATACTGAAGCAAAGCGAGGGCGGCCCACTAGTATGGAATAAAAAACAGACTGACGTCAAGTTTAAAAAGGAAACACGAATAGCCAAGTGATGTGCCGGCATTAGGAAGAAAGAGTGTTTTGTTTGCAGCGCTGCCATACACATAAAATGGTAGTCTCAGATTATTTTTTAATTTTTTAATATAGCTTACTTAACTGGAAGTGTCCGTCACAATCTAAATACTGATAATTATGGCAAAAAATATACTAAGAATTATCATAAATGCCAAATTGGTGTTGGTTCTTAGCCCCAAATTTAACATTGTCCTTTGACATAGACATTTCGCACTCGCAAACTATTCGAATTCGATAATGCTTCGTGCTAGGGGTACAGAGCTGTGACAAAAATCTATATCATATAAACAATATCGACAGTACGTACCGTATCGAGCCAAATCTTGTTCACCTCTTCATAATTTTTCCTATCAACGGGGATGAGTAATCTGCCTCCCTTCTTATTGGCGGCGTCCTCCCACATGGGACGCACACCCCCCTTGAATATCGAATATTCCTGGCCGTGCTGAAGCTCAGAAGGCAACTTCATGTGATGGAACAAACTGAAAAGGGAAAAATATTACAATCTATACCCCAAGGATGACAATGAGAAACTATCACCTTAATGTGTCTGACAGTCCGAACGTCTTTCAACGAGGTAAGTATACTTGATCCTCATGAGAAAACTAGTGGCCCGCCCTCGCTTCGCTTCGGTCTATTTTATCTCCTTGGGGGAAGAATTGATTTAAACCCTTTCTTAGCGGATGCCTACGTCATAACATGTACCTGCATGCCAAATTTCAGCCCGATTCGTCCAGTGGATTGGGCTGTGCGTTGATAGATCACTATGTCAGTCAGTCACCTTTGACTTTTATTTAAATAGATGTATCTTTGTATTTGCATAATGAAAAATACCTAAATATATAAGAAATTTAAAATCACTATTTTGTATTTAGTAACTAGTACGGTTTACTTTCGTGTCTCAGTATGTGTACATTTATAGAAAGTATGTGACAAAATAAACAAAATAACTTTTACCCTAATAAATCTACATAAGTTCCTACTATGTTTTATAAGAATCAGTTTTCCCAAGAGAACTTTTGAGGGCACAGTAAATATCACATTCGGTCTGCGATTGTGAAAGCTATGGAGCTTACGCAGACTGGTTATTGGAATGGTAACCAAAAACAATATTATCTACTATTTAAGGCACGTTAAGCTGTTGGTCCCAACTGCATCTGCAGTTGTTAGCACCCACGAAACACACTAAACGCTCGTGGAGGTAATGGACCAATCTCCTTATCACGTTAATAGTCAATTTATTGTCATCAGTTTACCACCAAAAATCTTCAACAGTATCGAAAGATGTAATGTTCACTAAGTTTTCGTTCCATTTCTGGCTAGTATTCGTGTAGAACCAGACTGTCCAGGTGTTTTCCAGCGGGTGTTTGATCTGTTCAATGCTATTTGTCTCCGACGCTTTTTCATCGACTAACGAAGGCGGGATCAGCTCGACCACGACGGACTTAACGGGAGACTATAAATAAAGAAAAAGTGTATTTTTAGGGCCCATGCCCAACATACCCACTTTCGCCTACTATGTTTTTTTTTTTGAAATATAGTATTTGATCCCCTGATATTATATAGTAGAGTTGGCAAACTGGTAAGCCCTCCTCGAATTCGTCACCATCTTACCGCACTTAAATCAGAATTAACTATGATTCATTGGTTTCTATCACAAAACACAGAAAGGTTTCTATTATTGACAGCAAAGGTTATTCATCGGGTTAAGCTTCGGGCGACCAGTGGCAAATGAATGAACACCTCGCTTCACCTACCGCTTAAAAGAAGTTACTACTAAATGGTTGGAAACAGATTGTTGTTCTGATATTAGGCCGTATACAGAAAGAAAGCTGGAAGCCGACCAGCGCTTCACAGCGCTGATCCTTATCGGTAACCGGCGCAGGCATTTATAAGGACCAGCGCCGATAAGTGCCGAACGTCGCCGACAAGTGCCGACAAGCGCTGGTCATCGCTAACACCGCCCTTTGAAATTAATACCTCCTATATACCTACCTCGTTTACATGCAGAGCGAGTAAGGAGAGAAGTGGGCATGACGAGTATCTAAAAACGATACTCGTCATGCCACTGCCATTGCCACTCGCGCTGCCCTGCGCTCCCCAAAACATACAGCGCGGGTAAGGAGGGAAGTAGACAGGGAAGTGGGCATGACGAGTATGTAAACACGATACTCGTCATGCCACTGCCATTGCCACTCGCGCTGCCTGGCGCTCCCCAAAAGAGCAGTGTTTTGTGCGGAAGTCAAAGGACCGGCAGCGCGAGTGGCATGGAGCACCCCCACTAGAGTCCGCATCACACAAATTTTGTTTGGAATCAAAATCGCCAAAGTCGGTGGGGTGCAGGGAGGTCAGCCCCGCTGTGATTGGACGCGTCAAGGTCAGATCTTATACTCAGTGCAGCGAAGTGATGAGGGTAAGATCGATTTTAGAAAATATCGATATTTTCTATCGATAAACAATTTAGAATAGAGGCCTAGTACTTTAGTGCGCAAATGCGTAATCATACCCTCTCCACTTTCTTCCAGCGTTCTAATTACATGACGCGACTAGTAACTACATACTAAATTATATATAAGCAACACAAAAAAAAACACGTCCAGGACAAGAAGTATTAATGCAACGATATTAACTACCCTAGATACAACAACACGAATAAAATCGTGGCCGAAATGTGTCCAAAAGGTACATTGGACGATCCACGGAGGTCCGTACGATGATCGCGTGGTCAAAAACAATAAAATGCCTTATTTAAACATTGAAAGTCACCTTTAATGCATACGGCATAAGGTCCTAATTAAAATGCATGCGTTAAGTTCGTAAAATTTTACGATTTATTGTTATGTGAAAGAATATAGACCTTATTTTTTTTGACTTTTCACGCGCAATTCTAAATGCGCTGTTAGCAATATAGCAGGTACAGACCGTGAAGAAAAGAGATGGCTAAGGGCGACGTATAACCGACCATGCATAATTAAAAAACATTAATTAGATACCCGTCGAAAAAACGACACTTTACGTACTATTAGTATTTTTCTGTGCTTGAGTGGAGTTCAAGCACTTCTTGATTGGGACACATTTTGAGCGCTCGTGGTGTATCTAGGGTATTTAATATCGTTAATTCTATGTCTTTATCTAGGTCATAAACTATGCGCACTTAATTTCATACAAATCCGTTTAACCGTTTTAGCGTGAAAGAGTAACAAATATGCATAGAAATTTTCGCGTTTTTTCAATTTTATTAGGATATGTTTGAAGTCAAATAAAAACTGTTGGTTGTATACTTATGACATCTATTATTGTATAAGATGAAATAAATATTTATTATTTGTTTTTTCCATTTCCATGGCTGACAAACTTATCGATAAACTTACGCGTTGAGACATGAGCTGCGTCTGAGTCACTAGCAATACACGTGCCGGTGTGAGAGCGAGATAGCATATATGATGTAGCCCATGCGAGAAAGGGACAGTGTAAAAAGACATCAACGCGTTCACCAAAAAATAAATACAATTAACAGCAATTTAATATAACAGTATTTTTGTCTTTTGTAATGCATTTAAACTAACCAGTGAAAAGTAATACCATTTTTTTGAAGACTGGAAGTTGTACTCGACTTTCCACACAATTTAATTGCACAGTACGGCATTTTATACAGTTTTTTAACACGAAAACGAGAGAAGCAGTTCGACCAACGCTCGGTTACCGAATGAAACGAGGTATCGCGACGTCGGTAGGCGTGCCTCACGCATAGGTAAAATACTACTTAAGCTTGGCGTAAGCGCTTGCCCTTGTATGCGGACTCTAGTGGGGGTGCTCCGTGGCGAGTGGCAATGCGTGTTGCGCAAGCGCAAGTGCACACTCTGCGCGTCGCTTAGTTCGCGCCACTTACAAAGTTCTATTACGATGGATAGATAACATCCACTATCTTCTACGACGAACTTTTTTTTTGTACTTGATATATTTTTAAATTTCGTACATAGGTAATTATGGATTGCAAAAAGACACAGCGCGGCCGCTGTAATTACTTCGACCATTCTGCCATTGCCGAAACTCTGAAGCGAAGTGAGAGGTAGGGCAGTATGTAAACACATACTTCTCTCAATCATGCCGCAGGAATATTTAGGGAATTATTGCCGGCAACGTGAGGGGCAGCGGCATGGGCAGTCTAAACGAGGTATAATGAACAACAACTACGCTTCAATCTGCTTCCTTTATATTACTGTTACCAGTAAGGACCAGCGCTGGTCGGCTTCGAGCTTTATTTCTGTATAAAAAAAGACGAAGAGTTTTTTATGTTCTGTGAGGCTATTATTTATTGTTAAAGGCAATATTACTCATTTCATATTATCTAGACACAGTGGCGGTCTTAGGGGGTGGCGAACAGGGCAATCGCCCGGGGCCTCGCTCCTACAGGGGCCTCGCGCAACAACCCAAGCAAATTTTAAAAATATAAAAAAAATACTATTTTTTCAATGACACAAGATCGGCTTTCAGCCCTCGCTATTCTTTCAATCGAAAATGACGTAGCTTATTCGTTAGATTATTGTGCTTTAATTAAAAATTTTAGTCTTAGGAAAAGCCGCAAACATCAATTTTAAAATTTATCATCTCTGTATTTGGTAATTTTGTGAATCTTTCAATGTAAAATATTTTAAAATTCAAATTTGATTTATTTGTATAATTTAAGCATTTTTCCTTAAACATGACAAATACCTAAACCAAACAACCAGACCTACTTTCGCATCACATACTTTTCACGAAGGACAAAGGGCCTCGCAAAGACCTGCCGCCCGGAGCCTCGCAATCGGTAAGGCCGCCTCTGTCTAGACATTCAGGTTGCACAACACAATACATTCCTAATACTTTAGAACATACACATTGCATAAGGTTACGCAAGATTTTCATAACCTTCTTTAAGTTAGCTTTAAAAACATCGATGCTGAAAATTAAGTTTAACTTACTGGTAGCGCAGCGGTTTCCGAAGTTTTCCCTCCCATAGTGTAAAATCAAACGCAACTAAGTTTGTTTTTATGCGATGCACCTCCTTCTTATACGCAGTTGCAAAATATGAATATAAGTCAGTTTCTAACGAATACGGAATACTGCACGGAATACTTATCTACTTACCTACTGTTGATCAGCCATCAACGGGATTCCCCAGTTATTGCTAGTGTTATAACAATGTACTCTACTCTATGGTTGTTCCATAGAACAGACGTCGTGCCAACCCACTGAAAAACTCTATGGCACGGTTACAGTGTCTATGGTAAAAAAGAAAGGGTAAGATAAAAATTAGGCTGGCCTTACACAGTCATTCGTGGTTAATATTAATTCAAAGCGCACGGAATTGCAAACAATTCAGCTACTATCCAAACATATTCCGATTATTTTAAATTATGAAACGATTATTATGATTATTACATGTAACGTAGCGATGAATTGTTTTTTCATCGTTTCCCCATTGTGTGCGTTACAGTTGAATAGTTCCTTCAAAATGACGTAGGGGTTGCTAAGACTATTTTCTGATTTAGAGATTTGTTTGTGAAATCTTAAACTTTAAAGTGCTTATCTGGGGCCATGGCAGTGCCCCCGCCAAGTCGAGCGCGAAGCAAACACTGCCGTACCATCCTTTACGGGAACCAATTCGCCGCATTTTCAGGCCCCTATTTGAGAACCTCTGGGTAAGACCAGAACGCTGAAATTTTTGTCATCCAGTAAGCTATAATAACATATTTAAAATCCAATATTTCAAGTCTGTAGGTCATTTAGTTCCGAAGTTAAGCGAAAGCAAAGTTTCGCATTTACGACACTCACTCACTCATGATCATCAGAATAGAACTAGTACTTCCCATAAACTCAGAGAGCTGAAATTTGGTACAGAGTTAGGGTTTAATGGCCACATAAAGGGAAAATTATAAAAACTAGGATAATCGAAGATCTGGAGTACCTGGTGACCCTGATAAGAAAACACAAGAGCCCAAGCAAACTATTAGAAGAGATCGACATACCGCCTTTACAAAAAAATATCAAATTGGTGGGCCGCTTCATTTGATGTCAAAAATCGAAGGTCTGAAGTATCTGATGAAGAACCCTCAGCTGGTCTCAGCTGTATTAGAAATATGATAATGCCCCCTTCTACTATTGGTACACAAAAAAATCGACTGTTATTGCAAAATTCCAGCGTGGTGGTACCAATCTTTTAATTTAATCTAGTCTATAGCGTCCCACTGCTGGGCGAATGCCTCCCCTTCTACTTTTAATACGCATATAAATAAAATTAAAGGAAAACTCTGGATAACACTAAACTGGCATTATACTTATACTTACGAGCTTACAAGAAAAATTAGTCGAACGATTAACTTTATTCTACTCGAACATTACACAAATTAAATAAACAAATTACACTAAAATATTAATTTCTTAGACTAAGAGTGGCGGTGATACCAAGGTCTAAGTCTAAAAAATACCCTCATGGACATTGGCACCTCCATATTCTCTTGTGGCCAAGCCTACGTGGCGCTTTAACGAGTAACCAATCTTCATGGGGTGCACCTCATAAATGTTGACTTCAAGAGTATAAAAGCTCAAGCTTCAGCTGTCACCGAATACAACCAGCTTAGGCGTAAATACCGCGCCGATATTTCAGATATTAAACCGTCTAAAAGAGTAAATAAAGAACGCGAATGGGCAATACGAAAAACTGTTGCTAATGTTCAAGAATCAGAACCGGAAAAAAAGAAAAGAAAGATTTGTAATAATAAAAAGACTACTCCTAAAAAGAACAGAAAATCTAATAAAATAAATCAATATGCCCACGTTTCTACAAAAAGAAGTCATATCCCACCAAAAACATTCTGTAAAAAACTAGTCAAGTCTCGATGGAGCTGCTTGTTTATCTCTAAAAATAATGAAATCTAGACAAAGTCGTGCCAAGTCTAAAGTTCCTTACTGCGAGTTCTTTATTATTATAGTTAATGTTGTGTGACTTGGCCGTTGAAGGGTACACAAGGGTACAAAACCAGGTGCTACATGACATCATTGCACCGATGGATTAATACATGCAACATTACGTGTAAACGCACCTTTATCAAGCCTACAATAGGCTAGTTTACTCATGTCGAATTGTATTAAATAAATGTTTATTTCTTAAAGTGTTTAGTCTAAGGAACCTATATATATCGATTTCACTTCATAAAAGCAGAAGATTGCTGTAGAAATTTAATTTAAAAAAATATTTTTTAGTCTATATTTTATAAACACTAAAAACGCTGTTCGCCGCATTCGCCATGATTTTGACGTCTCTTGTGGTAAACAACTAAATGTCATTCGCGTGTTACTGTAGGTGGATTCTTTCGTCTGACTAAATTTATCTTAAAACACTTTTAACCTTAGGAAAGAAAAAAACAGTAAACTTAGTTTTTTTTGACTAAACAAATTATGGATGCCGGCTTTGTGAAAGCAGAAAGCACAAATCTGCCAAGAATTGACGCATTGATGGTTGGTGAATTTGTTGCACTAAACCCCGATTTCTGCTCTGCGGAGCAGAAAAACGACAAGGCATCTATGTAAGTACCGTGCATTAAGTATTACAATGTAGTAATAAACATAAAACTGATACAACATATGAATAAGTGTAATAAAGTTGCGTAGGTTAATTTCTTTCGGCACTTTAATCCACAACTTTCCTGGAGTCTTCAAGGATGTGTTTTTATATTCTCGTACAATACAGTAATGATAATTACTTTATTTTTCGTGGTATTTATTAGAAATCATGTTTTTTTATATTATAAACTCAGTTAAAAGTAATTTTCTACGTGTTTACGAGTTTTTGTTTACCACAGTTCACGTCATAGCATAGACAATCTATAGACTAAAATGGCCGACAGCGTTTTTGTATGTCCATGAAAAGTCTATTTTAAAATTAAAGATTTGTAGCTTTCTAGGTTTAAAAAAAATACAATACATTTTTTTTCGGTCTAATAGAACATTTATTAACCATTTAAAACCTTTTTCCAAAAAGGGTCAACTAGCCTATTGACTGGTTATTCAATCAACGTTTTCCAAGTGGCAATTTTCCATCGTCAATGGGTAGCGGTTCTGGCGACAGATTGATGCAATGGTGTCATGTAGCACTTTATTTTGTACCCTTGTGTACCCTTCAAGGGCCAAGTTACACAACATTTACTATAATAATAAAGAAATCGCAGTAAGGAACCTTAGACTTGGCACAACTTTGTCTAGATTTCATTACTTTTTAGAGATAAATAAGCAGCTCCATCGAGACTTGGCTAGTTTTTTACAGATTGTTTTTGGTGGGTTTTTGTTTACATCTTGAGAAAAAAACAACGAGATTTTATGTATTACACCCACACCTAAAAGCTAAACTATTAGCTTTAAAAATCTAGAAAAAGTCATGATAATAGTGCTTTTCGTAAGCTTTTAAGTTAAATTATAACGATTTAGGTAGATCGTTAGTTTAAATGTAATAGTCGTTCTACTTATAAATAGCGGCACGTAACACTAGCGCTGAACAAAACACGGAGGGGATAGCTGCACATAGGTACGACTGGAAAGCCAATGGGCGCAACGCACGCCTACCCGTGCACATCGTTTCCCTCCAAGACATCTAAATTTTTTCCTCGGCTCACAAACAGTCAGAGGTAGTTTCGTGCCGCGATTTATATGTATTTGAAGAAAACGTTAATAATGACTTGTAGATAAAGTAATTGTTTAAAATAAAAACTCCTTCTGAAATAGATTGTGGTAACGACTGGCAACTACGGAACCCTATACACGCACTTGGCCAGTTTTTATCATTAATTGTCTACGACGAGCACACACAAACGAGCGTTCGTGAGACAATTAACCAATCAAACCATAGATCAACCCTCTTGTGTGTCTTAGAATAAAAAGAACCGGATTTTAGATTATGTATTCATATAAAGGATTCAGATTCCATCAAAACAAACTTGTACCAGGTTTCCGATGTAATTTGTTAATATGAATTATGTAAATGAATAAGGGTGTCGCCAGTCTATGGCCTAAGGGGATGGGGGAGGGGGTCCGAGGCTTTAGCTAGCCCCCCCCCCCCCTCCCCTAGCTAAAGCCTCGGGCCCCCGGGTATTATGGGGCTTATATACCTATACCTAGTGTTTTACTACGTTTTGAAACGGGATTGAAACAGCGTTGCCAGATTATTTTTTGCCAAGTCAGTCGGTTAGTAACTTTTTGAGTGTTTTTGAGTGAAAAAAGTGGGAGTTATTCCCGAAAAGCGGGATTGAGCCAGTCCCACGCGGGACATTTAATTTTGATGTAAAAATTGGCAACGATGGATTGGAATCACATTCGAGTTTACAGGAAGCAGAAATGTTTTTGACGTGATAACGTCATAAATTGATTAACACCGGCTGCACGCACGAAAATGTGACGACGTCACACTTTTTCGTGACGACAAGCAAGTTTTAAAGTTTTTAAGATCACCTCAGAACTTTTATTTGGTCTGAGAAGATCACCTAAAATGTTATCTACAATAAATGGTGTGCGGATGCGGAATTTTGATACCGACACTCGGTTATTGACGCAAAATGAAAAAAAGTCCCTCCTTGTCTGGGAATCAAACCCGGGCCGCCCACGGGGTAATCGAGCTTTCTACTACAGAATCACCATTGCGTGTTGATAGAGTAACATTTAAAAATGTAATGCGACATTCTAAAGATGAAACATTAAAAAAAAATGGGTGCGTGTACTTATGTAGGCGCGTGAAAAGTTATCCTTCTTTGGCATCGTTTAAAATTAGTTTTTAATTGCATGCAAATAATTAATTACAATAAATTAATAAAAAGTCTGGAAAAGGACACAGTCAATAAAGATCAGTTGTAATTTGAAAAAATAAATAAATAATCAAAATATTCAATTAAAATCGCTACTGAATATAATTTATTAGAACATATGTGATTTGCACTTGTATGAAACTCAAACACGTATTCCGAATATACAAACTAGAAACATGTGGATAAATATTATAAATATGAATACCTATAAGTGTTACTTTATAACAAAAAATAAAGATGTGGTTTTTGGTTCTACTACACCAATGGTCAAGAGATGGCGCTGTAGTCTCCTGAATCGCGCTTTGGTTCCGTTGTTCCAGATTAATAAATACTTTTGATAGGCCTTCACTTCACAATGCAGTCGTTAGCACTCATTGAGGCGATACGCGATATAATCAAAACATACTTTAATAACATTTTTGCTTCCTGCAAAGTTGAATATGATTCCAATCTGAACGGAGTTACGAGCACGACAAGTGTGAAGCTTCATCTAACCACATTAAATACTTTTAAACCTTTATGTAAATAAAATCGGTTGGGTTTCTCGAAATCTAGCGCCCCCACTAAGATTTGCCTTCCGTCCTATTATTACTATGTATTTTACTATATGTTTTAACTATATGATGCAATAAAGAGTATAATATTTATACAACATATAATATATCAAGCAAAAAACATCACATATCCTATGGGAGTCTCCCACCTTAATATTTATTTTATTCAGTTTTTAGTATTTGTTGTTAGAGTAGCAACAGAAATAACTGATGAGCTATCAGAGTTCATGATACAGCCTGGTGGCAGAAAGATGGACAGTGGAGTCTAGTAATGGGGCTCCATTTTTACCCTTAGGGTTCGAAACCCTAAAAAAAACCCTACCACATACCCTGGACCCTAAAAAAAATGTTTTTAAAACTTTTACCAGTCCCTCGGTATGATAAATGCACTGGTGTAAATTAAAGCAATTATGGTGGTAAATTTTCAAATAACATAGTCAGCCCCAATTCAAGTCTATTTTGTATTGTCATCGTCAAATTCTAAATAGAAAAAGGTAGGTTGTTCTTAAATCCGCTGCTTAAGTTTTCATAGAAACTTGAGATGCGATAGATTACGGAGCTGTCAAAATATTGAATGTGGGCCTTTGTATTTTAATTTAAAAAAAAAATATTCTTTATAAAATACCAAAATATATAATTATGTAGTTTTTACTATTTGACACAAATACAAACAATACTTATGAGTGAATCTTAAGAAAATGTTGACAAAATGATACTTCGACATAATCAACAAAATTTAAGGTGTAAAGCGTGAATATAATAAGATGCCATGTTGTTTTAAATTTTTACACTATTTCATGGTTATAATATAATGTGTGATACAGATACACTTAGATTTTTATTTAATAAGAATAAGGCTTTGCTGACTGTCTGTCGTTCCATTGAAACACGAAACACATTCATCAAACAACAGCCACAAACGGCTCAACCACCTTACACCTATGTGACTATATCGACAAACATACTCAAGCACAGCTTTAGTACAAAAATCAGACTTAAATTTAATGTTCGTAACAAATACATTACTAGTCACATTAGTAAGAAACTTTATTACAACACAAACTATCAAATAGTCAACCTAAACAATACCTACTTTTGTTAAATAAAAATCTTTAATTTAAAAGTAACAATTGTTATGAGATAACTTTCAGTGAAACAGAATGTGCTAGTTTATAATCCTTACAGGTCAGAAGGATCTTTCACATGCCTGTTCTCTTAATTTACACTAATGTTGTTATCGCAACACTTTGTTACACACAATCAGGTCGGATGACTAAACAGTGTATAGATTTTTAGTAGCTGAACTATGCTTGACCATGGTGTCTCTGTGAACTTGGAATCCAATTTTACCATGGATACCCAGCTGATCCTTCAGTTTCCTCCCAATTTCCAAGTTAGCATGCTGCTTTGATGTGTCTGCTGTCCAGATTCCTGTAACAATATTTGTAATTGTATTATTTTAATGTGAATACTTTACAAACCATCTCTTTATTTTATAACCAGTTTATTTATTTAAATGATTATAAGATTTCTCTAACATTCAAGTAAAAGAAATACATAAGTTGACATCTTACTAAAAGCCATGTTCTTCATACAAATGTATGCTAAATCCAGGTAAAAACACCATGTTGTATCTTAGTGAGATGTTTGAAGTAAATGGATACAAATTTTTATGATACTGTGGGCCTTACGACTGCTCTAAAATACACACCTATTTTATCAGTTTTAGGTCTAACATTTACTACAGCACCACATATTTCTTCAGAGTGTTCAAAATTTTCTCCAATGAGCAGCAAGACCTGAAAAAAGCATTTTGTTAAATATTGATTGTATTATTGTAGTAGAAAATAGAAATTGAAAAATACTTGTTTTGAAATCCTAGCAGTTGGTGAAGTTTAATATTTAAAATTACTTCTATAACTCCAGAAAATTATCTGTAAAATTTCTTCTATATTCAATCTATAAAGACATACCACATCAAGCCAGAATCGGTCAAGATCAGAATTACGCTGCTTCCTGTCAAGATTGATAAGCCATCTTCCACCCATTTTATTGGCATCATCTTCCCACATAGGACGAATTCCTTGCTTGAAAACAGCATAATCATGGCCCTGACGGAGCTCTGATGGAAGTTTAATATGGTGGTATAATCTGGAATGTAGATTGCAATAAGATTAAATAAACAAAATGAGGTATTTACACACTTTCGGCATTCAAATATATTTGTATAAAGAATTGTCATTTTATCAAGGCACCGAATAATAAAAAGAGCAATGTTTTCTCAACTTACCTCCAAAAATCTTCCACTGTGTCAAATGTCGTCAACTCAATAAGATTCTCTTCCCAAGTCTTATTTCTGTCATTGTCATAGAACCAGAGACTCCATGCATTTTGGAGAGGATGTTTGATTAAAAACTCAGGTGGTACTTCGGCATTGCTGTTAGTCTTTGCCTCAGTTACGGCAGACCCCTTGAATACACAACTCATTTTTAATAAACCTAACCTTAAATTTTCAGTAAGGCGCAACAACAAACACTATGTAATTACAAAATAACAACACTTTAATGCAAAAAAGTAAGCTACAGTATATCAAAATTCAGTGAAGTAGTTTTAAAACCGGTGAATACGAAACAAATGCTACAGTGAAAGTTAGATGAGCCACATCACCATATCATGTGTAATTCACAAGAAATACTATGCATTAAAGCCAATTTTAAGGTAGTTCAAATATTTTACAACTTATTCGTATTATTCCTACCCACCTCAACTTCTTCAGTATTATTTCCAGCCATGTCACAAAATTCCTCTTGACCAATTTTTACAAAAAAGGCAGACAGGCAGCAAATGACAATGTTATGTTATGTTGCCAGTGAAATCCCCATAGAGTATACATAAAGGAGACGGTTCAAATTATAGCGAAATCGTTCGTCCATGCTACCCATTCACAAGATGTTCTTAAAAAAGCTACAAGCTTTCATATTTCATACAAAAAAGTTCATGATCAAGGTATGTTTGACTTAATATATGTCTGAATCATTTGGCTATATTTGAATAAATAACAGCTAATTATAAAAATATATTGCATTAATAGAACTCGACTCGTAAATGCTCGTAAATCCAGGACTACGTCCATTATAGACTTTTGTTACACCTGGAGCGCAGGTTTAGAACGCGGCCCTGGATGAATGGATTTATTATTTTGTTCTGAAAACACTGGTATTAAAATGTCAAAAAACTCTGTCACATTTTAGCACAATCTTTTTGGCGTTTACCGGTCCCGTCCACAAAAAAACCCAATAAATAAATATAGAAACAAAAGTACAATTACTTTAATTTAATAAAATGTCGGTGCAGACTTTGCTCTTAGACTTTTCAATTGACCCTGCTCGGGTGGGAGACGAAAGTGGGCAGAAATCAGTATTCGGTCAGCTAGAAACTGTACTAAAAGATTATATCCCGAATCTCCTGCTGGCGGCTGATATAAAAATAGATGGAGGTTCTTTGAAACTAATGACAGGAAAGAAAGGCACCACTGTCTCTGTAAGACTGTTTGACCGAGGTCTTGTGACTGTAAATATTGAATACTACAAGGAAGACAATGAAGAACCAGTAATAAGTTTCAAGGTAAAATTAATGTGTATAGTTAGCTACCATTTATACTTTCAACAGTGTATATTATTAAAAAAAAGTCATCAAATGATAGATACTTACTGAAAAAACACATTGACTTATGTAACCTAATTTCCGGAAAGCACCACTTAGCATATTTAATTCATCAATAAAAAATAACCTTTCTAAATTCTGAAGTCTACATATTACAACTTACAAATTACAAATACAAACTACAAATTTCTAATTTAATAAAAACAAAAAATACCAAAATCCTATTTGTCATTAAGGTTGAGCGTAACATCTTCTTTTGTAGAATTCTAAACTACTGGAAAGTTCAGTGAGAATGTCACTGGACTGTGAAAGAATAAAACTATTACCAACAATCAAACGAGGCTATAAATTTGATGTCTATTTGACTAGCTCAGGTTTGCTGTCTATTATTTCTATGGCCCCTAAATATACTTCAGTTATTTTATCATTAGTATTGTAGACCTTTAATACTTTAATCTATTTCCTTATTTATATTATATAAACAATAGTGTTGCACCGAATGCGAGTCTTGCCAGATGTTCTGTTTGAATAAGTGCTGAAACCGAATGTCTGCTGAAGTTTGGCTGAAAATCTGTTAAATTTTGCCAACTTTTGCAAAATTTTTATATATTGTTTTGTTACAAAAAAAAGTTATAGAAAGTATCTATAGTATTATCTAAAATAAATTATAAAGAAGAAAGAATGTTTTTTAAGCAAATTTTTCGATTGTTGATGTTTTTCTTGTCTAGGACAATAGAAATAAACACTAAAGATCATCCACATAATACCTATTTACTTACAAATCATCATTTGATCTAGATTTCATTTTACAAAACATGTCTATTCACTTTTCTATCCCTTTTTAAATTAATTTAAGCTATTTTGGCCGACATTCAGGAGATCTGAAGAAGAAGAATATGGCCAAATACGAAGTTCGGCAAAAGCTTTGGTAAAACTGAATATGAAATGGATTTCGGTGCATCTCTAATAAATAATCAAATCATTCTGCTGCACAACAATTCACACCTCTATTTATTTTATTGCAATAGGATTCTGTACCTATTTGCAAATCTTTACTGCCATTTGTTTTGCAAATAGTGAAATATTTGAAATTCATTAATTAGTCATATTGCTTATTGAATTTAATATCTTCAAAATTTTAATCATTACATGAATATACTTGTGTCATCATTTCTATATGCAAGAAAAGATACACAATTAAATGTGAAATTGTGAATAGAGGGTACAGAATGCCTTTTTAATATATTGGACTTCACATAGTTTAAGTTACAGCAAAGGTATCTGAACCTACAATCAAATCTCACCTTATTTATTTAAAATGATTTACCATTATCCATCATTGTGCTAATTATTTTGATATTATGTGTGTTTTTATAGTTTTTGAATAATGCCAATACCAGTATAATAAATATTGGCTATTATTTATTATTAGTACTGTATACTTGAGATAAACCCTATTTCTGTACCATACACCATATTAATTAATGCATGTTTATATTATTATGTAATTTATTTATACTATGTTTATTTACAATGAAAATTTTCCAGTACCTATAATAGATGACGCTCAACCTTAAAGTTTTATCTAATCATCTCAGGCAGATTTACACCAAGCCATGTATTATCATTAACACCAAATCTTAATTAAATACAAATATTTTTTTCATTTTATTGAAAATATGTTTTGGTGTCGGTGAGCCTTAATAAAATCTGCATGTTTAGTTCTACCTGCATTAATTCAGTTTGTCTTTTTTCCTCTTTTAATTATTTTACTAGTCCGCAAGAGTATTGGAAAGTCAGCTGAAAAAATACATCACTATTATAAAATCGCAAGCTTATGCTCCAATAAAAAGATGCCTGTTTAGCAGGTATTATCCAACATCAGGTAAGTGCACAATGTAATGGGAAATTAATAATTTCTATTTATTTTATTACTAACACACTAATTTTATGAACTTAGCTTACTGAAATTATGCCCTGACAAGAAAAAACCCCATATCAAGTACGTGGGTGCGGAGCAAAACGCACACAAGCGCGTAATCTGCAACTGCGCGTAAATGCAGTTGGAATGTGTTGCATTACGCGCGTTTTAATACAAAGAATGTTACTTGCAAGCAACGTAACAACACGCACTCCCGCGCTATGCAGCGTAATGCGTGGCAGTGTGATAATCGCCTTACAACTTACAAGCCTTGTTTGGTTCATAGTACAGTGTCGCATTGTACGATGTAGCACATTCATAAAAAGACTGTCATAGTATCTCTATAAGTCTTCTTAAAATCGGTGGCATCAGTTGTAAAAATGCAGGTCCTTGTATTGCGTTCATTAGGATCCTATGATTAAGGTCCTTTCTAACCAATGGAATTTCGTTTAAATACAAACATACGAAAAACAAGATATTCGATAGATTAAGACCCTATTCACACCACGTTTTTAAGCGTGTTGTCGACATGCGTTAGTAGCGATACAGACGCGATACGCACGCGAGTCACACGCAGCCTGCAGACTTTTGCATACCTATAGGGCCCTGCCTATGCACACCAGGTTTTTTAATCTCGCCGTCGACACGCGTTTGTATCGATACAAATGACAATAAACTGCTTTGTGGGATAAAGGTGCGCCGTCGGTCGACCCGCGTTTTTCAAAGGCGCCGCCAACACGCATTTGTAGCGATACCAGCGCGCGTGTCTATTTACACAGCTAGCATACTTGCACACTAGCTTAGCACTAGGCAGTAGCCACACGCGTAGGATAAGAGTGCGAAGACCCGGTACGTACCTGGGCGTTTTTCCCCGCCCCCCGCGGCTAACGGCTAACTAGAGCCGATGTCCGAGTCTCAGAGACGCCCTCTGGTTGAGCCGACCCCCTCAGATTCGAGTGGTCTAGAGGCTCCAGACGGAAAGGAGACTCCCCCCGAGGGAGATGCCACCCGCCTAGAATACCTCTAGAGGCACTCGCCAATTCTCGGCTTGAGGTCCCCTTAGGATCTCGCCGTTCCCTAACACGGTGACGCTGTAAAAATCATGTGCGACCAACAGCATACACACAAAAAAAAATGGATGCGTGTAACTTATGTACGCGCGTGAGAAGTTATACTTCTTTAACATCATTAAAAATATTTTTTAATTGCATGCAAATAATTAATAATTACAATAAAATAATAAAAGGACTGGAAAAGGATAGTTAACACAGTCAATTAAGTTCAGTTTTAATTTGAAAAATTAAATAAATATTCAAAATATTCAATTAAAAGCACTACTGAATTTAAGTTATTAGTCCATATGTAATTAGCACTTGTAAGTAACTAAAACACGTTGTGTCTATATAGAAACTAGAAACGTGTGGATAAATATTATAAATATGAAAACAGTGATCAGAGGCGACGAGCGTGCCAACATTGTTTTTGACAACGCGATCATCTTATGGAGCTCCGTGGATAATGGTGGATTATTACCCACTAAGTGGTTAATAATCCACCATTATTAGACACTAACATTCATAACGCGCCCGCGGCCAACTTCATGGTGTTACTATTGTGTTACAGTGATGCGCGCGCATCTCGAAATTTCACTCACATGATTTTTTCATAACGCGCCCGCGGCCAACTTCATGCTGTTACTTTTGGGTTACAGTGATGCGCGCGCATCTAAAAATTTCACTCTCATCATTTTTTCATAACGCGCCTAAAGAAGTATAACTTCAAAAAAGCATGTCTATCGATACAAACGACATCTAATTACTCTGTAGGATAGAGCGCGTCGACAGCGCGTTGAGAAAACGTGGTGTGCGTAGGCTCTTAGAACTTACCAGATGCTGTACCGATCAAAGTTAAAATAATGAACATTTCTAATTGTATTATGACTATATTTTCAGATGAAAGACTGCTTGAGTATGATATCGATGGTGTTTTATTTGATGAACAGTCGCCGTTTCAAAGAGTGCAAATTGTTCACTCAAAAACTCTCGGCAATATGCTGGTACTCGATGATTTGCAAAGTAAGTAAACTTACCTAAAGATCGAAATTGTCATACAAAACATTCACAGGCAGCCTGGGATTAAGCAGAGCTTGTGGAAAAACTTCGCTGCTAATATGTATAACTGTCTTTACATTCTGCCATATACTTTGGTGGACCATTGAACCTGGCAGCATGAGACGCACTCGACATTTTAACATGTGGAGTTGTTGTCGGGCTAAAAATATTGTCCAACAAAATAGTGCGGTAGAAATCATGCCAATTTTCTTCTTGCTTGGCTTAACCTCAACTATTTTCCATGCTTCATGGAGAAATATACGACGGCACCAAAAATATACAAATTTAGCTTGAGTACCTTTTTGTTATTTTTTTTTTGCAGATATTTCTGAAGCAGATTTAATCTACACTGAAACCTTAATGCAAAGAGGCAAGGAGAGTTACGAAGGAAAAGAAATCGTCATACTAGGTAACTTGACTACTTTAAAGAGTTTGCTTACCAAAAAGTCAAAAGTTAAAAAAATATTTATTCAAATTGGATGCACAGTACAACTCTTTTGAATAGTCTATCTCTTTTTCTCTTACCAAAGGTTAAGGACATTGTTTTTAACTGTGGAGAAAAGCTTGCGAAAAAAACTTCACAGCGGTAAATAATTATGTAACAATATTTACAAAATATTATATTGTAATGGTGTCTTGTTACGGTGTTATACGTTAAGACTGGATAACAAAGATATTAAATACCCTAGATCTGGAGCTCTATTTTTGAATCACTCGCCTTGCGTCGAACGCTCGAGTTCTACTTATTTTCATTCGTCATAATTTAATCCGTATTTTTGAATCGCTCTAGTGCAACGAAAGGGTGAGACCACTCGTTGCATGGCGAAGTTAGTGTCAAACTTAATTCACTTTTGCACTTTTTCGTTGTTTACTGTGCTATTTTTTGAAATTATGACCATTTCTTGAGACCACCCTTGCATTCCTAATTCCGACCATTCATCAAGCATCCCGCGCTTACGATAACTTTGGGTAGACACACGGTCACCGTTATTAGAACATGAATCTAGAAGACTTTCGACACCTTATTCTTTCGATTTATAAAGATTTCTTGTGTGATTGGATTTAGCCACTGAATAAAATTAAACTATTTGAAACTGTTTTGAAATGACCGACGGTGTTGTGACGTTTGAATGTTTCTAATGCCGGCACTTCACTTTGCTATTCATATTACTATTAAAAACGATAAAAACGTTTTATATATAGACACATCCATATTAGACAGAAGTCTGTCCTTTTTTCTCTCTAAGCGTGCAAGTGAGATGAAAATATGCACCGTGAAGTTCGTACTATCGAGTTACCGACCGTTTAAACGATGCTCGAAAAAATTTACTTGTACTACCATTGATGAGGTAAACTGACAGTTTGTGCGAGCTTAGGAAAGCTATCATAGTTTTCGTAATTTTAAAACTCGTACTAAGAGTACTGGTCTACCCCCTCACCACGTACGTACCGCTTTTTCGTGACAGCATGATCCTAATACCCCCCGTCTATATAGAAGTTTCACAATAACGGTCGCATCACAATACATATACGAATATTTATTACTTGTAAGAAAAATATCTCTTTTCTTAAAAACAGTGATGTTCACATACTTAATACAAGAAACAAAAATAAACTAACTTTACCTGCCACTAGGCTTCACAAAATCAATAATTCATTTAAAGGTCTTTGTTTTCGCTTATACAATAAAGTCCCAAGCTATATCCAAGAGCTATAACCATAAATAAATTCAAAGATAGTATAAGAAAAGCACTTATTAAAAAAGCTTATTACAAAGTGTCTGATTATATTACAGACAAAAATGCTTGGGTATGAACTGTTACAATCATTCCAACAGGTTTTCTATATTAAATAAATCATGATTGTATTGACGTTGTGACAACATAATGAATTGTAAATTTTGTTACATTATACTTTTAATGTTGTGGAGTTTTTTTCGCTCGTTTTTCTCCGCAGCTAAAATATATTATGTCCAATAACGAGTGGTAGGGAAAAAAATGTTTGGACGATTCAACAGTGTTGTACTATACATCCAATTTGAATAAAGATACATTGATTTCTGAATAAATCGTTGGTAGGTGGAGGTGATGGCGCACTGCTATACGAATTGTTGAAGGAAAAGCCCAAGTTTGTGTGGATGTTGGAGATTGATGAGCTGGTGATGACCGCCTGCAACAAACACATGCGCTCTATCTGCGGAGATGTTCTGGCCACCAGGAAGGGACCCAATTACGAAGTAAGCGGTACTCTTCTCTCATTGATTATCTAGCAAAATCAAGATCATACTCATACATACTTCACATAATCCTACTAATATTATAAATGCAAAAGTGTGTCTGTCTGTTACCTCTTCACGCTTAAACTGCGGAACTGATTCAGATGGCATTTGGTATAGACTATACATACGGACACGGATACGGATCTTTCTTCTGCCTCGGATATCCGCGGATACGAATACGGATACGGATATCCGGTAAATAATAATGGAAGTAATGAAATTATCTCGAAACTATCTCTATACTAGTGATGTCACTAGTATAGAGATAGTTTCGAGTCCCGAGAAAGGACATAAGATAGTTTTTATACTATAATCATCCTTGAAGGATTCTAAGTAGTAAGAAACCCGGGTGCCAATTTTTAAAATAAGCCTCCCTTCCCCATTCCTTCGTTGCCCCAGGGCCTCGACACCTCTAAATACGGCCCTGATTTGAAATGTCACATGACGTCATGACATTTTTTACTTAGAAGCGACGTCACGAGATCCCACTCCCAAACTTTGACATACTTTATCTTTATAATTTTAAAGCATGTAACTGCTTGATGTTTAAATCTAAAGAGGCCGTGAGGGCCGCGGTAGCATAATTGGTCAGTGCATTCGCCCGGATTGCGCAGGGTGCGGGTTCGAGTCCCGTCTGCTGCCTGGTCCGCGTGGAATTTTTTCTAGTTATATTTTCTTTATGCTTTATCTTTGTAATTTGTTTTGTTGATTGACAATAGAAACAAATATTTTATCGGATCCATTATTTTTTGATAATCTGACGGACTTATATAAATAGAATTTCGTTCAAGGGTCAAACATAAACTGTCACAATTTAAGGGAGAGGACGAAATGTAACAAGTGGTGGGAAGTTTATGTTTCGTGACGTCACATTTCAAAATCTACTTTTGAACTATGTATTAAACTATACCTGTACTGCTTTTAATTTGTTTTGTTGGCTAATTTTCGGTTCTAAATTGGGAAGTTGAGTTTTAATTTAAAAGGTAATTTTCAGATACAAAATAGACTTATGACGATGAGAAAATGTATGACGTCACACTAAGGATTGGGGACTTACAAATGTAAACCAACTGTGACAAGGCAGGGGGAGGGATAAAATAATCATGAAACTAGTGAACATTATAGATGACCCCTTACTTTACCTCTTGCAGATAATCGTCGACGACTGCATGTTGACCGTGAACAAGTTCATAAAGGAGAACAAGAAAGTGGACTACATATTCGGCGACCTCACCGACATCCCCATCTCGGAGTCGGCCTGCGGCGAACTGTGGGAGTTCCTCATCACCATACTGCGCGCCGCCTTCCAGATCCTCAACGCCAATGGGAAGTTCATGACCCACGTATGTATAACCAATTACCTTAAACTCAGGTAAGATTTAAGGCTTGACTTAGAGTAACAGGCAGAATAGCTCCAGGTCCTCAACGAGAAGTTTGTGACCCATGTATGTTATTATTTTCTGACTGCATTTTCTGCAAACTGTGGGAGTTCCTCATCACCATACTGCGCGCCGCCTTCCAGATCCTCAATGCCAATGGGATGTTCATGACCCACGTATGTATGCTAACAATTACCTTAACCCCGAGTAAGAATTGTGAGGCTTGTGTTATAGTAGACTTAGAGTAACAGGCAGAATACCTCAGGCCGCTTCCAGATCCTCAACGGGAAGTTTGTGACCCATGTATGTTACAATTATCTGACTACATTTTCTGCGAACTGTAGGAGTTCCTCATCACCATACTGCGCGCCGCCTTCCAGATCCTCAATGCCAATGGGATGTTCATGACCCAAGTATGTATGTTAACAATTACCTTAACCCCGAGTAAGAATTGTGAGGCTTATGTTATAGTAGACTAAGAGTAAGAGGCAGAATACCACAGGCCGCTTTCCAAATCCTCAACGGGAAGTTTATGACCCATGTATGTTACAATTATCTGACTACATTTTCTGCGAACTGTGGGAGTTCCTCATCACCATACTGCGCGCCGTCTTTCAGATCCTCAATGCCAACGGGAACTTTATGACCCACGTATGAATGCTAACAATTACCTTAACCCCGAGTAAGAATTGTGAGGCTTATGTTATAGTAGACTAAGAGTAAGAGGCAGAATACCACAGGCCGCTTTCCAAATCCTCAACGGGAAGTTTATGACCCACATATGTATGCTTATTAACATTCACACCATTTACCTTAACTCCAAAGTAAACATTGTAAAGCTTGTGTTAACAGGGCCGGATTTAAGGCTGTGGTCCAGGCAGTGCCGTCTTTGACCTATTGGAGGCCCTGGGCATATTAGGATAATGGGGCCCCTACGACCCCCGTTTGGTGATTTAACAGGAACTAGGGACTTATTTGATCTGAAGGGGGCCCCTATCGATCGCGGGGCCCTGGGCACTTGCCCAAAGTGCCCACTGGGAAAGAGGGCCCTGGGACCCCATAGAAGAGAGGGTCTCGAGACCTTTGATTTCTTCCCAATTTTGTACCTTGGTTCAAGTCATCTCAAAAAACATCTAAAATTATACTTCAAAAGATTCACATATCAAAATATCATAAAGCCAATAAAAATTCTAAAATACTGAATTAAAATAGGACATCTGCGTTTATAGAAACATTATTACTAAGACCCAATTTGTCATTACAAAAATACTATTGGTTTAAGTTAATTTCCTTAATTGTGATTGGTTGTATCCTAGCAAGCCTAGTGCGGATTGGTAGGTGCTAACGACTGCAGGTGCAGCCAACCAACGGCATAACGCCACTTTCGAAGCACGAAGGAGTGACAGATAATAAATCTTTGGTCACCCATCCAATGGCCGGCCATTGCAATAGTTTCTCAACTTCCATGATCACAGCCAATACCGCACCTCCCACTTGCGCCATCGAGTTCCTCGTTTGTCCTTATTTTTTGTTGTTACAAAATTGTACATTTGCCACTACGACGGAGGATTTATTTACTTTGAAATTAATTACTAATCTTACTTTTTGAATTTGTATTTTACCTTTTAGTTCGTTTTTTGGCAGTTGTTTTTTTTTTCAAACTTAAGTAGTGGCACCAATGACAGCTAGGAGCCAATGATCGTCTTTTTTTCTGTGATCATTGAAAGTAGTAGTAGGTGACCGATCGCTATATGTGGTAACACCAAGCCTCTATAGCTCTGTGTGAGCTTTGAAGAATTAGAATTAGTGAAATCTTTAAAATATACGCTATTCCGGTCAAGTGGACCTGAGAACTTTATTGTAGTATTGACTACCTCACAGAAGCTTATCGAAAAAACCAACTCGATACGTTTCGTATACGACTGAAGGACTTGTATCCATGGTCATGAATAAATTATAAAAAAAAATAGCTCGGTGTGGTTTTTGGCGGGATTTCATCGAGTACGGTTGGCGTCTTATTTTAATTATTCTTAAATTCGTTCATAGTAGATATTTTGAAATAAAATTGGTGTGATTGTGTGTTACAACAATCTGCGCAACTGAAGAATTAGTGTAATTTTTAAAATATACGCTATTCCGCTCAGGTGGACGTGAGAACTTTATTGTAGTGTTGACTACCTCACAGAAAAAACCAACTCTATACATTTCGTGCCAAACACGCCAAGAAACATTAGAATGCGTCACACCGACATTCTAATGTAAGAAAAAAAAAGAAAATAAAGATTTGTTTTTATGTATAAGACTGAAGGCCTTGTATCCATTGTGTTGCCATATTTACTGATGGGTTGTCTACTCGTGTTTCCATTGATCACCGAAGGAAATGTCGATCAGTGGTTCTTATCAGTCATAAAGTGCGACTTCCTTAATGTGCTTTCGTTTCTCACAAACAGGGAAACGGTGCCACCTCCCCCGAGTCCTTGGAGCTCTACGAACAAGAGTTGGCGAAGCTCAAACCACCCGTGAAATTCACCAAAAGCAAAGCTTTCGTGCCGTCTTTCCTCGAAGACTGGATCTTCTACCAAATATCACATGCTAACGCTGGCAACGGAGATGCCTAACACACGAATACCAAAGATCTAATCACAACATTGTTCCTTTCAAGTATTTTGACGACGTTCTACTAAGTCATATTTTTAATATTAATGCCATTATTTGTAGATTATAATTTTTACTAACGCACCTCCAGAAAAAAAGGTTTTTTTTACCGAGGATTGTATTGTACGATATTATGTATATAAATACATAAGCAATATACCTCTACAATGATTATTGTAAGATATGAAAATAACTTGACAGAGAAACATTTTGTGAATTTCGGGAGAGTGCTATTTTGATTGTGGCTATTCACAATGTCGGTTGCATTATTTTTGATATGTTTTATAGAAGCTATTTTGTTATAATATGTTATTGTGTTTCTAGATTGCTTTATGGCAGCATAGTATTAGCTTTTAGAGGTTGTTTTAACAGCAGTATTTTTTTCCTATTATTATTAGGTTTTTAAAGTGATTATTTCGTCATACATCCTATTATAAGTTATTGCTTGGTTCTTTGTTTGATATTTAACTGAATTGACACACAGTATACGTTCAAGGAGGCTACGGTGATAAATATATAAAATGAAACAAATGTTGTGTTATACATAAATATATCACGATATTGTACAAAAATTACAGGCATATCATTATAATAACAATATTGGACTAATTATTTTATTTTCAATTTCGATAAACAGGTATTCATAGGCTTTTGCTCTTAGTTTACTTTGACAATGAAAAAAAATTCAACATTACAATCAACAACACATCATGTTAAGATACAACTATTTTACATTGTGACCCAAGAGATTACAGTACGACCTAGATCTTATGGTGCATGGAGGTAGAGAGAAGGAGAACGCCTGTCCCTGAAAATTTGTAGAATTCATAGTTCATTTTTCAGCCACCAGCCGCGCTGCCGTCGGTAAGTAGTATCTGTGAAGTTAGCTGTTTAAGAGTACAAGTAGATGAAGTTAGTTGAATAATGTACAAATTCCAAATTAGCGCACAACAGCCCGCTTTTTTTGAGACAGCTTAGCGATCGCAGCGTCTCACTTATTTTGTCCATATTTCTGGGACACTATATTCTACAGCGATCGTTCTTCTTCTCTCTAACCTCCATGTTGTGGTGCTTAGATGACATTGACAAGAGCACGCTGCTGGTGAAGTAAGGATTAATAAGTACGAAAAATCTCGTGTCTCTCACAACGGGCTATTGGCAAAATTTCTGTGTAAAGCGGAAACAGCCATAGGCAAAAAAAAAGTAAAATCTGTGTTCTAGGGTTTTTTATAATTTGCAATAACTCGGAAAGAATAATAGGTAATATAAAAGACTTCTTTACAGCTTTTATGTAAAAAAAAGGCTTTAAATAAAATTTGTTGCTATTTCCGATGACCAACATCTTGTGATGCATGGCCGAATTCGGAACCAATTTAAAATAGTTACAAAATAAGCCTTTTATTTTTAGAGGAAGATGTAAGTAAACCTTTTTATATTTAGTATTACTCTTTCCGGGATATTACGCAATTTTCTTACCCTCATATTACGATTTATTCACCAGCAGCTGTCAATGTCATAAAAGTGCCACAAGATCTTGGTCGCACTGTACTGCAATCATAAGATGAGATAAGATGCTCCTTACTTCAAAACTGCTTTACAGAAAGTGTATAAATAATAAACATTTTTTCCGACACACACCAAGTAGCCTAGCCCCAAAGCAAGCACTGTAAGGCTTGTGTTATGGGATACTAGGGTAACGGATAGAATACATATAAAACATCCATGACTGGGTATAAATTCTCGTATTCATCACACAAACATCTGCCCCCACCGGGATTCGAACCCGGGACCTCTCGAGTCGACGACACCGTGAAATCCGGTGTACAAACCACTCGGCCAAGGAGGTCGTCATATCACATCGTTTACATACACTTCGTTATTTTTCAAGTCAATTTTAATAAAATAATCAATCTTTTGGTAAATTTTTAATAGAAAACTACTTATACAAATTTTATGGAAAATTTACCAACTCGTTTAGGTGTTAGGCCGTATACAGAAAGATAGTTGGATGCCAACCAGCGCTAGTCAGTGCTGGTAAGCAGATTGAAGCCTAGTTGTTCATTAATTTCAAAGGGCGGTGCCAGTGCTGACAAGCGCGTGTCGGCACTTGGCGGTGCCAGTGCTGACAAGCGCGTGTCGGCACTCGTCGGTGCTTATCCATAGAAATGCTTGCGCCGGTTACCAGTAAGGACCAGCGCTGACAAGCGCCGACGAGTGCCGACACGGCAAGCGCTAGTAGGCTTCCAGCTTTCTTTCTGTATACGGCCTTATTATAGTACAACTTATATTTTAATCATAATGTCCATACCAAATCCATTTTCCGTATTCGTCTTATCTGACACAAGTATGTATGTTTAATTAATTTCTCAGTGTAACTATCGAAGATCTATGTAATAGATAAATAGGGAAATTACATTTACAAATTAACAATAAAAAAAATAATCTTCTTAACAATCTTTAAAGCATTGTTAAATCTTTTACATTAAAAACTTATACGAGTTCTTTATCACAACTAGAAACGATATTGGAAAACTTAACAAATACCTATAGTTCCCAGCTGAAACAATTTGCCAATTTTAGTCGTTGCCTAAAATATTCGATCAACAATGCTATAGATAACGGGTTGCATACAAAATCGAAGCTAGAAACTGTCCGCGTATGTTTGAACTTATGCAGCTACATTCGTTTCCCGATGAACAAAAATATATGATTTAAAACAGTTTCAAGCTGGACCTATCTTGGACTATCTCACAAAGAAATAAGGTTACAAATAACAAAATGTTATTTCGCACATACGACCTTTTATCTTGTAAAACGAACTCTTGTTTCTTTAATAAATTGTATCTGAAACTTGGAAAAAAACGATAAAGGTGAAAAAAGGAAAATGTGAAATCAACCTACCACAAAATAAAATATTTTTACCAGTCATTGGCCAGCGAGTTACTCCGTTTTGTATTAACCGAACTTATTTAAAATAAGCCTCCAGTGAGGCTATATTTACCGAGACAGATTTACTGACCTATAGAATTGTTGATCGAAGCTTAAAATCTAAAGTTTTTAGGCATTTGAATGGAAGTGCCCATGACGATTTTAATTTTTATGTAAGGCTCAATTTGTACCGCCCTGCGGAATGGAATGGAAGCGAATTTTTGTTACGAAATATTGCCCTTTTTTGGCTCTAATTTAGTTTGTAAGTTATACAATTTAATAGAATTCATTATGCTATGCACAATTTAGTTGGAAAAATTCGATTCCATTCCATTCCGCGGCGGTATAAATGGAGGTTTAAAGTAATGCAAAGGCATATCTTACATTCGTATTTATAAACAAGTAATAAGTTGTTGCTTAGTAACCAAGTTAAACAAAATATATAGACAGGTCATACACCAACATTATTGCATTTTAAAATGGCACAAGTAGTCTCTGCCCCAACTTCACTTGGCAACAGCCGCCAATAGAGCGCACTAACGTAGTCTCTTTTAGAAGTATCCGGACATTGGCAGAATCGTCACGTAATGAGAAGCTGCCATAATCAACAAAAATTGATTTGAATTTAGCACAAGTAAATTTTTACATGTTCATAAATACGATGGTTAGATCTACTTAATTATACAAGTAGCTGATTACAAAAGCCAAGTTCATCATCATAATGAATCATCTGTACCCTTAGCACGAATCAATGTCGAATTCGAATAGAATGCAAGTGTGAAATGTCAAAGTCAAATTCTGTATGGAAACTTGAACAGCAGCGCCACAACGGATATAACGAGAACTGAAAATCGGTACACACATTTGACTTATATCTAGATCGAATACAACTATTCAAATTCGATAATGGTTCGTGCTAAGTGTACTGAATTAGTTATGAAACATAGGCAGTGCAATAGTAGTGCCTCTCATTGCATGCGGGAACTAATCTCCGTGGCGCTACTCGGCCTGCCTGAGCCGCGCGAGTCGCTGCGTGAGCTCGTCCTGTTCCTGCGATACCACCGTCGCTGTTCCTATCGAGGTGCTCGGCACGCCCGAAGGCAGCTCCATGTTTAACTCCAGCCTATATGACAATTAAATTTTTATTTATTATAATTTAAGCATTAATCGATAAATTACGCAGAAAATCGTTCTACATAATCTTAAGAAAATTCTGACTAGAAAAAAAACAACACGGTCAAGGTTCAAGGCAGGAATTTAACCTGCATCTTACGCCGTCTGTGCGGATGCACTAACCACTATGCAACCAAGACCTTTACAATGAAATAAATCCTATGAATAAAATTAAATTATTCAAATAATTTATTCAGCATATCTTTTAGCTAATAAGAAGAATGGGCATAAGAAGCTCGTCAAAATGTGCCTGATATATATTGTAAAAAGGTAACTAACGAATTTTATCTCCAACAATTTTTCGAATTAGCCAGAAATAGTTTTGGGACTTCAATTCCACAATGAAAAATAACTTAATATCATCAACATACCCAGCTTCATCTGCCACTTGATGTAGCAGCTGATCAACATCTCCCTGTGGCACTGTTGTTGTAGTTGTTTGTGACATTGCATTCTCCATATATGATGACTGTACATCCAGATCTTCAAATTGACTCTCGAATTTATCCATTAATGTGGAAATCTTCTCTAGGTTCATTGACTTCATGGCTGCATCCATTGCTTTGACAACTCCTGCCATTGAGTTGGTAACCTGTAAAATCCATTAGTCTTACATGAATAACACTCTCTTATGCAGGTTAATGTTGAATTATATAATTATTGCATTTAATAAACATTATAACATTATTATGCATTGTATAGTAAGGTGGAACAATAAATTCACAAAATTAAAATAAGTAATGAGCTATACATTGAAGGTCATGCATTAAATTTGAATCACAAGTTGGTATCCTAATATACTAAAAAAATGCAGATTTTTATGATGACAAGGAGTTTACAGGATGAATCTTTTTAATGCATTCCTATGACAAAAAATTGGATTATGTGAAAGTTGAAAAGACCAGTGGTCTTTTTGAAGCAAGTGAAAATTTAAATAAAACAGGTTTCAACAGTATAGATGCACTGATTAATTTATTTATTGATGTTTTGCACCCTTTTCAGAATTCAGACAACTCATCCTGAAAAGGATGAAAAATGTCAAATGCGTCATCTGGTCGCTTTCTACTTAATAATGTTCAAATCAGAAAGTAAACTGCCCCCTATCCCCCATCTTTTCTCCCCTCATTAAGTTACAAATAGTAGTTGAACTTAATATATTCGTGTACAATGAGAAAGTGAGTCATACCATTCATAGGATTTATTATCATAATGTTAAGAGGGAATCAAAATATTGCTAGTATCTGAGTCACTGTTTAGAATTTTGGCTGCTGTTGCAAACCACTGCAATAGAGTCCAACACTACCACAATAAAATGAAGTATAATGTAATAAAGAAGTGTGTATATTGCATAAACTTGGTACTTTTTTAACAAACCTTGAGACAAGGTCAAAATCAAAGATGATTAATATGACTAACCAACTAAAGTATAAAGGTATGAACATAACTTGATTTGATTTATCTAAATTAAGCCCTAATATATTGTCACTTCTATAGTAAACTTACAAATTTGAATTTCATAAAACCTACTATGCCAAAATATTGTATATTAAATTGGTAAGTTTACTTTGGGTGCATAAACATAATATGCAGATTCAAACAATCAGACTTTTGAAACCGTCGTTGATAAAATTGTGTGAATTTTCCCTGGTGTTAAGTACCCCATTATGTGCAATTTTTTATTATAGATTTTTACTAAAAAAGCAGATTTGTATGTTAAGATAAAACAAATGTTGCTATAACTCACCTTTCTTGTTGTAAGGGCAGTCTGAACCCTGCTAGATACTGCATCGACTCTGGCTGACATGCGTAAATAATTTAAAGCCTGATTCTTCTGTCTAATAGCATTTTCTGCGTGTATTCTAGCCCCCTCCATGTTTCCCTTCTGGATAGCTTTCTTTGCTTTCTCTTTCTCTAACTTCTCTTCTTTTTCACATTTCTTAGAATTTCTTTCCAATTCCTTTACGGCAAATTTTAAATTAAATAGATGCTCTGGTGTTGTAAATAAAGGATATTATAATCATAATACAAAACACAATCCATTTACATACCTAAGGGAGGTTTTATTCAGTTTATTTCCCTTATCAGAATAACATAATAGCAAAATTGTAAAAATAAAAGATTTAAAGCAAATAAAACAAAAATATAATGTTAGGAAATATGCACTAGACGTAAACTAAATACTATTACGTCAAGAAATATACTTATTATAGTTCTTAAGGATAATGAAAACTGTTTACCGATAAATTACGACTGAGGATCTCAAATTGAAATATCATATAAAAGTAACAATCTCAAAATTGTTTTGAAAAGGATACTCTCCATGGCTGATGCTGACATTTCGTTCCCCAGCTTGACGGCTTTTACGAAACTGTTTACAAAATATAAAAAAGGCGAGAAGCCTAAATGGAAATAATTTTTAATATCCCAAAAACAAGGATTGATTACAATAAAGTTATAGTTCCTGTTGAGATGACTCACGCACGTAAAATCACGAACCAAATTTAACAACAATCTCAAGCTGTCAAATTTGACACTGACAGCAGAACCTTGCTATTGTTAAGACCAGAGACAAAGGACCCCTGCAACCTGCAACCTCGGTAGGGATGTCCATGGACGTACTATGGATATTCTATTTTTTGACGACTTGTGTGGCCGAGAGTGATTGTACGCCGGTTTACAAGGTGTCTCCTATACAAGAGGTCCCGGGTTCATATCTCGGTGGGGGCAGATGTTTGTACGAAATGGTAGTAGAAAAATAATAGACAAAAAACATTAGCTTGACCCTTTTACTTGGCCTTGTTAACTATAGGCCGCTCAATAGCGAGATTCTTCCTCCAAGGGCCGCTTCAAATCGATTTCTTCGTCTTTTTTAAGGTTTTTATTAACAGATAGAACGCTCAGCCCAAAAAGTCAAATAAAAACAATGATTTATTTTTTGAGAAAAATAAAACGGATAACTAGTACGTAGTTTTTGGTCGCATCATGAACAGCAAACTTTATTGCTAGTTTTGGCTATGGTTAATTTTTCTGAAGGTTGGTGTTACTGCATATAACAATGAACAAAATGTCAAAAAATTGAATGGAGTGAAAACTGACTGCTACCACCGGATTTTGGAATTGATAGTGATCGAGTTGAATAACATTATAAAATCTATATTATTCGTAGAAATCCTCGGTGATAATCATATATAGTTATTATTTTTAGAATTAAATCATTAGTGTATATTACGTTGTTATATTATTTTGTTATAATAAGCCTGTGTCAAAAGTCGAAATCACAAACACTATTACGACTAGTGGATTGAAGACAGACATTCGCTAGGCGCAAAAAGAAAATGGCGTGTGCTACACTGAAAAGAAACTTGGACTGGGAATCAATGGCACAGTTGCCTGCTAAAAGGCGAAGATGTGCCCCATTTGCAGCAAGTTCCAGCACAAGCCCAGGAATAAAAATGACTGAAAATAAGCCTTCCACTTTTGGAGACTCAGTCACTGCACCTGTTAAATTGACCCCAGGTTTGTTTATTTTTATATTGCATTGGTCATCGTTATAATCTCAATATAATTAAGTTATAATTCCTGCAACATAAATAGTTCTACTAATTGGTATTTTTAAAGTTACAATCAGCTGTAATTGGTTACTGTAATTCTGCGCTATCATGAATATTTTTATCATGTTAGAGTGAGATGGATGATGCGTGAAAACCGTTGGGTGGATTTTTTGCTCCTCCTTTTGTTATTTTCTTTTGTAAACCAGCTAGCCAAGCTTGTAGTGGTGTAGGTATTTCGAAATATTTGGCAAACGATCGCACAAAACATAATGGATGGAATTTATTAAGTTTTTTGCTTAATTAGCGATAACCTAACATTTGTGTCAAAATTGCAGTCCTCAGAATTACCATAAAATTGCAGTATCAGATAAAATTATGTTAAAAGATAGAATATTTGAGTTAAATCTATCTTTGATACAAATATGACGAATCTTTTAATGATAATGATGAATAAATTACGACAGGTCACATTGTCTGGTGTACAATTACAATTTTGTCCATGTGTTATTTTTAAACATTTCTTTGTACATTGTCCTGTGTTCTTCTTTATTTCATCAATAAATATTGTAGAAACTTACACACTGGACTCAGAACCAAAATGTGTTCATAATTTATGATGATACGTAACAAAATACATAGGTGAATAATACACAGCTGAAGGCTTCTATTCATACCTATTTTCTGTACATAAACTAAGATTATTAAATGAAAAAATAAGTTGAGAGTTTTTAAATAGATTTAACAAAGTATTATTTACAATTTGACATGATTACCAGCAGCTTTCTTGAAAACAAACTACACAATCTATTATTAAACTAATTAATGTTATAATAAAAATAGAACCTCTTTGGTAAGTCATGTCAATATCATGCTCATTTTGCTCTTATGACTGAATTCATCCACCTAACACAAATCTATAACAAAGTTATTCTTAATAAATCAATAAAAATAACCATTTCCATACATTGACTACCATATGTTTGATTTTGCTTCTTAACACTGATTAACTGATGAATAAGGTAAAATCTCCAGAAGTGCCCACCACGTCTGTAGGTGGTCCCATGATATGAATCATCATAGTAATATTGATATACTGAGAACTTCGAATTATAGAAGGCAATAGCTGACATATTTCCATCAATTCTTATCAAGATAAATTACCCTATGGATATTTTATTTGAATTATAAATTGGCTTTACTGGATAAACATCATGCACATATAGCTAGCTTAGCATATGTTATTTTGAATCCATTTCTGTAATTAAAACTGTTATAAATTCTACCTTAAAGTTTTAACATGTGTATGTGTTCATAATTATACAATAGCTCAAATATATGGTTCAAGGTTCAAATCCCATAATATATTTACATAAGGTCTCCCGCTGTAGTTTTGCGAACCGATGGTGTAGCTTCTTGACCTTCACAAGTTCTTGTAACAGCCTAGACTGAATAAATGACTTTTCATTTCATATATTTTAGTTAGCAGCTGTTAGCATAACGGTTCTCAGTATAAATAAATATGAATTTTCTATATCCCTGTCTGTGGACATACATACCTGCCCCCCCTAGCATGCGCACCGTGATACAATATATAATCACGCTCAATTGTCAAATTACTATGGAGTTTGACAGTTAGATGCGATAAAAAACATGATATAATGTAAATTATGGTGCTCATGCTACGGGGACTGGAGCTGGTACTGTTTCTATTTTATACTTTTGCACACTTAATAAAATCATAGAAGAGGATACATGTTAGCTATAAACTAAGGCCCCATTATTTGATACATAGTTAAATGTGACTTTAAGCCAATGTGAATGAATGATGAATAAGGAACTAACATGAATGCATCTAAAACTAAAATCATGTCAAACTACAGCAAGAAGACTATCAAAATTGAGGGAAACCCCCATAGATTATGTGTAAAAATATGCATATTTGGGAAAAATTGTATGTTTCTAAACAGTAATCAAAATAAAATTGATAGAAGAATAAACCCAACCTGGAAGAAATACTCGGTACGAAAAGAGATTCTCAAAGGCACTTACAATCTTAATTTGAAAAAGAGCATAATGGGCTCTTGATTCTTCCAAGTTTATTATATGCATACCAAACATGAGCTTACATGGAAAGAACAAAGAACAAAATTCTATCTTACCAGCATGCAATTGAAATAAGTATTTTTAATTTAAGAAGAATCCAAAAAACAAGTTTTATAGACATCCCCAAGAAAACAAAAATAACAGATGCCCTGCAGTTTAGTTTGAAACAAAAGTGGAGGTTGGCAGGTCATACAGCAAGATATCAGGATCAAAGGTAGACAAATCTGGTAACAAAATTGCCTGGCCCACCTAAAAAAAAGAAGAGTGGGAAGGCAAAGAAAAATATGCGAAAATGACATCATACAGGCTGCAGGAAAAAAATGGATTGATGTTGCAACTGACAAAGAGAGGTGGAGACAGATGCATGAGGTTTATACTCTTGGGGACCACTAATTTGGGATAAAGCTGAATAATAATAAGCCTATGTCACACCAAATACATATTTGTTACTTTTACTAACATAGTTTAACTAAAGTCACATTTATCTATGTGTCTTATTTATCTATCGCACAGGCCCTTATTCCTACAGTTTTGTGATTAGTTTCTTAAAAAAAGTGGGATCTGATATTATGTGCAGAGGCTTGAAAGATGGCATTTGAAGTACGGATAATTATAGGCAATTTCCATTTTCATTTATCCACTTAGGTCTTATACTGGGAAAAATTTAAAAGCTTGTGTCTGTAGTATTCCTGTCACCAAAGCATGAGCACAACAATATACACTATATTTTATCGCATCTCACTCTCAAACTCCATAGTAATTTGACAACAAAGTGTGATAAAACTGAGCTATATAATATCATAATTGCAGTGTTCATGCTAGGAGACATGCACCAGTTTCAAAGATCCATAAATTGACATGTTTGTTTAGTCCTACCTAAAAAGTATTTTTGTTTACTTAAAAACCAAATCTGCTGTGTACAAAGATCAAAGTGTAGATCTTTGTCAGTGGGGTGTTTTGAAACGTAACCCGTTCGCCAGAGCGCATGGCACAAGAGATATGCGACGAGATCAAGCGGCTGCAGCGGCGCCGGCAGCTGCGCTTGGCGTCGGGCGCGGCCGCCTCGTGCTCCTCCTCCAGCGGCAGCGAGGGCGACTGCTCGCCCCCGCACCGCTCATCGCACAACTCGCAGAAGGTCCACAATCGCGCGCTCTTCACATTCAAACAGGTAACGTCCTGCCGTCTTACAGACAAGCGTCTGTCTTTATCATGCTGTACTGGTCTTCTGAGATACAGGCTGCGGCATAGTTCAAATTCCAGTCCCTCCGCAATCTTGTCATTAAGACATTAATTAATTCATTAACTTTGTATTTTTTGTGCATGGGATTGTGAGGAGAAGAAATAAAGCATTATTATTATTATGCTTTATAAGAGAAGGAATAAAAAGGACAGGCTGATATCAAGTTTCCAAATAACAAACAAAAATACCCAAGTAAAGTGCTGGCATTACTGCCAATTAGATTTTTTTTGTAGCTCTCCTTAATTAGCTATTCATATGACGAATAGAAATACTATTGCAAACTCCTCGTTTCTCTTATCATATGTAGCCTTATATTTTATCCACTTCCTATACATGGTATTGTTTCAAGCAAATAAATAATATCTGCAATTAACAATGCACGTCCTCGTATAATTGTATCTCGGAATCAGGTTTACGCCATGAAGAAAGGATTCTTCATCAATAACGTTTAAAATATGAGTGTGCGGTTTTGTTGTTGTTTTCTCACTACAGGCCCAGCACGTGAATGAAGTCTTATGCAGAAGCCGCCTCTAGAAGTATGAGTAGCTTTAAAGGTTTCACAATTAGAATTTTCTAGGGCCGCAGGCAAGGAGAATGGTATCGAAACAGATTAGATCGCCCGGCGAACATACTTATTTATTTATTAATTATATGGTTCGACAGTCTTTCTTTACACATTACTTAAAACTATTTACAAGGTTAACTGTACACTGTAGTGAAACAATCTATTAAGGTAATCACCGCATGCATTAAAGAAGACGCTAAAAATAGACATTAAGTTCATTATAATATTATTTTTATTATTATTTATTTCCCAAGTTATGACATTGTTCTTTTTAATTATAATACAGTTTTCATATAAATATCAAGCTAAATTAGTAGTTAGTTTGATTTGTTTGGGACAACAACATACTGTCGGAAACACTTAGTTTATCCATGGGCTATACCTGTGTAGTCTTGGTCCACCATTCTACCGCCGCATAGCTTATACTGGATCTTGTATGGCCATTTTATTTTGAATTGTATGAGAGGTGTTGAGTCCCATCTTTTACCCAATATCCTTCAACCCACCACGCAGGCACAGTGCGGGTAGATTCTAACGACTGCAGATGCAACCGGGATCAACGGCTGAAGGTGCGTATCAATCGTATCCTGCCCGGAGGAGCACGACATGATAAATTTTTGATCAGCCAGAATTCATCTAACTTCCACAGCTACAGAGCAAGTGCCATACCACTGCGCCATCTAAAAACCATTTTATTCAGATGCAGATCAGTTTTTAACAAAAATTTTAATATAAAAACATTAAAAAATTCAAATAATCATTATTCTAAGACATATATGTAAGCTTTTACAAGTACACACAACATTCAATTGAGAAAAGTACAATGTAATTAATAGTCAATAATAATAAATGGAATTAAAAATCAATAATCAATGAATAAAAATAGTGCAATTAATAATTAATGTTGGATTTAAAATTAATAATGTATGTCAAATTGATGCAAAAAATAATAATGTAATGTCAAATTGATACAAAAAATAATAATAATAACTATAATAATGCGGAAGTATGTAAAAATATGTAGGCCTATATGTACAATTAAATGAATTTTTATTTACGAAAAAAATTGTGTACATAGCCACTGACTTTAAAATATGCAGTTTTATTTAACATTTTTAAATGCAGTCCATAAATAAGCACAGCCAATCAAATCTTTAAAGGCTTTCTTGATTAGTAACTGAGAAGTGTTTTGAATTATCTGCTTGTATTCACAAATACTTAAGATAACGTTTCTATTTATTGTAAGTATCGTTCGATATATAGAAAGTACCAGTAGCTATCTTTACTGAGCACATACATAGTAATGGTCTGTCAACAAATGATATTTATCTAAAACTGATGAAGGCAGCAACGAAACCTTGTGAGAAATTTGAAGACATCTAATAACAACCAATTTCTAATGTGGGAGTTAATGAGCATCATAAAATGGTGTTTCAAACCTGCGTGGGATATAAGACTTGTAAAGTATGTAGGCATGGGATACTGAAGATAAAGCGACATGTGAATAGACATGTCGCTTAATCTTCAGTACATAATTAGGTTTACACATAGAGAATTATTGAGTTTAGCTGCACATATGACAGAATCGCTCACAAGCGAAAAAAAACGCCCTGGAATTATAACTAATGTGCATTTTGCACATAATTATTTATAATAATAATTGTGTATCATACAGGAATGAGCACTCTGTTATGGTCCGTACTCACATGGTGTTCACACAAGGTACGGTATTACTTGAAACTTCTACTCTAATGCCACAATTACATTTGGTCGTCATCCCGTATTCGGGTACACATTAGACTACTCGAATTTGAAATTTGCCATCTTCTTAACCAGGGCAGACGAGACAACAGAGATAAAAATATATCGAAATTTTGACGCGTTACCCGTGTGATATGCATATTAAGTGGCCTGAGGTTCCCGATTTTAGATTGGTGGGGCCCCCCACTCCTTCGTTGCCCCCGGGACTCCACCACACCTGTAAATCCGGTCCCAAAAGCCAAACATCAACATTCAACAAAATCTTCTACACAAAACTTTGTTTCACTACACATATTTGTTTGCGTTGTTGGCATCAACAATATTTTTGCTTTGGAAAACACAAACACATAAACCCCCCCCCCCCCACGGGGGGCTGTTTTAGATTGTTTTATGGGCCATTTTTTTGGCAATTCCTAGCGGGGGCTACGTTTCAAACATACGAGCCGAGTACAATTTTACTTTAATGTTTCAATTTTGACAAAAAAAGATAACACATGTTGGACTTGGATCGTGGTTTTTGAACTTACCCTGTGTATTTCGTGAACGACAGCCACGTGAGTAGTAGGCGGCACGTGTAAAGAAACATGTGTCGGAAACAAAGTTTTGTGTAAGTGTTTTTGTTGAATGTTTCCAAAATCTTTTACTGGAAACCCGGCTTAACGTAAAAATAAATGTGTAGGTCCGCATGATTTGCGAGAGGATGCTGCGCGAACAGGAGGCCGCGCTCAGAGCCGAGTACGAGAACGCGCTCAGCAGCAAACTGGCTGAACAGTACGAGGCTTTCGTCCGCTTCAATTTAGATCAGGTATGTATTGTAATGCTCTTACTGGTCTTCTAGTAGAGAATGTCTTAATGGCATTATGTCCGCCATTTGCTGTTTTATTGCAATAAAGTATAAATAAATAACGCTACTATTCATCTCCCATTTTATAACTGAATATTCATATGAATATTATAAATGCGAAAGTGTGTCTGTCTTTATAGCTATAAACGGGATTGCTTTCCTGTCTGTGCTTTGTTTTTTATGAGTCACCGATGTTTCGGCATTGTTGCAAGCTCCATGATCACGGAGTAACTGAAGTAAAAATTTCTATTTACCGCGTATCATGTATAGGGACTCCTAAACCTCAAACGTTAGAGTTTTCATGCGTTTGGCAACGCGTCCGACAACACAAGCCATCTGTACCCCTAGCACGAACCATTACCGAATTCGAATAGTTTGCAAACCGAAATGTCAATGGCAAATTTTGTATAGAAACTTGAACAGCAGCGGCACAAAGTACGTAACGAGAACTAAAGATCAGTCAGTACACATTTGACAATGACATTTCGGACTCACAAACGATACGAATTCGATATTGGTTCGTGCTAGGGGTACTGATCGCACCTTATTATGGTATAAACAAGATTACAAAATTTCAAAACAGTACAAATGTTGCTTAAGCCTTTTTTATGAGTATATTATGCTGGTATACACGTAGATGGCACCCTTTTGGACTACTTTTTATAGTGAAACAACTCAATAGTTATTGTAGTTGTTTACCATCAACTGTCCAAGCATTCCTTTTAAAAATATGCTTGTTACCATGGTAATCGTTGGTTTTGAAATAATAAATTATTATCAGGGAAACCCGCTGGATTTTGTTAGTGGGTGTGATTGTGTTTGAAAATCCCTGGAGGGGGCCCATTTTTAGTTGTGAATATCCAGGCTATATTTGGCTGTGTTGGCGACAGACACTAGCCACCGACCAACAGTAATATTTTTTAATTTTATTTATATTATGTAATTTTCATTTTTGTTTATTAATATTATTGTTTTATTTATTTATTTTACAGCTAAACATATAAAAACATTAAAAAATTAAAATAATACTTAATCTAAGACATATATGCATATAAGTACACACAACATTCAATTGAGAAAAGTACAATGTAATTAATAGTTAATAATAACAAATGGAATTAAAAATAAATAATCAATGAATAATTAATAAAAATAGAGCAATTAATAATTCATGTTTCATTTAAAATTAATAATGTATGTCAAATTGATGCAAAAAATAATAATGTAATGTCAAATTGATACAAAAAAAAAACGGAATTAATGAGAATCAAGCAGCTCAAACAATGTTGCTTTAAAGTTCTTCTGCGAAACGTCAAAAATGTCCAAGTTGTTTTAAAAGTACTTCGTGTGTTGTGTTACCTGTTTGTTCTGTCTATTAAAATGGCACAATTACACTTAGGTCGTTTACCCGAACTCCATTGACGTTCGTATTCGGGTTAACGACCAAGTGTAATCGCGCCATAAATAATTATTATTTATTGATGTGTAACATCTTTCCTCTCGCTTTCCTGCAATTTGTGGGAGTCATTTCGTGAAATGGGAAGGAAGTGTGTAACAGGAAGTCGCGAAAGCGCGCGCTATTTGATTTGATTTTAGAACATAATGTTCAAATGGCTTATTCCTTTTGTAGTAGGTTTTGTTTCTTTTTTTACTAATATAAGGTGAGGTTTCAAATGTTACACATCATACGGGACTACTTAAGGTTCGCTCGCTTTTTTTTCCATAGTAAATAGCACATACATTTGACGACCTCCGTGGCCGAGTGGTTTGTACGTCAGGTTTCATGGTGTCGCCGATTCGAGAGGTCCCGGGTTCGAATCCCGGTGGGGGCAAATGGTTTTGTGATGAATACGAGCATTTTTACTCCAGTCATGGATGATTAATATGTATTTCTATATAAATATACTTATATATGTACAGTATATGTATTCTATCCGTTACCCTAGTATCTCATAAACACAAGCCTTACAGTGCTTACTTTGGGGCTGTGAGTGTTATCAATATTCATTTATACATATTTAATTATATTACTCGCCTAGAACATTTGAATATAAACTGATGAATTTGTTGTTGTTTTGAATTTGCCCATATTGGCACGACATGTTATGTACCCCTCAAATCATAACATCTTATTTATACATGTTACAAATTAAAATAAATCTTTCTTTCTTTTAAACATTCTGCTTATGATTTTCCCGCGCAGGTGCAGCGCCGCCCCCCGCCCGCGACGTGCATGCCGCACGGCATGGACGCGGAGCATCACATGCATCAGGATCTCGTCCCCAGCTGTGAGTCACCAAAACATTTATTTATTTACTACTAGCGGCCGCCCGCGACTTCGTACGCGTGGAATTATTTAGAAATAAAGGTTCACTGCTGGTTCCCCGTAGGTGATAACCTGATAATATGTTGACCCTTACTTCTTAATAATATTCGTGCCAAATTTGAAGTAAATCCATACAGTACTTTTTGAGTTTATCCGGGACATACAGACAAAAATTCTAAAAACTATATTTTTGAGTTTTGACTTTCCTACCATTTTATTATTTATTTACATCGAAATATTTCATAAATTACAGGTGTCTGTGACTATTTTCAATTGTCCATATCTTACTTCAACGACAATTGTGTTATGATACAAGGGTAATCTTTTTCAAGTCAACATAATTGACAAATGTCAGTAATTCTTGACATGAAATCGAGGCTAATGGAAAATTTGCGTTACAATTGTAGAGTTTTCCATATAAGTTACAAAATGGCTCTCTGCAAAAGCTTGAGCAAATACTGTCAAACCGACTATGCCGGCCCCAATATGTGTGTAGCCTACTCTTTGCAAAAATTTTTAGAACTCTGCCTTAAGCTATAGATATAAGATTTTCAATTAGATTTAGAAGAGTTCTTGACCAAATACCTAGTTATTTACATATGTTAAAATATTTCATATATTCAGAAGATCTTTTAATAGGCTAATGAAGAAATTATTTTCTTCAATGGTGCTAACTAATGTTAAAATATTTGTTTCCAGATCTGTCCTAATAATAACAAAGGAGTCGGCGGTGCGGCGATATAATGCTGCGAATATATCAAGACAAACATATTTTGGTATATGTGAATATTATATGCGGGAATATAGAGTATCCTATAAATTGAGAATTGTGATTGTTAGTGGAATCCACATTCATACTGTTACTCATGATATGTATACAATGGTGTCGATTCTGGCATGATTCTCTAAACTTAAAACTAAATTTAACATCAGTCTCTCCTTTTCATTCTGTATAGAGAATAACAAGGATTTTAGAGAGTCAAGCCAGAATCGACACCACTATGATATTATAGTTTAGTGCTGTTTCAAACAAATTTTACAGTATTATGACTCGATCATCTGTGGTCATGTAGGCACCCTTACCTTGATTCTGAATGCAAATGATATTAATTGATGATAAATTCGAAATATATTCTTGATGGATTCCACGGTGTGTTCATGCCACATACACATAATTTAGCTTTTAATGCTTTAGATAAGGTTCGCTGGATAATTGTGTTCATAGACTGAGGATTGACAGAGCTGGAGTGTAGCAACGGTTGAAACTTGCAGCAGCCAAGTTCCACCTAAAACTGAGTTGCCTAAATAATGTTCACGCAATATATACAAAGCCAAGTGTCTGAGACATTTTTTAAATACTTATATTCTAAAAGATAACATGTGAAACCTGTAGTTTCTTAGATCTAACACAAATAAAATCACACAGAGTGCCTGTTAAGAAATCAATGTCCTCATACATTTTGCTATTAGCCATAATTTTGATTGATATGATTATATTTAATTTTACGAATTATAGTTGTAGTTCTTATTCATAAATTATATATTTTTTTCTTGTATGACATACGTGTCACGAGCGGTATGTGTAGTTCATATTATGACAAGACGGCCTCGTGTATCAGACAGTTTGGAAGTATCTAGTTCTAATTGTATTGTATTCATGTTTATGGTAACAACTTATAATTGGGGTGAAAGCTGAAATTAGTTCTTCAAAACTAACTCACTGATACATAAAAATAGGCTTATTAGGAAATTATTGATTAGCTTTATTTGATTTTTAAGTTATTCATCTCAATAATGTATTGAAGTTGTATCTTTATCTTGGAGTTGATGGGAGCACTTGATGTGCGTTATTGGGACTTGTTTTCTATTCTTGTTTAGTTTTAACTTTTTATTGAATACGGAAGGATATAATTTGTTACCAAGCATTATTCAATAAAAAATAGGATAGGTTTTTTTTAAATTGTATTATCAGCTCATTATTGTAGGTTATTGGCGTTTAAGAACTGAAAATAAATTAGCTAAACACCTAAATCGTTTTTTCTTTACTCCTCTTAGAATTTGTTGAATGTTTTATTCGTTAATTTTAACTGTTTAACAACCTAACTCAGAGTAGTCAATTAACCATTCAATTCTAGTTGATGCTGGAATGAAATTACATATACTTTATTCAAATTGACTTATTGAAATCACTTAAATCGTCCGAAAAAAAAATTGCTACTACCCATTCAGGACATCTTTTAGCTGATGAGAAGAATGGGCGCAAGAAATTCGTCAGCATTTAACAGAAGTAGCACATTTACTTAAAATCATATCGCTCCCAATACAAAACCACTTTCTACCCAAAGGTATCGATATGTATTTTGTATTCTTTTTAACGCTAAAGCGTTTTTAATGAGTTATATAAAAATACTAAAAAACATGCAATTAATTACGCTTTGATTGATGTATTACACTTTAAATATGTTAAAGACGGACAAAAACACATTTCTGCTCGTCCTGTAAATTTTTGAAGTTATACTTTAGGCGCGTTATGAAAAAATGATGAGAGTGAAATATTAAGATGCGCGCGCGCATCACTGTAACACAAAAAATTAACAGCATGAAGTTGACCATTAAGAAAATCTACCAACGAAATAGAAATAGAATCTCTATTTAGTGGATGCTAACGACTGCATTGTGAAGGCCTATCAAAAGTATTTATTAAACTGTCACAACGGAACCAAAGCGCGATTCAGGAGACTACAGCGCCATATCTTGACCGTTGGTGTAGTAGAACCAAAAACCACATCTTTATTTTTTGTAACAAAGTAACAGTTATAGGTATTCATATTTATAATATCAAAAGTATTTAATAGTCTGGAACAACGGAACCAAAGCGCGATTCAGGAGACTACAGCGCCATCTCTTGACCATTGGTGTAGTAGAACCAAAAACCACATCTTTATTTTTTGTAATAAAGTAACAGTTATAGGTATTCATATTTATAATATTTATCCACATGTTTCTAGTTTGTATATTCGGAATACGTGTTTGAGTTTCATACAAGTGCAAATCACATATGTTCTAATAAATTATATTCAGTAGCGATTTTAATTGAATATTTTGATTATTTATTTATTTTTTCAAATTAAAACTGAACTTTATTGACTGTGTCCTTTTCCAGACTTTTTATTAATTTATTGTAATTAATTATTTGCATGCAATTAAAAACTAATTTTAAACGATGCCAAAGAAGGATAACTTCTCACGCGCCTACATAAGTACACGCACCCATTTTTTTCAAATGTTTACTGTGTTTTGGTTTTGAACAGCCGTTTATTGCAATGCTAACTTCTATCGCATACTTGAGCGACAGCGAAGGATTTTGCGATTGATGCATACAAACGTACATACACCTCACAGAAGCTTATCTAGAAAGTCACTTTATGGGACTCTAAATCCAAACACAGGAGTCTGTTGTACAAGTAATGTCACTATTTGATATTTACTTATCTGTGGGTTTTCTACTTTATCCTATTTGCGAGCGACTCGGTTACCGGTGTAACATTGAGCTGAACAATAAAATTATTATTCCCGTCTTCTTTGGTTTTCCTTAAGCCCTAACCTAACCATCAATTAAGATTAAAAACATTAGCAACAGTAAAATACCAAAATTATATTTTAATGTAAAAATGAGAAAATTCCAATAAAAAAAAGACAAGGCTGCATGTACTTAGTTCTTTAGCCTTCCCTTAAAGGGAGAATAGTATAAGTACAAAGGAGAGAATCTCTATGGTGAAATGCCATCGACGTTTTTTTTTATTAGAAAATGACATAGCCATCCATCGACACGGCATCTCTAGTGTAGCCACTTCAGCCCTTTTCGGGCTAGATCTAGCACTTTTTGTTGGACGTAAACTGTTTTTTACATGCTTTAGCCGAAAACAGTAATCTAGCCCTTTTCAATCAATACTAAAACTTTTGTCATTTGAAATACTCGTTCAAATTGGCTAAAAACACAGATGTCAATCAGCCATCATCTTTTTCAATAGATACGACTTATGAAAGTTCTGATAAAGACTGGTTTTTAACAATTTTATATTCCATAATTTTAATTACTCTTTTTACTTGGAATTACTGTTTAATACATTTCAAATAAGCATTTTTTAATAATTTGCAGATGTATTAAAGTTTTAGTACTTGCACCTCTAGCTTGTCAGACTGTCCGTTTCAAAAATACCAAGGTGGCAACATTGGACATCTCTTTAATCTGTGGATGAATTGATGTGTTAAATGTCATTTTCATGAAAGGAAAATAAAGTGTTTTTCGATACAATAGAATATTTATCGTTTGTGGACACCTGTTACTTTTGATTTAGTTCTTGTATTAAAAAAAATGAGTTTAACTAATTCACATAATCCGAATGATGTTTATGAGAAGGATGATAGAAGAATATCCAGAACAGACATGAATATGCTTATAATGAATTATCTAGTTACAGGTATTTCTTGCATTTAAATTTGTAGTTTCACTGAAAAACTAAACTATCATTTAATAGGATACTGCACAGCAGTTACAAATCCATCATCATTTAAATACCTTATTTACAGTTTAATATGGAAACCTTTGTTAGTACTGAGATCATTATTGTTGCATTAACTTTGCAGAAGGTTTCAAAGAGGCTGCGCTGAAATTTCAGCAAGAAGCAGGATTGCAAGAACCAGCTTTATGTAGTTCACTGGATGAGCGCATTATGATACGTGAGGCAGTGCAAAGTGGACGCATCCCCGAGGCCATTGCTATGGTCAACTCCCTACATCCAGAGCTCTTGGACAACGATAGATATCTATATTTCCATCTTCAGGTACATTAAGTTGGAATTTCTGTATTGTCTCTCAATTCTATTAATGATTAATTTGTAAATCCTGATCTATAACAATGGTAGCTTTCTCAGTTTGGTTTTGTAACTTCATCATCATCAGCCTATTAACGGCCCCACTATGGGGAAAGGCCTACCCATGAAATAGGGAGATTAGGCCTATTTTACTGTTATTTACATGTATGAAAAAGAATATAAAAAGGGTTGTACATTAAAAAAACACCTTTTTTTCTCTTGTCAGTCAACCAATAAATTACAAAAATAAATAAGCAGATCAAAGTTTGGTGTGAACTCACTTCTAAGTAAAATTGTACCAAGATATGATGTGACGATGCAAAATTTCAAATCAATATATCTCTGTATTATTTTGATTATGTGAATAAGGAAAAATACTTTTTGATAATGTACCTGATGGAAGAAGAAAAAAAGTTAATCATCATTCCTTTTCTAATATCTTCTTTTTTTTCTTTAATGTAGCAATTGCAACTACTGGAGTTGATTCGTGCTGGCAGAGCTGAGGAAGCTCTCGCATTTGCAAGTGCTACCCTCGCAGAGGCAGGAGCTAATGATGCAGTAGCTCTCACAGAACTTGAGCGCTCACTTGCTCTACTTGCCTTCCCAGATCCCCATGCATCCCCATTTGCTGATCTTTTACTGCCTTCACATAGTCAAAAGGTAGGTAAACTATTAACAATAATTATCATACTGTATGAGTGTTCATTTGAGTAAAGTTTACAGGGAGGAAGTTATTATATAATAAGAACAGTTTTACTATATCTGGTCAAGAATGTAATCTATGAACTCGAATTTATTAAAAAAATAACTAATCTTAACTTCAAGAAATAGTTTTTATATAAGTCTTTTTTAAACTATTACATTTTTTGCACATCTAATACAAAACTTAAATAACGAATATGTTTTATCTTTCAGATTGCTAGTGAATTAAATGCAGCAATATTAAAGATGGAAAATCAAGAGTACACAAATCCAAAACTATGCAGTCTCCTCCGAATGATTCTTTGGTCTCAAAGTGAGCTAGACAAGCATAACATTAAGTACCCAAAGATGACAGATCTTGCTAATGCTACAATAGAACAACCAAAGTGAATCTTTACACACAACATTTTTTATAAATATAGTTGTAACTATGCTAATTGATATTATTCTTTTCCTTTTCTGGTTTACTATACATTGTTTTAAAATAAAATAATAGATTTCAATTTTTAAAGGTTAATTTAAAATAGCTCATCTTTATATAAAAGTAAAAAAATAAGATCAAAAAATGTGCTGGAGTACTTGCACACTTACCTGTCATAATGCAATTGTGTTGTATATTTTTTACCTTAACCTATCTAATTACCTTGAACTTATTAAAATATTGTTTATTTATATATTATTATGATAGTAAGTAATCACTATTATTTTAAGAATTTTGTAAATGTAATAAAAATATTGATAGTATTTAATCATTTATTTTTTCATGATGTCATTTCACTAATTTCATTTGTATGTAAATATCTTGCCATTTTTCCTCATAAATTGTAACAGTCTTTTCCTTAGTTTAATGGTGGTTTATATAATCACAATATGGCTTTGTTACCAACCCAGCACATAATCTAAAGCTTTAGAAATTATTCCACTAGACCGTTGGGGAACTGGAGCAGATGGTATTGGAGTTGGGCACAATGACCGGGCTCCTGTTGTCTGTCTGTAAAAAATAAATTTACAAAGTTTTAAATCAATTATAGGTGTTAAAATCAAAGTTTAAAGATTAGTATTTAGCATATTACTAAAATACTATCCGTACCAACACTCAAAAAAAATCTAGAGAATCTATGGGAACTGCTATTGCCATACTACTACCACCTTGAAATTATAAAAGTTGCAGTCCTGTAGGATGCCAACTACGATTCAGAATAAGGTAATGAAACCAAGTATAAATGATATTTTGTTCAACCTGTGTTGATCAATGATTCCTACACTGAGTAGCGCAATTCCCAATCATGGGAATCAATTTGTTTATTCCGTAGAGATTTCACTTGATGTTTAAATACAAAGAAAATTTTACTAGCAAAAATTCCAAGGAGCTGGCAGCAGACAAGTCTGGAAACAGCACCCTTTGCTATTCGGGTGAATGCACTGATAGCGAAGGGCCTTGCAGCTTAAGAAAGGCTAGAGAAAAATCTACACTGCTATCAGGGTTTATTTTAAAATTGATTCTTCTAAACTTTCAATTTTGCAATTGTTTCTATGAGAAAGGATATGTGCAGGGAATTTGGGCTAATAGATACTTCACATTGTCTGATGTAGTCTTGAATAACATGGCATTGAGTGGTTATGTAGTATGGTTAGTATAATAAAATGTATTGAAATACATAAATTCATTATGAAATTAAAGCTATAAAAGATATAGTTGTACTTTAGTAAACAATATTCCGTAAACTGTTTACCTTTCAGGAGAAGTAAAACCAGGACTGGCAACACTCAGTCGAGGCACATCTCTGCATTCCACGATTCCTACCATGATACCTGGCAGCACTTGCCTACCATTCAAAGCCATGGCTCTCTCTTTTTCAGCTCTTGTTGCATACCTCACATGAGTCCAATTACCTTGAGTTGGATATTGTTTATCTATGAACAAGCAGTAGTTTATAATACTTACAAGACAAATAATTTCATCTTAATGTAGGTATTTTTTTAAACTTACCAAGTATGGTACCACAATTACTAAATCTAGCTAAGACAGTGTTAGCCGCATTAGGAGGAAAACCAAAAATGGTAACCCAGTACTCCTCTTGCTCTTGACTTCCTTCTTGCCACTGTGATGCTAAAGACTGATTGTTCATTGACATATTCATATTATTAACAAAGGAGTTCTGTAAAAGTGAATTATTGTTAGCATACCCAAGGAAACTGTGATCCTGGTATGCAGATTTGTTGGGTTCATTACTCTTAATTGTATCAAATAAATCTTCAATAGGTGGGCCATTTGGTTTGCTAGAGTACGAAATATTTGGGGAAGCAGGTATATTAGCATAGGCATTCTGTTGATTGTACATGGCTTGCTGGTGCATTGTTATACTTGGCCTGAACAACTTTTGTTCTGGTGTAGACGCTTGACTGGGACTTGTTGGTGACCCTAAAAAGAAGATAGTACAATATGTTACAATTGATTTTAGCTACACATAAATAAAAACTATTTTCAATATTTTGTTAGCATGTAATCTTCTGACTCACCAAATCCTATATTCCTTCCTTTTGTGGGTGATAAACTGTTCGTTCTTGGTGTTGTAGGGGGATTTATCTCACCGAGAAGAAAAGGCGGCAGGTAACCCATATTAGGACTACCAGAAGGCGAATGAGGCGGACTTCCAAGGGTCATTGGTTCCATTATTAGTAGATTTTAGTAGCAAATTAGTGTACCAACAAAGCACTATACGTGTATTTATTTCAGTTGTCCCTTTGTATCTCCTGGGGTTTAAAATAGAATAGTCGTTGAAATGGTTTAATCACACGGTGACACAAACGAGCTGGATTACGATGACATTGACATATTTTTTTTTTTAGTTAAGTTCTCCCTTTTCAGGGAAGGCAAGGGGAACACTGCCCATATAGCCTAGTCTTAAGTTAAATTATGCTGTTTTTCTTTTTACATTAGAATGTCGGTGTGACGCATTCTAATGTTTCTTGAAGTTTTTGGCACGAAATGTATCGAGCTGGCTTTTTCGATAAGCTTCTGTGAGGTAGTCAATACTACAATAAAATTCTCACGTCCACTTGACCGGAATAGCGTATATTTTGACGATTCTACTAATTCTTCAGTTATGACATTGACATACTGACCCGACCACAGATTATTATTTTTAATTGGTTTTACCGGCCCAGGCTTCTTTGGCCTTCAGCCGTTGATAAAATAGAATACTTAATAATCCACAGAAAACATTAGGCTGCCCGGGATCATACCCTAAGCTTGTAAACTTGATCTATGGTGTATGGTTAGAGTGAGAACGCTGTCGACACATTGCGACAAACAAGTGTAGTTCATCAAAAAAATTGTACATTTGAAGCAAATGTAAATCGCCTCATGTAGTCTAATTTTGACGTCCAACTGTGGATTGTATTCATACCAATTCAATTTGATTTCACCTGACTCGAAAAACTGATCATCAGTTTGTCGTGGCGTGTGTGTTTAGTATATTACAATTATTACAGTCACCATCATTATTTATCTGTATTTATTAGTCTATGATAAATTTATCGATAGCCATGTCCACTACACTACTATTACTATTATATTGTTTAGGTTGTTAGCACTGAATATTAAGACAATCTATGGTCAAATCAAAATCTGCGATCAAAATACCGTCAAACAAACGAACATGAAAAATGGATTCTACAGATGAGCTTGAAAACTCTTCTAGCAAAAATGAACGTAATAATTTCATTACTAGCGCTCCAAGAACTATTTTTAGTAATAACAATAATATTGTGCATAAATTGTTCAATAGAGAGGTAAGCTCACAGTTTCAATGTCAATATTATTACTCTAGATATTCTGGATAGTCTTAATATTTTTGGCGTTTAGATTTTTTTTTTGCAATATTATCAATACACCTTATACTCAGGCATATTTACTATTTTATAACTCATAATTAATTAAATTTTGATTGATTTTCATTGCTCCAGCAGCAGGCATTTCAGTGTCACAATAATATGTTTTGTTTTGAATGTTATTTATCATTGATTAATTAATTACAAAAAGGTTTAAAAACAAAAATTCGTGTCAAATTTATGATGCAATAAATAAAAATGCTTGAACCTTGTTAAACAGTTTACAAATAGGAAAACAAATTACATGAAAAAGTAAGAAAATAATAAGAAAAGATAAACAATATATGAATTAGACTACATGATGCGATTTAAGTAAGCAGCTGGGATATACCATTTTTCAAATTGTTAATTAAATATTTATTAAAAGTAATTATAACTACAGGATTGTAATTTTTAATTTTACAGTAAAGAAACTATTTGATTCTGAAAGCTACAAAATCACATCAGCTATAATGCCAGTGTCAACTTTAACTTTTTTTTATTTTAATTTATAGGTATTTGAATGTACCTCAAGGAAGCAATATGAAAAGAGTAAGAAATTGTTTGACCGAATACCACCACGACTCCGTTTCTGTCTCATGGATATTGTACCAATGTCTTATCTGAGAGAACATGTATTTATGGGTTTCTCACAGTGTGGCCAGTTCCTTTTAAGTTTTACATACAGTTGCAACACACAAGTATACTTTAGGGAGAGCTCCAAGTTCACGTAAGAATATTTCAGTTATGCTAATAGTTATTTCTTGCTTGCGAATAGTTTTATGTATCTATGCATGCAAATTTCGTTTTAAATGTGCATTCTGGGGACAAACTGTCAGCTATAACTAATAGCCAATGTGACAAGTTAATCTTATTGTTTATGTATGAAACAAAAGGATTTTGTGGGAGTAATAGTTATGTAATTGGGCCTCTGCAATGTTATAAACATTTGTTTTGTGTATGGAAAATAAGTTAAGGATATTGACGTGACTTTGATGACCTCCATGGCCGAGTGGTTTGTACGCTGGCTTCGCCATCTCGAGAGGTCCCTGGTTCGAATCCCGGTGGGGGCAGATGTTTGTGTGATGATTACGAGCATTTGTACTCCAGTCATGGATGTTTCATATGTATTTACGGTTAAAGACATTTATTTTCTCAAAAGAATTTACAAAAAATCCACTTACAGAGAAAATACAAAGCATAATTAACAAAAAAAAATCATTACATTGTGTCGACTAATAATTCTATATATGTAGTTCTATATAAATATACTTATATATGTACAGTACATGTATTCTATCCGTTACCCTAGCATCCCATAACACAAGCCTTACAGTGCTTACTTTGAGGCTAGGCTAATTGGTGTGAGTGTTGGAAAAATTTATTATTATTATTTATTAATGCTATGCTGGCTTTTTATTCCAATTCTCAGTACTAAAGGACATACATTAAAATTATATTTCTTATGTAAATGCATTTTGACAACCTATTGATACGATGATCCTCAATATTTGACACAGAGTTGGACAAATATTAAGGAGCAATGAGGATCATGCATTTGACTGGATGTGACTTTTAAGTTATAAATTGTATTTTTTTTAATGAATATTCCCAAATTATTAGTATATGAGCTAGAGATATGTTATGCTTACATTATAGTGAATAATATGCACAGCATGTATGCAATGTATTTATTTAATCATTGTCAAAATGTAATAATTTGCACAGCATTTAATTACATTTTGACAAAGATTAAATAAATACATTGAAAGTGAGCAGAAGTGGAAGGTATGAAGTGGGAAACAGGTGGCAATGCAGATACACTGATTAAAAAAATGTGCATGAATTGATAAAAATACAATGTTATTATGACCTATGTTATTAGTACAATAACCAGCAATAGAAAACTTCAACCTGCTTTTGGTCTTAGGATGATTTGATAAATTGATTTTTTGTAAAAATTCTAGGGTTTTATTGCGAAAACTCGGATAATTAAACAATGGCAAAGACATAGCTAAATCTTACTGTGGGTGATTTTTTTTTCTGGTGTTTCACTGGCTGCTTTTGCGGCCATGGTCACATTACCAACCTAACCTAGTGTAAACCCAGAATCCCCAGAATTTTTATAATAAGCCAAGCATTCTTTTCATAATTTTGCTGAGGCGAATCGTTGTCTTGTTGAAAAAATGTTTTTTTAATTTTATTGCCGTCGTCTAATTATCCGCAAAATAAATAGTATATATATTTGCAAAATCCCTAGGATCAAATCATTCTACGACATTTAAAACTGATTTATTGACATATATTTCCAGACTTCATTTTCTATTATGGGTTCCTGGGCGTGTGGTTAAACCAGTCCACAGCATACCTCTGTTTGGAGATGACTGTGTGGACAGTAAGGTGACCATTTCCATGGCACAGTGGAAACATAATCCAGGCGTTGTTGTCGTCTATGGTATTGCGTGAGTATATAATTATAATTAGTTAAATACACAAAAAATCTATTTTTTGTGTATAAAAATTTATATGCTACTTTTTTATCCAAATTGGGATTGTCACAATGTCACTTATTAATAAAGAAAGAAAAAAGCTTGAACTAGTAAGGCTCATTAGAGACGGCGGGCGCGTCGTTCTCTCGTCGACCACCTAACGTTCACTGGTTGACAACGAGGCGTCCACTCATGGTCTACCCAACGATAGCTAGTTGATAACCCAGAATCCACCTCAGTTTGCTTGCGCGACGAGTCGGTATAGGGTGGCTCTAATGAGCTATGACCTTCAATATGGAAACACTTTGAGCTTTGTTGTGTTGATCCGCGCTGAGTAGACGCTCGTGATATGCACTACGTTTTAATGCAAGAAACATTTTCAACATGTTATATTTGAAAATTTTTTTTTAGATTTTTTAATGCAATACGTAACAGCAGGAAAATACATATATTATTACGCTGTATTTTGTTGAAATCAGTAAAATTACTTTTTTTTGTTTGAGAATAGAGAAGACACTGCGTTCTCCCTAGTCCAAGTTTCTTCTTCAAGACTTTGAAAATGTAGTACATAAAACCATAAAAAGGACTCAATGACTTGTTATGCACATTTTAATGGCGCAGAATAGTAATGTTTTTTTATGTATTTGTTTTCCTTAAAAATCGCAATACTGCAACATGGAATCGTTTTATTTGTTTTAGGGATTCCTGCTCTGAACGATCCTACCTCAGTGTAATCGGTGTACCCCGCTTGGGATGTAAAAAATGTGCAGCCTACTCTAGAGATGAAGGTAAATTTAATTCAACCTCAAAACTGATGTTTTATAATTTGAAAATATTGAATTGAATCTTTGTTCTTCCTAGATGATCTCAACTGGGGCAAGAGATGTTTAGAGCATAACTTCGCGATTCACACAAAGTTCTTCTGCACCTCAGACTCCAGCATGTATGAGCCAGTCGTGCAACTAGCTTATTCCAATCAAATCATTATCTACACAGATTTCATCCACATACTAGAGATAGATTTTGTTAAGTCGGACCAAGAAAAAAACGAAGTTCTAGAAGAAAACAAATTCTCATTAGATAGGGATGAAATCAATTCCATAGATACGAATCCGAGTACGCCCGGCTCTGACGTGTCTGCTCCTTTCCAATCGCCGAAATATCAGAATAATGTGGTTCAAAATATACTAGCCGATTTCTCGGATTTTGAAGTAGAACCATACCAAATGTCACGACCGGTGTTATTGCCTGATATGATGGGCCAGGAGCTGTGTATCCAGGCGTCCTCGATATCCCACAACTTGGTAGAGGAGTGGGAGGGCCCGTCGCCTTCGATACGGACTCTCATTAGTCCTCCCCTCCGCTCGCCGCGGCGAAGACCGGCAGAAAGCATGTCACGGTTCAACGAAACGCACAGAATCAACGCTGAAAAAGCTTATGAATTCGTAGAGGAAGCTGAAACGAAATGCGAGAAGCTCAGTATGTTTCGAAAACGACGATTAGCCGATAAGAAATATGAATTCTCCGAGGACAACAACGAGAATATAGTCCCATACAGGGTATTAAGGAGTAACAGAAAGTATTTTATAGGTTCTACTAGTAAGAGTCAACCGCGACGTCCGAAATCCCCACCGGTCGAGTGTGTGGTTCTCAGAGCACATAACCAGATCAGCAGGCCACCGTCTCCGACCACTAGTTCATATATGAAATCTTCTAGCTTGTCTATTGATTCGGATCGAAATAGCGAGTCCGAATATAGAGTTATGGAAATGCTTGATGATGGGTCGCTTAAAACAGTCGCAGTCCACGACAACACATCCAAGACGCTCTCCGACTGCCCGGTCAGCCCTCAAGACCCGTATTTAGTACATTCTGAAAATTCCAAATGTAGCAAATTCTTCACTAGATATTTTGTGGAAAGCGATGATGAAATAACGTCCATAATTACTGATTCTGAAGGTATGTATTTCTTTTTCACTATTTCTACATCACTGTTGATAAATTTACGTTGTTTTGTAAAATTGTGTAGGTAGGTACCTAATGTTGCAAAAATGTGTTTTTTTGAACTTATGTTAAGTGTTAACATGGAAGCAGAAAGCGTCCATAGGTTATTTTTGGGATCAAACTTTAACATGGGGTAGGAAAACTAATTTTCGATTGCTTCAAAAATGGCTGCTGGTCGCTTGCCGTTGCGTGCCGCCAAAACCGGCTGCGTGTATAAAAAGAGTAATGAATGTGAATGAAGCGAAAGATATTTCTAAGGACCGTGTCTTATAGTGCACTATTCTCTCTGCCTATCCCATCCGGGGCACAGCGTGCAAGATAGTTTGTTGATTGTTTGTTTGACAGTTGTTTCAAATTAAACGAGTTTGTTTACACAATTTACTAGTTTATTCCCGCAATTTCACATAGCTGTTCGTGTTTGCTATTTGTCTCACTCTATTGAGAATTAAAAGGGGAGATTGTTGTTAAGTTATAGTTATATAGACTATTAATGTCCCCACTGCTGGGGCACTGGCTTTCCCTATAGATGAAATAGGGAGATGAGGCCGTGATCAACCACGCGGGCCTAGTGCGGATTGGTGAATGCTTACGACTGCAAATGCAGCCGGGACTAGCGGCTTAACGTGCCTTCCGAAGCATGGAGGTGTGAGAAAGTACATTTTTGGTCACCCATCCAATGATTCACTACTGCGAAAGGTTTAACTTCAACGAGCATAGCCGAACACGGTATATATCAAATAGTTAAGTTAAGGCTACAGACTCTTTAAATACTAGAAAAAAAAAATAGCTATATATATATACCTAGTCAGGTCATAAATTCTGTCACATGTTTAATATAAAATAATTGAAACAAGTTAATTCATTATGTAACCATTTAAATACCAAAATGAACTAAACAAAACAGATTCTTATGACAATAAAGTTTGATTTTATCTGTATGTATGTCCGGGATAAACTAAAAAAGTACTGCATGGATTTACTTCACATTTGGCACGAATATTATTAGGTAGTCGGGTCAACATATAGGCTACATATTATCCCGCTATCACCTACGGGGAACGAGCTGTGAACCTTTATTTCTAAATAACTCCACGCGTACAAACTCGCGGGCGGCCGCTAGTGAATAATAAATATTTCCAACACTCACACTAATTAGCCTAGCCCCAAAGTACGCACTGTAAGGCTTGTGTTATGGGATACTAGGGTAACGGATAGAATACATATATTGTACATATATAAGTATCTTATATATAAAATTCTCGTGTCACAATGTTAGTTACCATACTCCTCCTAAACGGCTTGACCAATTTTTATGAAATTTTATATGCATATTCAGTAGGTTTGAGAATCGGTTACCATCTATTTTTCTTACCCCTTAGTGATAAGGGTTTATGAAAAATTCTAAAACCTGTACTTTTGGCTTCAGTATCGATTGTAGATCACACCCCAAGTAATCTTTAAAAAAAAATATTCAATGCACAGTTTTGACTTTCCCACCATTTTATTATATGTATAGATTAATAAAGAATTATTGACTGAGTGCCTGTATAAAAAGGGGTGTATTTGTGGCAGACGACTGCATGTCGGGCTACCACGTAGCCTTGCATCTTACGGCGCACGGGGCAGGTTACGCGCCTTTACAAGCAGTAGGATCCGGCGCGTGGGACCGCATCCGTATGAATGGGACCCCGCACCCGCCGCTAACTGTGCGCGCGAGGCAACGCTCGCTGGACACGGAGTTACTCTGCAACGAAGTGTGCGGCCGCCTCTGTCAGATCAACGGGAACAAGTTCATATACTGCTTCGACTGGGGCTGCCACGTCATCGACGTCTGCCAGTCCAGTGGGTGCCTTTCTGGGGTGAGCGGTTTTTAGTTTTTCAAGTGAAACTTCTTTACTTGTGCCCGGTGGCCCGTGTGCGGCGACACATTTAAGATTTTATTTGTAAAAAATGTTAATTAGTATAATTATGCCGCGAAAACGCCTTAATACGTTCACTTAAACGCGTGAAACGTTTCCCTGGCGTGAATCACGCGCGAGCGGTGCATGTGGATGTAATGTATCTTGCAGTTCTCGAACTTATGCCTGTGTAAATCACGTCTTTTGGCCAGGCATTAACAATTCGTTATATACATTGTCGATATTAAAGTGAATGTATGTATGTATGTTATATAGTTGTGCGCGATGTGGTTATGGGCGAGTGTAGAAGAGGGCGCCGCTGAATGCGACGCGTGCAAGGACGCGAGCGCCGGCTGTCTGACGCACCGCCGCCAGTACGCCGCTGAGGTAACGTACATATAGTGCGCCGCGTGCCAGGACGCGAGCGCCGGCTGTCTGACGCACCGCCGCCAGTACGCCGCTGAGGTAACGTACATATAGTGCGCCGCGTGCCAGGACGCGAGCGCCGGCTGTCTGACGCACCGCCGCCAGTACGCCGCTGAGGTAACGTACATATAGTGCGCCGCGTGCCAGGACGCGAGCGCCGGCTGTCTGACGCACCGCCGCCAGTACGCCGCTGAGGTAACGTACATATAGTGCGCCGCGTGCCAGGACGCGAGCGCCGGCTGTCTGACGCACCGCCGCCAGTACGCCGCTGAGGTAACGTACATATAGTGCGCCGCGTGCCAGGACGCGAGCGCCGGCTGTCTGACGCACGCCGTCAGTACGCCGCTGAGGTAACGTACATATAGTGCGCCGCGTGCCAGGACGCGAGCGCCGGCTGTCTGACGCACGCCGTCAGTACGCCGCTGAGGTAACGTACATATAGTGCGCCGCGTGCCAGGACGCGAGCGCCGGCTGTCTGACGCACCGCCGCCAGTACGCCGCTGAGGTAACGTACATATAGTGCGCCGCGTGCCAGGACGCGAGCGCCGGCTGTCTGACGCACCGCCGCCAGTACGCCGCTGAGGTAACGTACATATAGTGCGCCGCGTGCCAGGACGCGAGCGCCGGCTGTCTGACGCACCGCCGCCAGTACGCCGCTGAGGTAACGTACATATAGTGCGCCGCGTGCCAGGACGCGAGCGCCGGCTGTCTGCGGCACCGCCGCCAGTACGCCGCTGAGGTAACGTACATATAGTGCGCCGCGTGCCAGGACGCGAGCGCCGGCTGTCTGACGCACCGCCGCCAGTACGCCGCTGAGGTAACGTACATATAGTGCGCCGCGTGCCAGGACGCGAGCGCCGGCTGTCTGACGCACCGCCGCCAGTACGCCGCTGAGGTAACGTACATATAGTGCGCCGCGTGCCAGGACGCGAGCGCCGGCTGTCTGACGCACCGCCGCCAGTACGCCGCTGAGGTAACGTACATATAGTGCGCCGCGTGCCAGGACGCGAGCGCCGGCTGTCTGACGCACCGCCGCCAGTACGCCGCTGAGGTAACGTACATATAGTGCGCCGCGTGCCAGGACGCGAGCGCCGGCTGTCTGACGCACGCCGTCAGTACGCCGCTGAGGTAACGTATATTATATAAAAGTTGCTAAGAAATCTATCCAGATGCATTATAACGAAAGAAAACATAATGTTAATTGAATCCATGGTTTCAAAAAAAAACACTAATAAAAAAATGGATGCGTGTAACTTATGTACGCGCGTGAGAAGTTATACTTCTTTAGCATCATTAAATATATTTTTTAATTGCATGCAAATAATTAATAATTACAATAAAATAATAAAAGTACTGGAAAAGGATAGTTAACACAGTCAATTAAGTTCAGTTTTAATTTGAAAAATTAAATAAATATTCAAAATATTCAATTAAAATATCACTACTGAATTTAAGTTATTAGTCCATATGTAATTAGCACTTGTAAGTAACTAAAACACGTTGTGTCTATATAGAAACTAGAAACATGTGGATAAATATTATAAATATGAAAACAGTGATCAGAGGCGACGAGCGTGCCAACATTGTTTTTGACAACGCGATCATCTTATGGAGCTCCGTGGATCGTTCAAAGTACCTTTCGAACAGATGTCTAATAATGGTGGATTATTAGACACTAACATTCATAACGCGCCCGCGGCCAACTTCATGGTGTTACTATTGTGTTACAGTGATGCGCGCGCATCTTAAAATTTCACTCTCATCATTTTTTCATAACGCGCCCGCGGCTAACTTCATTATGTTACTTTTGTGTTACAGTGATGCGCGCGCATCTTAAAATTTCACTCTCATAATTTTTTCATAACGCGGCTAAAGAAGTATAACTTCAAAAAGCAGTTTCTTGTTTTTTTCACAATCATAAGGACTTTGAATCGGCTGAAGTAAAGGCTGGATAATGGGCTTATTGGACGAGATTTTAATTGTGACAATCCTAGTGAGTTTAAAATTGGACCATTGGACAAATAAATATACTGGAATTCTCAATTTAACCTCCCCGGGGGAAGTGTAACTCGGAAAGGAAATGGTCAATAGAATCATGATTTAATTTACGTGCCTTGTTGATAGATACTTATCATCAGGGGTGTATTTTAAAATGCTTCTGCCGCCCCTCAAGGCCTTTCGCCTCAGGGCCATGACCTTTGTGGCCTTACAGTACATACGTCCCTGCTTATCACTGTATAACCGTTGCTTAATTTTTGCTTTCATTATTCCAGTGTCTATTTGTATGGGACCTTGTGAGCGGAGTCTATAGGACTGAAAGGGCAACCATGACAGAAGACACCAGCCAGGAAGGTTCCAGAGGTAAGGATCCAATAATTCTTTAATTTAAAAATTAAATATGTATACTAAAAAGCCTTAGCATGTAACCAGAATGATCCAAAGTAGTTACGATTTATAATTCAAAACCAGAATCTTATATTTTTTACATTTTAAATTTAAATATGCATACTAAAAAAGCCTAGGCATGTAACCATCATGATCCAAAGTAGTCATGATTTAGCTTCAACTTGTAAGAAAACCGATCGTGTCTATTTTGAGAACACATTAGGTGGTGGAAAACCAAAGCACTCCCGACCACCAGTTTTTATATTCTATCGTTTTTATAGCTTAATTTGGCGCAATAAGCCATTTTTTTAAAATTGCAATTCATGTCCAGCCCTGAGAACGATGACGCGAAAAAATAAAATAGCGATAAAGGATGACTATTGGTTAGACCCCTTTTGTAATATTTTTAGCATTGCATACGCAGCTTGAGGAGCTCGATGGCACAGGTGATTAGCGCGTTCGGCTGCGATCGTTAAAATTAAGCAACTTTCGCAGTGGTCAGTCATTGGATGGGTGACCAAAAATTTACTATCTTGAGCTCCTCCGTGCTTCGGAAGACACTTTAAGCCGTTGGTCCCGGCTGCAGCTGCAGTCGTTAGCACCCACCAATCCGCGCTGGGCCCGCATAGTGGGTCATGGCCCAATCTCCCTATTCCATCCATATGGAAGGCCTGTGCCCCAGCAGTGGGAACATTAATAGGCTAATAATGATGATGATACACTAGCGGTACCTATTATAATCTATACTTATAATATATAATAATAATATTAAATATTTCTAACACTCATACCAATTAGCCTAGCCCCAAAGTAAGCACTGTAAGGCTTGTGTTATAGAATGCTAGGGTAACGGTTAGGATACATATACTGATACGATAATATTAAAGAAAATAAGTTGAAAACCTTCGGCGGTCAGAAATAACAATATGAAATCATAAGATTCTGCCAATACCGATAGGCGGTAGGACCCCAGGGAAGAGTCGCTTTTTAAGAAATATTATTTTAGTTTTTTAATCATTTTTGACAATTATGTGACAGTGAAAGTAACAGTTTCAGGCGCTGACAGAGCCCGGGAGCTGGCGAAGAAACTTGGGCCCATCAATATGCCGCCTGGAAACGAAAACAGGTTGCTCACCACATTAACGGGTATGTATTATCACACTAATATTATAAAGGCGAAAGTTTGTGAGTGTGTATGTTTGTTACTTCTTCACGTCTAAACGGCTGGAGCGATTTTAATAAAATTTGGTATGAAGTTAGCTTACACCCTGGATTAACCCATAGGCTAGTTTTACTGCGGAAAAATGTCCTTTATAAACCGCGGGGCACAGCTAGTATTATATAATCCCTTTAGAACATATCTAAGTATAATCCATACTTCCATACCAATAAATTTTGTCTGTCTGTCTGTCTGTCAACTCTTACCGTTTATACCACTGAACTGATTTAAATGAAATTTGGTATACTGTTGTTTTTATCCCAGAAATTATCCTTTGATGAGGTGAAATGTGGTGAGAAAGGTTTTATGGGAAATCAATTGAACCACGCAGATGTAGTAATTAATTTTGATTTATCTTGGCATCATGATAAAAGAGATTTTGGAAAAGGTATATAGGTAAACATTTTGTCGGGAAAATAAAACTTGTAGGGTGTTAACGTGACTAAATATTAAACTTTGTTTGCAAAATCCTGCGTCCATATAACATCACATTACTGCAAAAAATATATACTGCTATATATATAAAACTCAAAGGTGACTGACTGACATAGTGATCTATCAACGCACAGCCCAAACCACTGGACGGATCGGGCTGAAATTAGGCATGCAGGTAGATGTTATGACGTAGGCATCTGCTAAGAAAGGATTTTGATTAATTCTACCCCCAAGGGGATAAAATAGGGAATGAAAGTTTGTATGAAACTTTGTCAATTTTAAACTGATCGGGCTGAGACTTTGCATGCAGGTATAGGAAGAATCATAGATGAATGTCATTGTGTATAATACAAGCCTGAGAACAAATCTGTAGTCTACACTTCAGCTCTACACCGAAGCGAAGCGAGGGCGGGCTGCTAGTATAGTATAACTAGCTATCCCAGCGAACTTTGTACCGCCATAAAAAACAGGGGTTGGTAGTAGAAGGGTGAAAATTTAGGGTTGTATGTATTTTTGTATGATGAATCATTTTGTCCAAAAATGAATTAAGGGTGGGCCACTCTTGCGGGATGAAAAATAGATGTTGTCTGATTCTGAGACCTACTGAATATGCATATAAAATTTCACGAAAATCGGTCGCGCCATTTCGGAGTAGTTCAATGACGCACTTCGTGACACGAGAATTTTATATATTAGATATGTGTCAAAAGCAAAATATGACAGAAACAATGTTTTTTTCAGGGAAATCGCTAAAAAGACTGACTGATGTGGACAACTGCATCGAGATAACAAAGAACCATCCGGACAGTTCCGAATCGGAGTCATCTTCCGAAGAGGACAGTGATTTTGACTGATTTTAGTGTAGAAAAATACATCTTTCCTATTATTCTATGTAAGCATTTCAATGACCAATGTGGAAATTACATAAATCATAATTTCTTACCAGAGCAGCTATGATGTTTGTCCAACAATTATTTATTAATTCATGAACATTTAAAAATCCACCTCTTTTTGATTTGAGCGCTTCCAACCGATTTATTTGTTTGGTAAATGTTTAGTGTTTTAATCCAGATAAACAAAATATATCTACTTGTTTTGATAAAAGGTTCAAAGTACTTATGTATTTTCTTAATATCTTTTGAATCATATTGGCTCGTATTTGTAATGAATTCAAAATATCCATGTTATTTGAATAAAAATAAATGTTATAAAAAGTATAAACTCTATGTAGAAAAATCGGAGCAGACGTGTCTTTTTAGTAAGTTTTGTTTAATAGGTACCTTCTTGAACGAATGGTATTTATAAAACCTAGTCACTATCTTCATGTCATTTTTTTTTATTTATATTGATATGAAAACTAGAGAGAGGAAAATTATTAGGTGTTCGTCGCCCTATGTAAATATTGTAATTAATGTTATTCGTATTTTCAAAAGGTGCTTCTTATGAAATACTTTTTTTTCTGATATAAAAATCTCTTTTTTTATGTGTATTATTTTTGTAATTACCGCAATACCTACATTTAAAATTATAAGTCATCATTTTGTCATATTTTTTTATAAACATTTCTACACATCGTAGAAAAGTAAAAAAAAACAATATTGGAAATAAAAAATTTAAACATGTGACAAATCGTAATTTAGGAAGTAGATAAGAAAAATGTTCTTGTAAATTTTATTGCATGTTCACGTACATCTCCCGATATTGTAAGTTTAAAAATACATATAAACGATATTATTAAATGTTTTTCAATGTTTGCATTAAGAAACACTTTGCATAAATATAAAACTTTGTGCAATCTCGTACAACCTTATTAGGGTGAACCTTTGATATTAACTTTGTCAAGATAAAAGCAGTACTTAGAAGATAATTATTGTATCCTATATCAGGCAATTTTGTTACCAGAACCTACACCATATCCAATTAATTACACTAAATAAAAAAATATATAAATAGTTGATGCTGCTGCATCCAATAGCCCCAGATCAAATGAAAATTTTATAAAATACTTTTTATTTAATCTGAGCAAATAGCAATGTTATTTTGATCAGAATTGTAAGTCGAGCAGGTGTTTCCAATAAGCAAATTATCGCTCATTGAATGGTTGTGATTGTTTGGATGTAGGAGGGTAAAGTGAAGTGCCTGGGAACGTGGGGAAAGGTTATGACCTTCCAAGCCAGTTAACTATGACTAAATTATCCTAGATATTATATCTGACATGCCTTGCCACCTTTATAGGAGAGGTACAATGAACTAAAATATCTAGTATCAACTTGTTTTATTAAAATATTTACTGAACTTGCAATCATAATTTATTATTGACTATTACTGGAACAAGTCAATGGTGTAACAGAAACTTTGATATTGGTTTAACAATATTGCATTTATCTTTATGAAAAATGTGTGGAGCACTATTAATGGTTGCATGTGGTACCATCACACTCGTTATTTGATGGCACTACAGGCAATAGGCAAGTACCTATACTGCCACTTATACAAATTTTAAGGTAACTTCAACATATTATTATGTAATAAACTTGCCATTTATAATGTATTTTAACATTAAGGTAAAATAAAGTTGAAGCATGATCAATCATCTTTGTTTTATTAACCCATTCATAGTGAACATATTTTATCAAAAATTCTTAATATGAAATAAAAGTTTAATCATAAAATGTAGATGTGCAATATTTCAGATTTCTTTACACACAATTACTTTAATTTGCCTGCAGAAAATAGGAATAAGAATCTTTATATAAGTAATACATATATTATTTAATGCAAAAGTTTAATATTTGTTAGTTTAATATACTTCTTTGTTATCAACATAACAAAGAAGTATATTGTTGGTCATGTTGATAAAATAAATAGCAAATATGTACTTTATATCCAAATATAAGTTGTTGACTCAGTTTGGTTTAGAACATTCAGCCTATCAATAAATAAATTCAGTGCACATAACCTGTAAAAACTGTTTGTGATTAAGATGTGAATAACTTTAAAAATGACCAGTCATATGAGTAACAAAATATCTATTGAGTTCCTCTCTACTTCAGAAGGTATGGTTAAACTGTTAATTATTCCAGGCAAAGGGAAGGAAAGGCTTGTGCCCCAGTAGTGAAAATAAAGTCAAAACAAATTGAATATTGATATTTATTCTTGTACTCTTACATTTAGTTAGAATTTTTATTTTGATTTATAGAATAGGTAAAATATTGTAACTGGGACTGTTATATGGGATGTGTGTAATCAAAATAAGAAGTGAAAACTAATATTACTCATGGCTAAGATGATGTTGGCAAGTGTTTTAATCAACAGCATCCTCTAGTCCTAGTGCATCACAGCACTGCACAGTACTGCTCCATTACCACACAGATCAGCTGCATGCAGTTATCAAGATAAGGACATCAAGGATTATTTTATGTGAAACTTGTACAATGTTTGCAACAGGATTTTGTTATACCTATTCTGCCATCTTACATGCTGTCATAAATTTATGAAGTACTATGTATACATCGCAAGTATATAATTATGAATTTCATTATTATACTAATTCTTTAAAAAGAAACATTAGATTTTAAAGACTTCTTTTACACCACCAACAACTTTTTGACAAAAATATTTCATTACTCATTGTTAAATAAATAGTCAAGATTTAGAGATTGCCTCCAGGGTCACAAACTAAACATATCGTCATTCTCTGTATCTTGTTCCCCAGTTTGCCTACTCTGGCCACTTTCATCCAACAAGCAATCCAAACATAATCTATCAATGTCATCCCATGATAATTTGTTAAATTTATCTTGAATAATATTCATGAAACGATTTGCCGTATTTACTGCTTCTGCTTCTGTCATTCCAGATTTCTTAAAATATTTTACAGATAGTTCATACAGCCCTTCTGGTTTTTTCACAATTAAATTCAGCTTGGTACCATCTTTGATAGAGGGATAAGACTGTACAGTGTGTTCATCAGCTAAGGTTCTACCAAGAAGTAACAGCTTTTGTTCTTCAATAGGAATGTTTAACTGTTGAGCGATTTGTCTTTTGATTTCAGATATACATGTGGTAGGTAGGACCTGCAAGATGAAAAATATTATTATTATGAACTTAGTAATCTATCTCATAATCAATTCCTAAAGAAATTTCGAAGAGCTCTGAAAACGCACCTCTAAATTACATTCACCTCCTTGCAACTTCTTTACAATAATTTTCATTTTGAAACTCTATAACATTGAAATTCTTAGAAAAAAATGTTTTTAATACTGTCTAAAATGTAAAACAAATTTAAACTTGATAAAATGTAATTATATGAATTTAGGCTGCGACCGCGACGTCTGGAAATAATTCTTGTCCACCACAGATTACATTGATTTGTGTTCAAAAAAACTACGCTCCAGGTGCAACAAATGTCAAATTTGACAGTTTCCTACATTTTTTTTGGTTAAGTTCTCCCTTTTCAGGGAAGGCAAGGGGAACAATGCCCATACAGCCTAGTCTTAAGTTAAAATATTCTGTTTTTCTTTTTACATTAGAATGTCGGTGTGACGCATTCTAATGTTTCTTGAAGTGTTTGGCACGAAATGTATCGAGCTGGCATTTTCGATAAGCTTCTGTGAAGTAGTCAATATTACAATAAAATTCTCACGTCCACTTGACCGGAATAGCGTATATTTTGACGATTCTACTAATTCTTCAGTTACGCAGACAGTTGTAACACAAAATCACACCAATTTTATTTCACAATATCCACTATGAACGAATTTAAGAATAATTAAAATAAGACGCCAACCACACTCGATGAAATCCCGCCAAAAATCTCCCAGCTTCCTACATTTTAAGCTAAAATTGAAATGTCAGGGTGAAAGGTACGTTCAGAACCTACGTCCGAGTGCAACTTTCTCCGTGACATTTCAATTTTGACATAATTTTGACACTTTGTGCACCTAGAAGTTGGAACGAAGGTTTTGAACGCAGCTCAGAGTGTATGTTTGGAACGTAGCCCTAGTAGTACTAGCTTGCGTTCAAAACCTTCGCTCTGAGTGCAACTTTTTACTCAATGGCCGTTGTGTCCGTCATGTCAGCGTACACCAGATTGAATTCAAGATTGTTACATATGCTATTAATTAGTGCAAAAATCAAAATCTTCCTCTTTAGTTTAGGAAATAATGACTGTTTTTATGGTGTACGCTGACGTGATCATCAAACTAGCATATACCAAACCATTCTCGAAAACGGATTATTGTTAAGCAAACAAAATGTCACAGAAATTAGTGCTCTAATAGTGCCCACACTATGCAAAATTTTATAAGGATAGCTCATAAAGGAACAAAAGATATAAAACAATACTTTTAAATAACCTATGGCTTCATGGTAGCGTACATCAAATAGTGCTTATTTAAAGAAGAAGAAAAAATCAACAGAAATAACGAGAATAAATGACAAGACTAAGATTGAAAAAGCATATCAATAAAGTTTAGAGCTGTTACACATGCAGTTCCACAAGGAAGCGTACTGGGTTCTTTGTTTTTTCTAGCTTATATTAATGACTTTTCTTCAATATGGAGCCATCAGGTTACTTTATTTGCTAACGATACTACTTTTTAATAATATAATTTAATTGATATTGAAAATGACATAAATAATTCTTTGTTGTATTAGCTTAATTAATAATATTAAGCCAATACAACACGACCTCCGTGGTTGAGTGGTTTGTACGCCGGATTTCATGGTGTCGCTGACTCGAGAGGTCCCGGGTTCAAATCCCGGTGGGGACAGATGTTTGTGTGATAAATACGAGCATTTGTACTCCAGTCATGGATGTTTAATATGTATATCTATAAAAAATATACTTATA